TTAAACCATCTCATCCTGCATAAGGTAAGGCACGTAAGTAGAAGAGCAGCTGGGATCACACAGATAAGCTGTGGTCCAACATGCAAAGTACAACTCTTGCAGTATTTCCTGGAGTGAAATGTCTTGTTAAAGCAACCTTCAGGTAAGGCATTCCGGGACAACCATCCCAAAATCAACGAAGTTGGGAGTGCAGGTGTTCCCAGGCCAGGGCACAGTGTGACAGCAGTGCTGAACTTCCATGCTGGCAAAGCGCCTGAGGCCTGACAGCACACCCAGGAAAAGAAAAAACCCTAAGGGAAAGAAAGCAAAACAGCTCAAAAATAAATGTGAGCCCTTCAAGATCTCCCTTATGTGAGCTGGTATCTACCAGCTTGTGCTTTGGTTTCAAAGGGGGGCACCTGGGGCTGAGAAAGCCCTTCTCACCACTGTCTCTGACCTCTCCTGTAGTCCCAGCTGCAGCACACAAGACCAGAAATGCTGTGTTGGCCTTGGACAAGAGGGAGCCTCTGGCATCAGCAGTGCAAATTGCCCTGTGCTTCTGGCTCTGACCCCATCTCCAGGCATGAGCAGGTGCCTCACTGCACCAGTACCTTTCCAGGCTCATGTCTCTCCTCCCTGGGTTTCCTGTAGGCTGTTTGCAGAGCTGAGGGCTCCACAATGAGATGCAGACTTGGTAAGCGGAAGGGATGGTGAAAAGGCTTGAGAGATCCCTCAATGTGATGGCCATGTGATAACAGAGTAGCATTAAGATGTTTGGAAAAAGCAAGCCCAGCTGCTGATTTACACCATTACATCAGGTTTTTACTGGGGCAGCACCGTATGGGGCTGTAACATTTCTGTTCCTACATTTCTTTCTCCTAAACATGGATTTATGGATTTATTGTTTCAGGACACGAAGAGGAACAGGAGTTTAGGTGCCTAAATTCCAAAGCGATGGAAACACCATGCCTTGTCTTTCCAGCTTTTTTTTTAATCATCTGTTATTCTGTGTCTTCCCTGGAGCAGTTTTCATTTCCTTCTGCATATGAAAATTAATCACTCTGAATCACATCCTGGAAACTGGCATCTACTAATTAGGTGTCTGTAAGGGCTGCAAGTGGGGTATGCCTTGCACAGGGCTTCCTGAACTCCTCCCAGAAAGATGGTTATGTAGGGCTTCCTCTGGTGGCAAAATTTGTTGGTGAGTCTCCTCCCTCCCTTTTCTCCACCTGAGCTGCTCCTTGCCCCCTCCTGGACATTTTCAGCCTACAGTTTTTTTCCTTATCACTTCACAGAAAGTATTTATGGGCACAGTGATGAAATCAGGAGAGGAAAAAGGCTGGTAGGAGCCCCTTTCTTCACAGAGCCTCTGGAAAGGGCTTTTAGCTTTCTACTGATATCTCCCAGGGCTATAAATACAGGCTGCAAGTACGTCATGATTCCCAGGTGATAAGCATTAGTGGCAAGATTCAGGTGTGATTTTCTAATGCTGGATGGTGATACAAAAATGCTGACCATTAAAATCAGGGCTGTCTGTCAGGGCAAGTCTACATCTGGGACACACATCTGCAATCATATGCAGGTCTCAGATGTGAATTTTGTTGTGTGAGACCCCAAATGCCAGTTTTTGGTTGTTTTTTTTGCTTGTGGCTGGCTCACTGGAACCAAGTGTGACTTGTTAGGAAGATTATGAACACTGTCAAGTCTGAATAGTAGGCTCCAAGGTAAAGACCTTTTCATTCCCACACACAGAAAGCAAAGATCCTCCTGGTTACTTGCATCTCAGCTGGATTTGAATCAGACTCTGAAAGGGCCAGCAGGCAAGTATGCAGAGCACATACACATGGGAAAGCCACCCCATATTATAATCTGATTCCTTCAATAATCAAACACTGGTGTTTGGCTGCATATAAAAGCTTCTGCGATACTGTAAAGAACAAAGAAATCTAAAGAAGCTTCTCCTGAAGCTTTTTAATGCTCCTTCTGCAAGCTTAACACGTACTGTTCTGACTCTGGCCAGCTGTCTAACAGTGCTCTGGATGGACCGCACTGTTGTCTTGAGACTGGTTTTGGTTCCTTTTAAGCTATTCTGGGGGCTTTCCTGCTGACTTAATGGCTTATAGGTCTTCTCCCTGTATCTGTGGAAAAACTGACTGCTGATTCAGCTGTAGCTCAGGCATGAAGGGGAACCCAAATTTTGGTTTTAAGGAGGTCAGGCCTGCCTCCAGCAGTCTTCAGCTTCTCCCAAGGAACAAAAGAATCAGGAAAGAGAACAGAGCACAAGTTTCATTTTCCCTTCTTTTAACCAGTGCCCTTTCAAGAAAACAAAACAAAAACCCCCAAAAATAACAACCCCCCAAAAAACCCAGTTTCCATAGCAACAGGAAACTGTGGCACCATTGTGAAGACCCAAAAAGCCTAGGCTGGGTATATAGCCAGAAATCAGCAGTGCTGCCAGCTCTGAGCAACCTATCCCTGGGCCGTGCCTGCACTTGCAGCAGGGCTCTGCTCTAAATAGATGTCTTTGCTGCCTAACCCACCACTTCTAACTCCTGTGGGTTGTGCTGCCCCTGAGCAGTACAGTTTGGCTTAATCGCCAGTACAGTTATGGATTTCCAAAAAGGAGAAATGCTCTCTGGCTCGTCCTTCGATTGGCCTCAGCTGTATTCAAACTTACTTTGCTACAAAGTGAAAAGGTTGATTCCAAGACAGATTTCCCTTAGCCACTACTGGCTATTGCTGTAACACATAATTGTGCTAGAGTGGCTGAGAAAATCCACCAGGCTTGGTTCCCTTTAAGGTGACTGATGGTTAGTGAGTGACAGATCCTGCCACTTATGGCTCGTTTGTTACCTTCTGGATTATGTTGCACCAGGTAGTTTGCAAAGAGGTACAACTGCAGCACTCAGGTCAAGTCAGCTAAAATTATAGTACATGTACAGTGCTCTGTTACTTGTAGCACTCAGGAAAGGTACATTATGCATTTGTAAGTGGTAGAGAGGAGTGTTGTGTTGCTTTGCTATTTATACAAATCAAAGAATCACAGAATGGCTAAGATTAGAAGAAACTCCTCACCCGGTTTCCTTGCTCAAGCAAGACCACTTAGTGCTGATTCCCCAGGACAGCTTTTGGCTGTCTCTAAGGAAGGAGACTCCTCAACCTGTGTAAGCTGTGCCACTGCTTGGTCACCTACACAAGAAAGAAGTTGCTGCCAGTGCTCCTTCTACAGCACCCCAAATTATCTGCAGCCTTGTTTGCAGCAAGGACATGCTGCTGGCTCAAGTGCCACTTGGTATCCACTGGGACATCAGGATGCCATTCAGCAGGCCTGGCACTTGCCCAAACCAAAATGATTTCCTCCAGTGCAGTATTCTAATTCAAACGCAGAGGGCCATTTTCTATAGGATAGGAAGCACAAGAGAGGTGTATTTAGATCTGTTCTTATAGCAGTGCTTTTAATTTAGGGGCAGATGTACTGTGCCCGGATTGAGGGCTCGTCAGACGTGAGGGTGACAGCAGTGAACTGCTGCCCATCCCAACACATGCCAAGAGCCCAGACGTCACCACTTTGTAAATTCCCAGTCTCCAGCAACCAGTAGCTCAGGGATGGAATTGTGTATAGATTGCCAGGACAAGCTAAATGAAAAAAGAACGAAGTGTGCCTGGAAAACGAATCACTAGGATTCATCAGAAGTAGCTGAATGAAAAGAGAGGTAAAAATGCACCACCCTGATGGACTTATGATGGTGACTGAAGGCACAGTTGGACAGAAGCATTTCCTCTAGGAGACAAAAATTTCCCTTCCTTCCTCAAGACCTTCAAGTGACCCTACTGAATTGTTAAAATTCCATTAGAAAGCAGTTGGTGGGAACATGTGCAATAAATAGCTGCTAAAATCAAAGGCTGCCTCGCTGATACAAAATCAATGCATTGCTTGCTGGTGGTGCAGGGCAGTGTTTTTCTCTGGGAAATGTAACAGTGATTGGGTTTAAATATAGCGGCACAAAGCTTTACCTGAACTCATTAGTGACACAGGCTGATTTCAGGGGAAGTCAGAAAATGCCCATTGCCCACAGACAAGACTTTGTGGTGATCACCGACCTTGGGTGCTACAGCTTATGGCAGTCCATTGGGAAATGCTACAGAACAAAGCAAAATTACTGCAATTGCTCCTGGAAGAGGAGAGATTTCAGGTCGCTCACACCATCCAGCCAAAATCAGCACTCCCTGTTGAAGCCTTGAGTGAGCCACAACCCAATGGTACTGCTGTAACAGCCACCACTCTCTCTCTCCTCTCCCAGACATCCTGCATGCACTGTGGGTGTAAACCCCCCAAGCCAGAGATGCAACCAGCAGGCAGTCCCACACCTGCTGCCAGCAGCACTCACTTTGGTTTGGGCTGGGACCCTCTCAGAGGGTTTCTCCCTCATCACAAGCATCATTTTCCTGCCAGATGCTCAGCTACACTGCTTCAGTGAAAACAGGCATTAAGGCAGTTGCTCTACCTACATCCTGTTTTGTAATCTCACCATTTAATTACAATATTTTTTCTTCCCCTACAAATCACTTAATGTCATTTCCCAGGGAGAGCCCTCATCTCTCTTGGTGCTTATTGCAGCACAGCAGCTATTAGCACTGCTGCTTGCAGAAAGGTGTATCGTTAAACCAGAGCTCTTTTGGAGTAGGTTTCTAAATGGGGAAACCTCCCTGAGTGAGAGACAGAAATGGTACCTCAATCAGAACAAGGAGGTGAGGTGGGTGTTCAGGACCTGTTGGCTTAATTAAGACCTTCTTCTCAGCCTCAGAAGATTTGCTACGTGTCTGAAATAGCTGTAAAGAACACTGCAGGGATGATACAAACTGTACAAAATGTAAACTTTGTGATCTACTTCCCCACTGAGGAATAGAGAGTTCTAAAAACGGTTAATATATTTCCTTGCCTATTAATCTTCTTGATCAGATTTAAATGTTTGTTTGGATGAGTATTAGAACAGAAACCAATCACAAAGAGGTTAAGTCCCATCAGGGACCTGAGCTCTGGATCCCACTTAGCTCTCATCACTACCAGCACTGCCTTCTCCATACACATGTACACACACACACACAGGGTTTATTAAGCCCCAACAGCAAATTGATTTTGTGTCTGGGAAGAAAACTCTCAAATACAAGCCTATAAATAGATGATGCGCTGCTTTTCTGGCTCAGTAAATAGGCTGAAAAAGCACTCTGATGAGGCACAAATTTGCAGTGCCCCCCTTTATTTCACCATTCAGCATGAAGTTGGAATGTTCATTACTGTGATGGGAGCTGCCCATGAAGGAAGTGAAGGCAACTTTCTGAATTTCTCTAGCTTTCAGGAAATAAATCTGTATGGAAAGGAAACAGATCCTAATAATCTCCCTCTCAAGAGAAACATCAGATGACTTGATCATGAAAAGTGTTGGGAACCAGCTGAAGCCACAAAGGGACCAGAACAAAGCAGGATGTGCCAAAGCAGAGAGCCACATGAGATATATCCCACAGGGGCTGCCACTCCAAGGTGTTCCTAACTTAGAAGGAATTACTAATCTTTGATGTAGCACTGACTTTGATAGAGAAAAAATGGATGTCATCATTGAATAATCCCGTGAGTGATGTGAAATTCATCTGTATTATGCAAACCAAAAGAAGCATTTCCCCTTATACAAAAGTTATAAAGTCTTTGTCATAGGGTTCACCTCTTTACTGCATTTACTACAAATGTCGGATTTGCTGTTAGGATTTCCACATTTCTACTCTTGAAAGATTTGTCAGAAATTAACTGTTGGAAAATCACAAGTAGTCAACTCCCTCTCAGCAATACTAAGGGGGCTGAGTTTCCCAGTCTGAGAGGAAAAGTCAGGACATGCCCAAATTTCCCATTTACTTCTAGGTAGGCTTCTTTGAGCTAATAACAGCATGTGAAATACCAGGTCCAAACATGAACATGCTTTGAATATTTGCATCAGTCACACAGAGAAATTCACAGAGAAATTTGTGAGACCAGTTTCAGCTTCAGTGAGGACGGATACACCACAAAAAAAAAAAGAATGATCACAAAGCTGCATGCATCCCAATCATCTCACATTTTTGGAGCAGGAGAGATGATGCTCGAAACACAAACACATCCCTACCCCTTGCACTGCCTGGCTCGTCACTTCAAAAAAGGCCAAGATAAGCAGATGAGGAGTTTGGCAAGGCACCAAGGAACTGATTTTTTTTTTTTTTTTTTTTTTTTTGAGATATTTAAACACCAAGACATCATCAAGCTGCCAGAAGGATTTTCAAAAGCAGTTAGGAACCCAGGCTGTGACAGAGCATTGGTCCTTCTGACAATCCCCTATGGTATCAGATCCTTTGATGTACCAACACCTCTGGTTCCTTCTGCTCTTCCCAAGAGAGACCTCTTTGACTGCAGCAGGGTTGGCCTTTGCCATGGAAAGCTGTGAAATCTCTTTCAGTTATCTAATTTACCAACTTACTTCCTCGGAAAGGGAAAAGATTATCCCCCTCTTCCTGCCTAATGAAAATGTCACTGCCCTGTGGACTATCTTAATTGGAACTGTAAGAGAAGGCCTGGCTGTGGCCACACGGCTCTTTGCTGTACAGAGAACTGTTTACTTTGATCTGATCGAGGTTTACTTGCCTCAGACATCCCCATGCTGCCTCTCTGATCTGACGGTGCAAATCAGCAGTTTCTTTTTTGGGTAGAAGTCCCTCTCAGACTGGCGAATGACGCAGAGGCTGCAGAGTCCATCCCGGTCCCACTAGGCGCCGATGGACCAAATGCTGACCTCTCTATTTACACGTCTGTGCTTGCAATCGTGATGCCCGTGTGGGATCACAGGGCTGCTGCTTGCAAACATTCTTTACTCAGAAACGCGATACCCATTTATTGCACAAAGAACTGCAAAGGAATTGCACAAATTCTTCTCTTCTTTAGCGGAGAAAATGTTCCCTTGATGTGATAAATACCAAACGTGATTCCTGCTTTGGCTGCAAATAGCAGATTACTTAATCATCTACTATTTAAGTACCTGTTTGTTTTGTTATGAAGCAAAACTTTTGAGCAAGATCGTGTTACACGTCAAGTGGCTTCCTGCATCCTTCAATATTAATCCTCACGTAAATATAGACCGAAGGGAGTCCCAGGGTCACCCGAACCAGCCTGAGCCCCGCACGGAGGACGGCGAGGAACGGAACGGGGCAGGCAGGGCGAAGCCCACAGGGGGCCGTGCTCGAAACGGCGGCGGGACGGCAACGAGCGGGATCAGCGCTCCCCGCAGCCGGGGCGGCAGCGCGGCGCGCACCGCGGGGAGGCCCGCCCGCCCCTCTCCGCCTCCCGGGGGCAGGGCCCGGGCCCCCCCTCCGCTGACGTCACGGCTGTCTAAAAAAACAGCCCGGCAGGCGGGCGGGGAGCGACAGGGCCGGCGGCACGGCACGGCTCGGCACGGCTCGGCAGGACTCGCCCCGCCGCCGATATGGTGTCCCCCGTCACCGTGGTGAGTGTGGGCCGTGCGGCCGGCCGGCGGGCGGGCGGGCGGGGGGAGCGGGACCCGAGCCCTCGCACGGCCGTCTGCCTCCGACCCCTCCCCCGCGGCTGCCCCCATACCCGCTGCCCGCAGAGCTGCTCCCCTCCGCGGCTGTGTTCCGGCGGCGCGGCTCCGGCGGCTTCTCACCTCTTCCTGCTGTTATTTTTGTAAACATCTGTACGGCAGATCTGCGTTGTGTGCGTTGTATCTGTGCGATGTATCTGCTCGGAGCGCTGATGTTTACGTCCTCCTGGGCTCGCCCACCTGCCCCGAGGCCTGGCTGCGTTCCGTGTGGCCGCTGCCCCGGGCTTCCGTGGAGCCCCGTGCCCACCGTGCCTTCTCCCCCTCCCGCCCGGACGTGCTCAGCTGGCGGCTCGGCCGGCGCTGCACGCGGAGCAGGACGCTGCTTTGCCGTCTGCTCGGGTCTGCCCCGGGAGCAGCGGAGGTGAGGCGGGGATGGTGTCACCTGCCTGTCCCACGGGGAGTCAGTGAAGCTTAATTAGTGCCGTAACAGGCAGTGAGCAGCAGCTCGATGCTGTCCTTCGTGGAGGACGTGTGGTACCGAGTCCCGACCCCGCGGGTGGAGGGGATGCTGGAAGAAGACAAAGCGCTCAGTAGAACGGCAGAGAAGCTGTGCTGTCACACGCTGCTTTGCATGCTCCTGTTTCTAGAAAGCAAGGGATTTGGCTGAATGCAGCAACAGCAGCAGGTGCGGTAAGAAGAGCTGTCTGTCAGTAGAGTCGCCTGGCAGTGCTTTCCCCTCAGCACCAAACACCTATGTCGGTATCCCATGTCCTTGTGTGACTGTCATCATCCTGATGTGAAAAGTTGTGGTTGCTGGCTGTCCAGATCCCCGCCACCCCTCCATGTTTTATCTCATAGATTGAAAGGTAGCGGTCCGGTTTTCCCCCTGTCTTTAACTCTCAGAGCCAAGGTTCAAAACTTTTAAATTCCTTTGCCAGTGCTGCACAACAGCTCGCATTGTCTGATTGCTCAGATGAATTTTCCCCCAGCATTACCATGTACCTGGTAAGTTCATCAGCAGCTTAGGGATGACTTTTATCTTTAGAGACAGAGGGAAGTAGCCTGTAAATTACACTATTCTAAGGCCAAATGACTTATTTTTTCCTTGTGCTTTTCAGAAATAACTGAAGGGGCCTGGTCTCTTAGCGCTGCTGTGCTAAATGCATCTAAGTAATGCTTTGGTTACAGTGAGTTGTGTACTTGTACTGCAGAAACGAAATCTTTCCCTGGGACAATGCTGGAATGGCTAAAATCTGGCAGTTCATTTTGTGATTGAAAGGTGACAGTCCTTGGCTCTCAGGGCTGGTTAATCGGGGTGGTCTTGCAGCAAAGGGCAAGTGATTACCACTTGAGTATGCACTGGGAAGGCTGTAATTAAAGAAGGCTTTACCTCTACCAGAAGGTAACTCAGGGTGGCACATGGAAACAGTCTTTTCTTTACTTGATCTTTTGTCATGTAACAACACATGCTTCTGCTCTGGCTTCATCCCTGACATAGCGACCCTTTGCTTCACCAAAGGCAGCTAACGCAGGTGTGAGGCTGCAGATTGCTGGAGAGATGATGAGACCAGGAGCTGTGACCGGAGCTGCAGCTGTTTATCACAGCTATAGATGTGGGAGGGCTTTGGCAGGCGCTGGACTGATCCTCCAGAGAGATCACAGCACAGAGCTGACGTCCTTCAGTGTGTTAAGGAGCAGTTCTTTGCACACTGCCTTTGGTGCATTTTCACATAGCTCTTCTGAAGGAGCTGCGGGATGGCTCTGGTGTTGGCTGTGCTGCAGCCACAATGGGCAGGTTGGAACAGTGTTCTGTGCTGCCTGGGAGCATGGCATGGCCACTGCACAGCTGCAAGTGGAGCTGCGTATGGGATGAGAAGGACTGAGCGTGGGCTGTAGAGCTGGTGGACTTTCTTCAGGCAGTTGGGTGCTGAAGAGAACAGCAGTGGGCAGTCAGTCTGGCCACAGTGAGGTGCTATCCTTGGGGCCCAGGTCTTATCTGTGCTGCCCTGCCTTTTGCTGCATTGGTAGATCAGGTGTTTGGAGACAGTGTGACTATCTCTGCTGTTCCTGATAGGGGCACTGTCTAAGGGGCAGCACCCATGGCATAATCAAATTAGCCAGGTGAATTGATTTGTCTACAGCATGTGTTCTCTCCCAATGTTCTGCAGCATCAGCCTGAACAGGGAAGATACTAGAAGAACATAGCCAAAAGTGACATGGTTTTCTTTCCAGTTTTCAAAGCCTTTGTGCATAACTACAGCAGATGGCCTGGACTACTTAGGCACAACCTGATCTCCTGCATCACCCCCACTAAGACCCTCTTGCAAGAAACATGACGGTTTACTTAAAACACTGAGTTCCAGGTCTGCTGCACAGCCGATAGCTGGAAGAAATCATGCATGGAGGTATGAACCACAGAGAGGAGGCTGAGACATACGGCGGGTAGGACTGCTTGTTAGTGCTGGCTGCCAGGTGTGCATCATGGCCCTGGGGGTTTGGCATGTCTGCAGCATTGTGCAGAGCTGTCATCTCTGTTGCTGCACAATGCAGATATTCCAAGGGGGAAATGTGTCCACAAATGCAGAAGTCTGCGGCTCAAACACCTTTTAAAGTATTGTGCCAGGTACTCAGCAGGGTAGTGTTTCAGGGTCCTGGTGGTGCTGGAGTCCAGACAGGACAGAGTTGGGCTGTGGCAGTGAAAATATGCATATCTGCCGGTCCTGCTCCAGCTGGTGAACAGTGCTTGCTCTGGTTGGAAGTCACCTTGGAGGAAAACTTCTGCTTATTCTGCTAGGCAAGCAGGAGCATCCTGCTTAAAAATTGTTATGGCTGATATTCCTCTGATTAGAAGCTGCTTTTTTTTCTGCCTAAAATTGAGTGGGCTGAAAGCTTGAGGTTGGAGGGCAGTTTTAGCAAGCAGCACACTTGCATTATAGATATGTGAGGTTTAATTCTCTTCTTGTTCACTCATCACTGGTCCTATCTTAATAAAAGTTCTTCCTCAGGCTGCCTCATTAGTAAGTTTTGTTCTAGATTTTTTTTCTCCTTAGTGGGTAAGCAGTTGTTAGCATTAAGCTGTGGGAGATTTCCTTGCCCTAAGGACCTCTCTCCAGCAGGTTCCATGACTACGCAGGGGTTGCAGATGCAGAGCAGGTGAGCCTGGAGATGTGCAGCTACTCCGGCACTTATGTGATGCTATGGGTTCAGAGAGACACTCCTTTCCCCTTAAATGAAGTTAGCTAAACTAAGCATAGGGCTTCACACATCACCTTGGAGAAATGGAATGGGACATATAAAGACATTAAGTGATGCTCTCATTCCTGTAACACGCTCTCTCCATACCTAGTTCTTACTTGGTCTAGCACAGCCCTGTTTGATTTTGCCCAGAAGCCATATATGAACAGTCCCCATCCCTTCCCTTTCATTCTCTGACATACTTGCATCTTTAGATGGAGACTGCTGGACTGGAGAAGAAGGCGTTGCTTTGGCTGCATCAAGCAAGTTGAGGCCTTGGTGCCTTCTCCTGCAAGGTGCCCTGCTGGGAACAGCCTTGCAGGGAGTCACTGTCTGGGAACAAGAAAATCATTTACAAAAACTGGGCTGAGAAAAAGAGAGAAATATACGATATGAAAGTAACAAATACAGGATATGGCTGGATATGGGGTGGATCCAGTTGAATATAGAAACCTGACATAAACCATGCTGCCTAAGGACTCTGCGTGCTATGCACAATTGCAGCAGTAGAAGGTGTAAGCATAGTTTTAAAGGTTTGCTGTTAGAAGGTATGCTCCATGATCCTCAAACTGAAAAAAAACCACATTCCACCTCAAACTATTTGAACCTTTTCTTCTTAAGCAGAGAATGTGTTAATTCTGCACAAAGGAATAAAGTATTAGCAGCCATCTAAGAACTAACTATAATGGTAGAGGGGTTTATTTTAATTGTTCTCTTTGCTTATACCCAGCATTGTTGCTTTCATTATAATTTTCCAGTTACTAAAATACATCATGAAGTGGAATTTTATTACACAGGAGGCTTGCAAACATGCACATTTACATACCACAGTGATGATTATGAAAATATGGTGCTTGTATAAAAACCAAGCCAATTTGAGTGAGTTGTAGATGAGATCTCTGAACTCACTGAAATAAGGGGAGGGAGGCATCACCTCAGGTAAGCTTAGCAGGATCCTAGCAGCATTTATGTCAGTCACTCCTTTCAGGAAGAGCCTTAAAGCTTTGGCCGGGCAACCTGTGCTGATTTAGGCAAGTAAGTGTCCAGGTGTAGTACTGTACCATGATTTCTTTATTTTTTAAGGCCGAGTTTGGGCATTCTGGCACTGCCGTTCTCATCCTTTGCTGTTGTAGTGAAAGCAGAGCTACAAAGTGCGGACTTGTCTCATGCTTTTCCCAGTCCCTCTGTGGCTGCATTAAGCAGTAGAGCTGATGGCTGCTGCAGGCGGTGCTGTAGATTAGAGGCTTCATTAACTCGAGTGTATCGCTCGAGTCGCACGCGGCTGTGGTTCCAAGTGTGCTTTGTGTATTAAGGTTATGGGTCTGGTTCAGAAGCCTGTACTTATACATAATTCCTCTTAATGGACAGAGATGTATTTCTGTCATTCTCTTTTCAAGTATCTCCATCCAGAACACACGCAGTGTAACGGAAGAGCCAAAGTTATCTTTCTCTGTGGGTGGCTATGTAATATTGAGGAACCAATAACTCCAGGCTCTGAGGAAAAAATTGGCATCTGGCACCATGTGGAAACTTTTGAGCTATGAGAAGATGATCAGTTCTGTAATTCCCTTCCCCTGTGGAGGCTAATGTGGACATTATATTAGCACTTCGTTTTTTCACTGCCCTTCATATCACACAAATGACCAATAGATTTGTGATTACGATGGAGATTTTGCTTACTGCAGCGTGCCCAAAATGAAGGAGACGGTTACTGTGTCTTGTGCCCTTCCTATATTCATTGCTTATACCACTATCATCTAAATAGCATTTGAGCTAATGGGCTAATGGCAGGTTTTTGTATGACAAACGTGTCAGTGTGGAGCTTCCCTCCAAGTAATGCTGAATGTGAGTGGGAATCCAGGTAACAAGGAGCAGAAAGCTGAGTCTAGGAGAGGACTGCATGCCCCCAGAGCTGAGAGGTGGTGGGTGGGCTGTGCGGGAGCCTTCCTGCCTGGCATGATTTATGGATCCATGCCAAGCATACTGCTGTGGGATGGATTTCAGACATCTGCAGAGAGCTCAGGGCTTATGCTGCAGACTGATCCACCCTTGCACAGGATGCAGTTGCTCTCTGGGTAAGTGGAACTTGTGTTGCTTGTATTGGTTTTAAACTTGCAGGTGCTAATCTGCCTGCAAATGAAGGTGGTGGCTGTTTTGGTTCACCTAGTGGTGAGCTAATGAAAACACCTGGTTTCTGCCAGCAGGCTACACTTTTTCCCAAAAGTTAGCTTATTTATGTTATTGCAGCACATGTACTTCTAAGAGTGAGGAAATTAGGTAAGCCATGTTACTGAAATAGCCTTCAGATTTTTTGTTGGGCTTTTGTTTTTTGCCCCTCACCAGATAACATCTTTGGAGACCAACATGGCACCAGTTAGTTATCAGGCATTGAATTTACGATTCTGTATCAAAATAAGTCCATTTACATTAGCAGCAAGTAGTCTCTGATTGTGTTACTGCTTCAGATTGAGGGTAGGTTTGAAGCTAAGCCAGCTGCACATTTTTCAGCACGTGCTAGACACATGGGGCAGATCCTCAGCCTTATGAGTCACTGTGTCTGCTATGGTTTCAGCAGAAGTGGGCTTGTGCTGGCTGAGAGCCTGAACCCACAGCTCCTGTCTTCTGGTTTTGTTGTGGCCTTAGTCAGAGCTGGCTTGTGTTCTGCTGCAAGAGACTAAGCCTGTTGCATGGCTTTTCCTTGCAACCCTGATATAAAAGGAGTGTGACCACACTTATTTAACTGATCCTTCTGAAGTTTTCCAGGTTATTTATTGGCTCATGCAAGCATGGAACTCCTCCTTCAGTGTAAAGGACATTACCCTGGTATGCAGGTGCATGGTAATTTGTGAGCATGGTCTGCATTTGTATATGTGTGGTGATTGCAACAGGGGTTTTGCAAGTGAAACCCTTAATACATTAGTGTGAATCCTGGGAGTGTGTGGGTTAGTGATAGTGTAGGTTGATGCTTGCATCTGCAACCCTGGCTGCCCCTTCCTGTTGAAACTGGGTGGGAAAGTCCAATTAATCTTCGTGTAATCTATATCTGATACTGGCTTGTCCAGGTCACGTCTTGGCATGAGAACAGATATTGGAATTAAAATCTGTGACCCCACTGTCATACTTTGACCTTACATCCTCCATTCTCTTAAAACATATTGGTCCGGTTACAAAACAGGAGGGCTACCAGCTTTTAATCAGGTAACAGGGTGGCAACTCTCTAAATATGCTGTTGTTTTCCCTTCTAATTTTAACAACGTTTCACAAGCGTTCAGCCCTCAGGACATGTTACACACGTGGAGCATTTCATTCAGTTTTGCACTAGGCACAAGACAGGCTGAGCTATCTCTCCTGGATTTCTCAGCACAGCACTGCTGTATTTGCCAGATTTCTGCCTGGGAAACACCCCCAGGATGTCCTTGCCCGTGGCAAGGGGGGTTGAAACTAGGTGATCGTTGTGGTCCTTTTCAATCTAGGCCATTCTATGATTAGATGACTTGTGGATAATACACAGAAGAAATATCTGGATTTTAGTGAGAAGCCAAATAACTGCCCTGCCCCATCCTGAGGGCTGCCCAGTGAGCTGGCTGTGTGCCGAAGCTCCGTGTAGCTTCATGGCCATGCATCAAGGTCCCAGCAGTGCTGGGGATGCAGCCCCACCTGACCTCATGTACCCAGGAAGGGTGTGTGCCCCAGCAGTGACAGCACTGCAGCTCCGATGGGCGAGGAGAAAAGACAGATCCATTATGGCTCGGCTTTTGAAATGTCTGCAAGGGTTTCTTTTGTGAGTGTGGCAGTGAAGGAAACGCTTAGAGGGGCTTGCTTTCTGTTGCACAAAAGGGAAGATCTGGAATCCCAGGAGGGAAAAGCAAGCCTTGCTCTGAGATAAGATGCTGGCAGGCAAATGCCTTTTTTTTTTGTTTTGTTTTGTTTTCATTTCTGAGAGCCAATGGGCTGCCCTGAAAGCATGGGTCTGTGACAGCTCTCTTGGCCCCTGCAGAGACATCTGAACTGACTGGTGATTCTGTTGGTCACTGGCGGTGGTACATTGCTGACTGCACTCCAAAAGCAATCTCTAGAACTGCTGACAGCTGTAGGATGGCTACAGATGGGAGTCAATCATTTCTACTTCTGATTAAATAAAGTTTGTTAAAATAGCCCTGCTTGTGATCCTGTGCCAGCCCAGCAGACAGAACAGATGATGCTTGCTAACGGAGAAAAGCAAAACTAACCCAAATAAAACAAGTCCTAACAAGAACGTGTGAATCTGAGCCAAGCTTTAAGTTCAGGGTGAAGTGTGTTTGTCTATATTTTCATCTTATGAGTTGGCATCTGCTAAAGAGAGGCTTCAGCATCTTGAGGGCTCCTTGGAGCAGACACCCCTGTGACTATGTGGTCTGGTTGTTGTAGTGATTCCATTCTCCTGGTGCACTGTGCGGCACGGGCAATGCCCTAACACAGTGAGGAGGATTTCCTTGGCCCTGGAACCATCTGCCCCTGCTGTAGGCTGCTATGGGACTGTTCCCTGTGTAAATCTTCCTGTAGGAGTTTGTTGGAAGCGAGATTCCATTTTCCTTTTTGAGGCTTTCCTCCTCACTATTTTGCAAGTGTCTGCAGATGCTTTTTCTAAGGTGTAGGTGTGACAGCACAGGGCTACAATATCCGAGAGCTCCTGGTTCACATTTGGTGCTGAGCCAAACTGACCTTGAAAGCAGTCTGGTGAGCATGGCCACTGCAACTGCTCAGCATCCAGCATCTTTTAATTTCTTCATTAAAGAATTGAAGACAAGGTGGAGCTGCTGTTGTCCTTGTATTGCATGCACATGGGCATTGCTGTTTCTGTGTGAGTGGCAGTTGGGTGTATCCTGCCCTGCCCTGCCCTGCCTTGGGAAGGGGCAGGAGAGAAGGCTGCCTGCCAGCTCTTCCTGGCCCTGTGGGTCCCCCCTCCCTGGCAGCTAGATAAGGACTCATGGTTGTAGCCCTTTTCCTGTCCTCTGGAAAACACCATAAAGCTTGTCTAGGACTCCTCATCTCTTTTACCTTCTCAAGCCATTTATTTGAATATCCTTCATAGGTTATGTGCCTTGTGCAGTCTTCTATAGCCTACTCCCATCACAACACAGCCAAAGTAAAGCATTGGATGAAGCAAACTTGAGCAGTGCCCTGCGCTAGGGACAGACAGCAGCCTAAAGTGAAGAAATCCTACCTGGAGAGCGCTCATTGGGAAAGAGACATCGAGAGCTATGCTTGCAGTCTCACATGCCAGCACTCCTGGGACATGGTGAGCCTTGCTCACATGCTTGCCAGCCGGCCTGATGCAAAACATCCTGTGCTGCATGCTGGTGTGCTGCCATGCAGCTGGGTGGCCCTGCAGTGCCCCCGCCGTACTGCTGCCCGCAGGCAATGACCTGCAGTCTGCCCTGAGAGGCTGATGCTGGAAGCAAATGTTGCCCCACTGCCAGGCAGAGGTGCTGGCAAACTGCTGGTGGACCAGACTGCTGCTCCACATTGGCTCCCTTCTCACTGCACTGGGGGGAAAAAGCGCTGTATGGAAGGTTTTATTCTCAATGCCAACAGGTTTCCATTCCTGGGTTAATCTGGTGATTAGGCTGAATTTTGATGTGACTGCAAGTCAGGCAGGATCTTGGCTTGGAAATGAAACTTTTTATTGCAGTTCTCATTTCTGCATGCAGCTGCGTGTGGGGCAGCCCAGCCCCACAGAGGTGCCCTTTTTAGATGCCAGTTTGATTAATCCTCACCCGCTGCCTGCTATCCTGTGTCTCTCACCAAAGGGCGACTCTTCCAGTGCCAAGAACTTGTGCAGTAATATATCTGAATTCACCACCCAAGGACTGCGAGGGCCTGTGCCAAAATTTTAATTGTATTTTTATGGCAAGTAGCCACAGCTTGTTCTTTGAAGAAAAAAAAAAAAAAAGGAAAGAAAGATAAAGAAGAGAGGGTACTTCTAGCTCTCAATTGTGCAGCCAAGTTGTGGCTGGAGCTTCCTTTGCTTAAGGTGGTGTGCGATGCAGTTGAGCCATGGGGATGAGGATAGTACAGGCTGCTAGTGCAGGAAGGTATGAGACAAGCCAGAATATCAGCTCTGCTTTGCAGGAGAGGCCGAAGAGACTGCTTTTTCCCTGGGTGGAGTGGCTGCCTTGGTCCCACTGCCCCTGCTGCAAATGGCTGAGCTGGGAGGACTATCCCTTTGGGGCAGGAAGCTTTCAGGCCAATCCCTGCTAGCTACTTCTGGCTTGTGCTGAACAGAGGATCTCCTGTCAGACAAAACCTGTTTTTTTGACTACTTGCAAACTGGTCTGGCTGGACAGCCAGGCACAAGAAGAGTGTGACTGCACCACCCTGTCAGAGAAACAGAGGCCCTAAGTGCTGAGGGGCAGCCGCAATAAAATGCTGCAGGGCCTGGCCAGGGCATGGCGTGAGCCCAGTGGAGCCAAACAGTCCATTATCCGCACATACAAACCTCCCAAAGGTGAATTACAGACCACCTTCTCCTGGGGGATTTATTAGGCATTATGTAAGTCTTGTCTCTACCTGAGGGGAGAAGGGTTTATCAATCACTTTGAATTTCCTGCAGCGCATGGAGTTTGTTTAGGAGCCATCTGCATGGGATGCTTGACTCATGGCACATCCAACAGAAACGTAAGCCCTCTTATTAATACTTGGCTTGCACAAGTATGTTGCACTAACACAATACTTCAGGCAGGTTGATTGGCTGGTTTAGTAACTCTGTCACTCTGTAAACAAACACTTTTTCTTGGAATTTCATTCAGGAGTAGCTTGGGACATGTACAAGCCAACTCCTTCCCTGATGAAAGGCAAGCGACTCCCCAGGAGCTGATTTGCGCCTGTGGGAGTGCAGATTTGGAGGGAGAGCACTGTGCTCTCACCTACCTGGGGCCATCCAATCCAGCCAATGTTTCAGCAATCCGTGGAATACAAAGTGCTGGCTGGCTGGCCCTTTTTAATCTCAACCTTCTCTTCTCATACCTCTGTGATCCATGGAGGAGGGATGCAGAGCTGAGCATCCCAAGTGGCTGCCAGCCTTTGCTCTGTGGCCCAGTGAGGAACCTGATGTTTGCCTTGGAAAGGGATGATGTAAATGGTGCCAATACCCAGCAGCTCAGACTTCCTATTGCACATACATCTGACCCCCTGCATAAAAAAAATCCCTTATTTATAATGGTTTCAGCATGCACCTATGCAGAAGGTTTGATGTTGCACCATCTGAGAAAGGATGGAAGTGCAGCAAGGCCAGGAGGTTGGTGACTTTTCCTGAGTTTGTGGCCAGGAGTTGCTCAGCACTGCTGTGTTTGTTCTTAGTTTAGCAAAAGCTGATGAGTAGTGAAAACTGGGGAAAACTGGCTTGTTAACATGTGGGCTTCTCATCTTAGAGTCTACTCATTTTGATTACACATAAGATAGTTTTTTTTGTATGCATAGCCTGATGGAGAATCATGTTGGTTCCCAGTTGATCTGCAGAGGACAAGTCTGTTGCATGTCCTAATTGTGGTCCATCTCCAGGCTGAAGCAGGTCTGAAGTGGTCCACTTCTCCATGGCTTGAACAGCAGAGGATTTTCAGTGCCTTGTAAAGAGCCATATTTGCTAGGTAATGAGAAAAACAAGCAGTGGCATCATGATACATGGCAAGAAAGCCACACAAATACTTACTGGTGCACAACTTGGGTGGGAGCTATTGTCACAGTAAGGCAGAACCAAGGTAGGATCCACAGTGAATGATGCCAAAAGCCAGGAGAAAGAGCTCAGCCACTTATACACGAAACTATAGTCAAGCAGCCAAGGCTGATGGGAGGGATGGGTGGAGGACAGCAGCCGAGCTTTTTTTTGGCCAGCGTGCACAGTTGTGCTCAAGTGTTGCTCAGTGGAATAGCTGGGGTTTTATTTTTAAAACACTTCTTGTGGAAAACAGCATTTTACAACCTGATGGGTGTGAACTGTAGCCCCATAGCAAGCTGGCACACAGCTGTTGTGCAGATGAGGTTGCATGCTCATTTTCTGTGTGGGCTGATTTAGGGGAATTGTGAAAAGAAAAACAGTCCTTGATATCCCATGTTGCTTCCCGGGGTCATTAGCAGCCTCTGGGCTCTTGGCTAGTCATCAATAACTAATTTGAGAATATAGCTTAAGGGCTGTTGTATGAAGATTTTGGTTATTTCTGCATGCTAGGTCCAGCATATATTTTGTGCACTGGGTACCTTTTCCAGGTCTTCACTGCCCTGCATTACTTCTCCTCCTGTAGCTGTGTTTCCTCCTGGGCAAGCCTAACCTCTCAAGAAGTCTTACACCAATACCAAACCACAGCGTGGTTGGAGTACTTGTGTGATAGCATCATCTGTCACTGCTGAACAACAACAACAACAACAAGGAAATGAGCAATATTCCAAGCTGGAGCAGAACAAGAGCAGACAAAACAAAAAGGAATACTGTACACCTATGAATCCCTAGCAGGGAGGGGGTATCCAAGCTATGAGCCTCCAAGGAGCTCTGTGTGTCAGTACCAGGTTCTGTTTAAAGATCTTGGGTGTACATCTCTTGGTGAGAGGCAGGACACAACTTCCCCATGGTCTCTCTAAGCTCTGGAGGGTTTCACTGGCTCTGTCTGAATGCAGATAATTTAATAAATACGCATATTTCCATTGGAATTCCACAAATACAGACATAGTGTCTTTACAGCAACTTGAACTATTTTTTTAAAGACTCTAAATGACTTGGTAAACATAGGAGATGAAAAAATGCCCTGAATTATGCTCAGTTTAAAATTCTGAGCTTGCAAACGTTTTGTAATATGTTCAAGATGTTTTCTGTACTGTGTGTCAGCTAGAGTGAATGAGCAGTGGAAAAAGAAAAGAAATAAGAATAAAATTCAATAGGCATTTTAATAAAATGGCAAAACCCAGCTTAAAGCCATAAAAAAGTCATACATTAGCAAAGATCTTGTCACCTGCAGCAAATCCTTCATTTTCCAATGCTATGGCACAGCCACATCTCAAGTTCTGTCTTTGAGACACAAGTGCAAAGGAGATGGTTGGTTTGCTGCAATTTACCCATTCAGCCAAGCAATACTTCCTTCCCTAAGGTACAGGCAAGTTCAGTCATGGATTATATGTTTGGCTTTCCTCAAGCCACAGCCTCCGCTCATGTTGGTACACCGTGTCCCAATACCAGCCATGACTTGTCCTCTGGATGGCAAGTTGTCCCACCTTCTCTACCTAGGTCCTAGCCACCTGTCCAAACAGAGGGAAATCCCCCAGCCTCATCCTTCTGTTGCTTTAGCCTTTCTTGCAATGTTTCTCCCAAACATATCTGATGCCACACCATCCCAGCAGGATGGGTGCCTGGATCTCAGCTCCATGGGAACCTCTGTCTCTGTGAAGTGTCCCTCATGGAGCACTCCTTTTGGTCAGAGCCAGCACAGGAGCTCAGCTGAGCACAGAGTGATAGGCAAGGGCATGTTCTGAAATAACTCATTTGAAGTATATTTGTAGAAAAGGTGCAAGGGAATAAAGAGTTAATGATGAGATGCCTTCTAGGTCTATGAGGTTTTTCTTATGTGAGGACTCTAACTCCTAAATTCCAGAGTTATGGGCGAGAAACTGAGACTGGAATCTCACCTCTTATGCCTGAAGAATTACTCAGTTGTTCCTAGGGTGGAAATAATGCAAACACTTATTTTAAAATAATGCTAATGTTTGGGCTTGGAAAATTCAAATTCAGATAGTAGAAAAAGATAATTTCAAGGTTACGAAGCAAACATAGCCTTTCTGCACAACTGCAGATCTCACATTCAGTAAGGCAAGGTTCCTGGGGAAAACGACAAATGTAATTAAAACCTGTCTCATCATGTGTGCACACAGGGGAGGGTAAGCTGTGATTGTAATGGTAACTGCTCAAACTGCAGGTGTTTTTATTTTAAGATGGGGTATTAAATGAAACTTCCTGCGTTTATTAACCCAAATATTCTCCTGTATGCTTCTAAGGTGCTGCTGTGATTTGCAAACAAGGCTGAACTTGAACGACATTTTTCAGCACAGACTTCTGTCTTCACAGATAAAAGATATTACTTACCTTAGCTGAGACTGCTACAGGGACCTGCAGCACTGTGGATGCTGCAAATAGTTTCTATCTTTGGAAGCAGTTAGTTGTCCATCCTGAAGGTCTCAGGCTCGTTATGGTGTAGTGGAGATCCTTCATGGCTGGCAGGACAGAGGTGGGGATCCTGCCAGAGTGCTACCATCTCTGCAATTGTGAGAGAGAGAATGTGAGCAACTATATGTTTAACAAGAGAGTTTTACAGAAGGGGAGAGGACAGAGCTGGAGCCAGGCAGCAGCTTTGGAGGTGGCTGAGGACAATGTGATGCATCACTTCAAAAGAGGAGGAGGAAGTGTGGCTCCACTCCCCCCCATGTAACTCGCTAGTTCCTAGTGCAGCCAATGCTGTGGGACTATGTGGGATTGTGTGACTTTTATTTCTACTCCAGTTATTGCTGCCACAGTTCTTCCAAGAAATCCAGACAAGGGGAGGTGAATGGTGACTAGTTTAGACAACATAAGCAGAGGACTCAGGATGTAATACAAGAAACTTAGCGGCTTTCTGATGTCCTTTTGTGAGTGAATTGTGTAGCCCGGTTGTTTAATGGAGCGTTTAAAAATTGTGTTGGCAATAGCCTATGAATAATGTATGCAGGAACAATGAAATACCTTACTGTGAAGAAACTGCTGATATGCTGTGGAACTTTCCATTGGGTGTGAGAATGATTTTGAAAGCCCTGTCTTCTTGGGATGCCCTTTATTTATAGTCCTGCTATACGACTAAAGGGAGATTGCACTCCCTTTTAGATACCATATGTAAAGATGCCCTCCACTGCTTCTGCCTGCCTGTCTTCCAATTTCACTCTATTCCCTTTGCTTATGGCTGTAAAACCTCCTGAATTTTGATGACTGTATGCTTTATTAACTGAGCATTGTCAGCGTGGAGATATTTGCTCCATAGCCTCCAGGCATTCCAGGTGTCTGCACCAAAACATGCTACGCCGAATGAAAATGAGTATTGTTTTTTTTGTCACAGCAAGGATGTTCCACGGTATAGGAAGCAGAAGTAGGGCCGAGTGATTTGGGAAAAAAAAATACACCAGCAATTCTTTTTCACGTTTCTGGAGCATGGGGTCCTTGCTTGAAATAAGGAACTGCAGCATTGCACACATGGATGTTCAGTTTTCAATGGACTTTTGCAGTGTGAACTCGGCTCTGATCCCTCCAAATTTTTCCCCAAGTCCTCTTTCACTGTATAAGGCCTTCACATCTTTTGGCCATGAGTAGTGGGAAGCTGCTGTGATACTAAGTGGCTAAATCTTGCTTTACTAAGGAAATGAGAAGATTGAATGTGCTTGAAGAGGTTCTCTGGAATTTGCACTGCTTTAGTTGCAGACTTCCCTGGACATAGCTCATCAACACTGTAGGTGCACCACAGTCACTGTCTCTTCCTCTGCTCCTTGCTTTAACCATTAGCCACAGGAGAAAATAAAATAGTAGCTTTGTTTCTCACCTGAGGTTGTCCACATCTGCACTGAAATGCAGAAGTGCCACAGGAGGGACTCTGAACACAATATTTATCTTATAGCTGTTCTGAATGGTCCCAGACGAGTGTATGGTAAGAGCAGGCCCAGCCTGCAGACTGTATAGCTCTCTATCCCATCTCTGCTGTGGCTTTGCTGTGAGTAGCCCAGTGCTCCTGCTGCATTTTTCTGTCTGTACTTACGCAACAGACCCTTGAGTCAAAGCATTTCCTGCAATATGGACAGTGTATTATTAGTGTAGTGCTTGGACAAAGCAACATGTGATTGATGCTGTTATATTAGTCAGCTAAGGAAGTGATATCCTCACCTTGGAGGTTTGATGTGGTGGGTTTTGAAGTCACATGGTAATAGCAAGATCCAGGCATGAGCCTACAGGGCAGGAGAGAGAATGGGTTGGAAGAGAGTTTGTATCCTCAAGGTGATCTGCAGCTAGCTAAACAAGAGGGAATACATTAGTGCTTTTATTTGGCTTGCTTGCTGCTGTGGTACTCCTGAGGAGTGCAGGATATTCTCAGCTACAGGAAAAGCTATGTATAAAAGGGGTTAGTCTAAACACAAGAGAGGTACAAAGACCACCAATAGGGTTTGACTAAACGTTTTAAATAGGATTGATAAAAAGTACCTAAAATTCCCTCCATCTCCTTTCTGGCAGCCAAGAAGTGTTTTCAGAAGAGGTTTACAAAGATCTAGGTTGAAGATGACAATTAAGTTCAAGCAGCCTTTTTCTGGGGTAGAAATGCTGCTAGCTGACTAAGAAAGAAAAGCTTTCAGAGCAGAGGAGACGGTTGCAGGTCAGTCCATTGATGCTTCTGATGGTTCTGTTGATTTCTCTTTTTTCAATGTTTGTTTCTGTAGGTGAAGAGTGAAGGCCCCAAACTTGTGCCCTTCTTTAAAGCAACTTGTGTCTATTTTGTCCTCTGGCTGCCAACTTCCAGCCCTTCCTGGTTCAGTGCCCTCATCAAATGTTTGCCCATCTTCTGCCTGTGGGTTTTCCTTCTGGCTCATGGAATTAATTTTTTAGTGGCACATCGGAGCGCCAGCCGCATCCTAGCAGGACTGATATTCTCAGCAGTGGGAGATGCCTTCCTCATCTGGCAGGAGCAGGGCTACTTCATTCATGGTGAGTATGGTGTGAGTCCTGAAGGGTTGCCACAGTGCCCAGCTGTTAGTCTGTTTATTTAATAGTGAGTTCCTTGCCACATGTTTGCTCATGTACAGCTTAAATGCCTCGTAGTGTGAGACAGTCATCCCTAGAGTAAGATCCATTGCAGTTAGAGGAGTCATAGCATGGATGAGACTCCTGAGCTTCACTTGAGGTGTCCTGAAGTCAGAGAGGTCATTAAGACAGGTTTGGTTCCTCAGCACGTGTTTGCAGTGTCTCATCTGGCTGGAGCTGGGAAAGTGGAATGGGCAGAATGTCCCGGGAAGAGGAGGAAACTCACAGCACTCAGCATCTCCCATGAAGCTGCAGGAAGTATCTACCTCCTGTCTCTCTGCGGGGAGATCTGTCAGTCCTCCTCTGCAAGGATGCAGAAGTAAGACACACGATGCCAAGGCCCTCGGTGGACAGAAGGCAGAGAGGATCCTTAAGTTGCAGAAGACAGGCCCACAGCCAGGGGGAGGTGTTTAAATGGATGTCAGAGAGCAAATCATTAGAAATCTTGTCCTACTTTCAGGTTCATCAGCATGAATCATGCAGCCTGTTGTAAAAACATGGGAGCTGGTTTTGCAAGACATGTAAATTATGGGGAATCAAGGGCAAACCCTACCATGACACCCTGTCATCTCTACAGAAAGATCTACATGTCTCAGAGCAAAACAAACTTATTTTATTTCACTGTTTTGCAAACTAGAAGATAATGGCTTAGATTAATGATCTAAAGCCACATTGAGTCTGCCTGCAGCAACACTTGACATGGCCTTAGACTGTCATAAGAAATCAGCAGCATTTAAGTCCTTCACTTCACTGCATCAGTGGCATTTGTGAAGTCAACTTCACCAGCAGAAGGATCTCATTTAACACCCACCATTAGCTAGCTGCTGACTGTCCCACTGGAAAACGTGATGAGATGGGAGAACTTTTCTGACTTCTATGTCAAAGGCTTATTTTTTGCTCCTTGTATGAAGTCAGTATTTAGTTCTATTCTGGAATTCCCACAAGCTCTGCTTTCTTTATGAGAGGAAAGTATGTGAAATGCTAGATATGAAAAGCCAAACGCTTTGAATCTGGTTTTAATCCTGCTTCCCAAGGGTTTATCCAAATCTTATTAAAACTTCCTGTAAAAACTCTAAAGATTTTGGTGGGGTGTAGATTAGGCCCTGGGGACTGGATCTGTTTGGCTGAACTGTGGGCATGTTGCTGAGAAGCTCCAACTATCTCTTGGGTTGCCATGCGCACTGTGCTGAGTGTTGGCGTTCCCACTGACAGGCCTCCTCTTAACAGGAATGCACGGCTCGGCACAAGTTACCCTGGCCCAGCTGCCCATGCCTCTGTTTTGCCTCCTGTCATTGCTTCTTGAGCTGTGGCTTGGAAAACATTCAAGACCTGATTCTCACCGTGACCGTTTTTGTACATGGGCTGTGCATAAGTTCCCCATTCCCACGTAGCTGGGATATCTCTGAGTCACTTCTTTGATTTAATGATAGAGGAAGGCCAACCTGTCACAGCAATTCAGTATTGAGTTCAAGTGTTTTAATCTGCAAATCAGCTGGAATTTTTACCCAATTTGTGGGTTTTGACTGATTTTTCTTCTTGACTTAATGAGAATGCTTGCTTAGCTCTCTTGGAGCATTTTAAGAACCTCAGCCTGGATCTCTGGCTTTCTCTTGTCTGCCTCAGTCTGTACCAATATGAGCTACTGCCTTCTGTAGTGAAGTGTTAACACTTGCATTTCAGCTGTCAGCAAATAAAGTGCACCACCCCACTTATCCTTTCCTGCAGAAGGTATTTTCTCCTAAACACAGCAAGCTGCTGTTGTTGACAACTGACAACATTCAAACTTTTGACATCAACCCTTGTGGGAATTTCGAATTTCAGGGGAATAAAAGGAATTACTAGAGAATAATGTTACTTTCTCTTCAATTTCTATGGCTTTCAGGCAGAAAAAAAGGTTGAGATCTGAGTTGAGTTGAATAGCTTTTGAGACAATGAGTTTATAAAAAGACATTTGTTCATTATTTTACAGGGAGGTGAGAGCCTGGGAACCTACTCCTGGCACACTTCACTTTTCATTTTTGCTGTTTCAGTCTACAAATAGCAAGCTATTTTCTGACTGGTGTCTTCCTGCATGTGGAAGATACTTCACAGTGTTAACACCCATGTCCTTTGATAATGGGAGCACAGAAACAATTATGCATTCAGTAGAGAAGATGGAGGCTAACAGAAAGGACTCACTGCCAGCCTGAGCAGCAACTCCAAGGCAGGGGAAGTGGGAAGGAAACCTGGGCTCTGTGATTCCATCTAACTGGCCCAGAATAAGGCAGAGAGCGGAAGGAAGCAGATGATAGATAGAAAAGGCTGATCTGCCTGGTGAGACTGGAGGGCTGAGCCAAAGGCTGAGAAATGCAAGCAAATTGCACCCTGCTCCGTGCACATCTCTGACAGGTTTCCCTGGTTCTTGGCTTTATTTGTGGGCGCTGAATGAGCAAACCTCAGAGCTGACTCTCTTGTGACCTCACCATATATCACAGAACTCCTCCTGCCTTTCTGGGCTTCTGCTTGGCTGCTGTATCTTGTCCTCCTCTGCCTTGCTGCTGGCTGCCTACATGAAGGACAACTCATTCTTCAGTTCCCCATTCCAGCACTTTCTACACAATTCCACTGAAGGAGAAATCACTCCTCATAGCTAGGACAAAGTAACCTTCCCCTCCTGACCACTCCATGGCTCTAACCTTTCCTGCATTATAAACATTTCTCATCCTAAATCCCTCTCTCAGTGCTGCACTCATGAAACCTCTGAAATATCAACTTTTTGTTGCCCTTCTTTGCAATTCCTTTTCCTTCCCACTGTCCATTACCTCCCCTTGCAGACTAAATCCTCACTAGCCCTCTCCCTCCTGTGTGTTCCCCTCTCATGCCATGATGGCTAAATGGATATTGATCCCAAAAGCTGGGAGATGCTTCTCCTTTTATCTGCCTCAGAGAGTACAGGGATGAGGAGATGTCTGCCAGCAGCAGGATTTAGCAGTTCCCCTTTGTACCACAGCACTGGGCTTTAAAATGCAAACAGGTGTTCTGCTGTAGGTCTTAGTTTCCCAGATCATTTTCTCCATTCTGTACATTAAAGCTGCATGAAAACATTCAGGCACTGTAATTAACCCTGCCCAGGTAAAGTAGAACAGCCTTTAGCTGCACCGAACATGGGCTTGGGGCCTACTATGTGCAAGTAGTAGCCAGCAACATGGCTACTACCAAAACATGGTGACATTTTTTGTCAAATGGGTTAGTGGCAAGATTAACACAAGGGTGGTACCTTCCATGTGGGATTTCTCAGGCGTGTTGCACTTCAAAGGGAAGCCAGCATTTTATTTTCACTGATTGATTCCAGCTAAGGTTCATATGAATCTTGCAAATAGCCATAACACTGTTGGCAGATCTTATTGGTGTAGTCCCTGAAATATATCAGCTGCTTAGGTCTCTCCTAGCTATGAGCAGAAATGGAGTAAAAACCAGATGCAGTCCCTGAGTTCTTTTGGGTTTGGGGCTAACTATGGTTAGATTTTCTGTCTAGATTGAGAAGGATCGCTATCTTACCACATTTTGTTCTGGCATGGCTCTGATTCCAACGTTCCTGTTCCATTTGACCTAGGAGTGAGATGGTTCAGATGATAGATAATTAGAGGGGATTACCTTTGCTCTGCCTTGCCCTCACCTTTCTGTCCAAAGCAGTAAAGGAATCATCTGAGAAACAGGCTTTGTTCTTTCTGCAGCAGCTTGGCTTACCTGGCCTCTTGGCAAAAAGTTGTGCATCACAACAGAGTCGTTCTCAGCTGCAGCTGTAGAAGTACTGAGACTCTTTCTTAGGGCAGGAACCTGGTGCTAAAGTCAATCTGTGCAAACTTTTTTATATTAAAATGGTCCCAAGTGCTCAGTGGGGTGTCTGATTAAATCAAATGAGGGTTGTAACACAACAAGGACATCTATACCTGGAGTAGCTTCTGTATATTTCAAATCCAATGTATCCATGTTTTCTTTTGCTACTGACTGCAGTCACTGTCAATGCCTCTTTCCAGGTCTGCTGATGTTCGCCATCACACACATCCTGTACTCCTCAGCCTTTGGCATGAAGCCTTTGGACCTGAAAGCCGGCTTGATGATGGGCCTCATTTCCAGCTCCTGTTATGCCTTCCTGTACTCCTACCTCTCGGGCCCATTCACCTACCTGGTAGCTGTCTACATCGCCTTGATTGGCTTCATGGGCTGGCGAGCAGTCGCTGGCATGCAGCTGTGCAATGACCTCTGGACGTGGACCAAGCTCTCGGCCTGCATTGGAGCAATGCTTTTCATGGTGTCAGATCTGACCATCGCAGTTAACAAGTTCTGCTTTCCCGTACCCTACTCGCGTGTTATCATCATGGCTACTTACTATGCAGCTCAAATGCTTATTGCACTGTCAGCTGTAGAGAGCAGAGACGAAGAGGACTTCAAAAAGAGGAGCTAGGTGGAGTGCCGACAGTCTGTGAACAGTATGGGTTATATCTCAGGTGCTGTAGCTGCATTCACCCCTGAGAGAGATCTCCATTTCTCTAGGCATATTGGTGATGTTGATTTTGCTTCTTTGAAGCATTACCCTTAGGGCTTTATTTTCAATGGCTTTCTCTGAATATAGCTTACTTCAGCGTGGAGTCCATGTCAGAAAGCTTAAGATTGTCCCTGCAGTAGCTGCTCATCCAATTTTTCCACCTTGGAAGTGCTGTACTACTGCACTTTATTTGTTAGTCTTGAAACTGATGCTGAATGTCTGGGAATAGGAGGTGCAATGGACAGGTTTGGCCACACACTGTGCTAGGAGACTTGCTTTCAATTGTAGGCAGACAGGCACAGACTCTGCTAAAGCCATAGGTAAAAATGAGTTTAACCAGTGTTTAAGTTAGCCTGTTCTTGTGCATTACAAATTCAATACACAAACTGGAGCTATTTGAGCCTCTGCTGAAAGGAAGCCTGTAGCTATAGTAAAAACATCACATTCAGATGAGAGCTGAGCTTTGGACTCAACAGCAGCATGTTGGGCAGCCCCTAGCAGAACCTGAATGAGAGCCAAACACCGAGCAGAGAGCCCAGCATGAGGTACACAGAGATGAAGTGCTTGTGTGCCTCGATAGCTGCTGATCAAAGCTCTAGAGCAGGTCTATGGACAGCTGCCAGCATTGCCACGTGCAGCAGAAATTGTAGCTTGGTGGGCTTTTAGGGTCATCCAGGTAGACAAACCAGTGCATTCTCCTCTGCTACATTTGTACAATCACACAGTGTCAGCAGCCATCAGTGACAGCATGGGCACACGAGGATCTTTGGTTTCTGTAGCAGAAGTTGGAGGGTGTATGTTACTAACGTGTGTCCTATTTGTCTGTGGAACAGCAGATAGGAATCTAACATTTACAGCTTTCTTTCTCAGTATTCTAACAAATAACATTCCATATACTCATGAAACTTTCCTGTCCTGCTGCTTGCAGCGCCTTTTCTGAATGTGTGAGCATTTCCCATGTCTGAACTGGTTAGTCGGGGCCCTGATTTTGACTGTAGATCGTTGTCATGTTTTGCCAGCTGGTGGCAGACGTTCAGCTTTGCAGCACTTGTGTTTGGAGACCCCTTTTTTAGCAGTGCATCCTGAGAAGCACAGTTCTCTGTGTTCAAAGTGCCTGTTGCTTCCTTCTTGAACTCACAGCAGGAATGCGGGAAAGCCTGTTTAATTCTGACCCAAATTCTTTACTTGGTTTTTCTGCCCATCTGCTGAAGCAAGATTACTTCTGACTTCACTCTCTTAAAAAGATGAGAAAGACATTGCCCTGTTTTGTTTTGTTTTTTTCTAAATACGACTGATTTTATTTTCTCCTCTTATTTAGGACATCCGACAGCAAGCTACATTTCCATTTGAATCTCTCTCCAACCTGCTCTTTCCCTCTGACCATCCTAAGGTTGTTACTATGGGTGGAGATGCTCTCCTAGTTGTTTTAAAGACACAACAAGCTCATTCAGCTGCAAAGAAAGTTTCTAAGGGTTCCTGCACATCTTCAACCTGTGGCCAAAAAGGGATAACCCAAATCCATGCAGGTCCTAATAAACCCTTGCATACTTTTGTATGGCAGAGTGAACAGGAGGGGCAGCTTCCAGATTGTCCTCATGGGTTGCAAACCACCACTGTCGCCATACCTCGCATGCTCAGAACATTCCAGGCAAAAGCCTGTCACTGAGTCCCTGGCACCATCAACAGAGCAGGAATTCCTCTTTCCAAGGAGGGCAGCTGGGGTCAGGGGCAGCTGAGGAAACATCCTTAGCTTTTCTGTTGGTGCTGAGAGGTGTTAAGTGGCTCTCCTGTTCCTCTCCAGCCTTCTGTGTTGGGACTGGGTGTAGAACAGGCATTGCCTCCCCACAGTTGGTACATCTGCGCCAATGCAACCAGTATTACAAAAATCTAGGTTAACCATCCTGACCCCATGGAATCATCTACTGCTTTTCAGAGAGATCAGAAAGGTCAGCTGCGTTGTTGAGAGGGAAAGAATTCTAAATAGCACAGTCCGGTTTAATCTCTTCCCTTTAATGCTGTTGTGTAATACTGTCAGTATTCATTCACCAGTGTGCTGGGGTCTGCCTGGAGTAAACTGCTAAGGGAATTTAGAACCATAAAACATCTTCATTCATCAGCATTGCTTATCTCCTGGCCGCAGCTTGAACCCTGCAGTGTAGCTCTTTGCAGATATCAGCTGCTGTTACTAAGCTTAACTGCTTGCAAATCGCTTTCTGCAAAAGACTGCCAAGAGGAAATGTAAGCATTTGGGGTGAACCCCACCATTCTTCCAGCACATCAGAGCATGTTTCAGTCTGGGTCAGTTCAGTACACTCAATCCTTATTCTGGCAGTTCTTCAGAGAAACTCCCTGCACCCTGAGCTTCCCAGATGACCTCAAGCAGTCTCTTCCAATCTCAGCCATTCTGTGATTCTTTGATTTAAAAGTTAGAATTTCAATCCGAACCATTATCTCTTTCTTTCTCTTTAAAAATGAGCAATCTTCAGTTTACTGAAGACAGCTGGTTTGCATTTCTGCATGCTTCTTCTTCTTGGCTTTGTTTGCCATCCCGCTCCACTTTCAGGCACTGCACACTTGCAAAAAAGGACCTTTTAAGTGTAAGTTGGAGGCATGCTCTCTCTTCTTCTCTGGCTGTCAGAAGTGCAGTTTCTGGATACAGAGGTGTGTGGATGGCTTTAATTAGGATGGCAGAAACACGTGTCACCCAAGTGGGCTGTTGTCCCCTTACTGTCAGTGGCTGGCTGGGATGCAGCCTTTGAAGCATCAGCATTGGCTTGCCCAGGAACATGAGGTAGAGCCCTCAGCTTACAAAGCACAGAAGAGTCCTGCCTGACTAAGAGCCAGCAAAGGCTCTTAATCTCCAAAATCTCTCTCCTGCTTTGCATTCTCTACTTTTCATCCTTATTACTTGAACGAGACCATTTTCCTGGAAGGTGTCCTTCCTGCTAGGAAGGGCCCATCTGAGGCCAAATGAGGACACTCATTTGACACAGTTTTCAGAGTTTCTGAAACCCTGAGAAACACTAAACAGTTGCTTGCATTCTGCTGAATACCTTTTCTTGGGATTAAAACTCTTCTCTTAACCCAAGCAAAGGCGGTCTTCATTATGAAAGGGAACAAACAGAAAGTGGGAAGCACATGATTGTCTGTGACACTGCCTGTCATTTGTGCGTCTCTGCACTGTAAAACTGCATTGAGCCATTCTTCTTATCAGGAGTGCAGTGTTTAAGAAACACCCACTCTTCACCCCAGGGACACTACACAGGGAGTGAAGCACCCCAATGGTGCAGCATGCCTGGTGGCCCCAATAGTATCAGTTCCAGGGCTTAAGTTCTGAGGTGTTTCTTTACACAATGCTGTTCTCAAAGTTCCTCTGCGGTTCCCATCTAAAGCTGCTTGAGGCTATGCACATGGTACAATTACTCTTGTTCTCTTGTATTAGATCATAGTTATCTTTAGGTCTTTAATTGGATATATGGAAAATACATTTCAGCTGAACTTCTCTTCCTGGTGGTAGATCCTCCTTTGTCCTTGCTCACACAGAACACCCACTGAAGCTGAAGAAGCATTCCTATTGCAATGGGGTTTTAAATGCTAATAACGTATTGGGCTGTGAAAGTTACACTGACGTCAACAGGGTGAAGCTAATTTAGAAATGGCAGGTTGAGGAGAACAAAGCCAGAGGATATAAACAGCTTTACTCCTCTGCTGCCTACATACTCATGCTTAATACTTGGCTTCTTACTCCTTCACACTGAGGCAACTGTAAGACTGATTGTTTTAAGAATTACTCTAGCTTTTAAATAGATTGCTGAAACTTTCATACTGTAATCATGCAGAGAATAGATTTATTTCTATATACATATTTAGAACTCCCGAGACAAACTTTGCAGATTCTACTTAGTGGTTCTTCCAAGTTTTTTTGTGCCACAGTTTGACGCTGACACCTGTAAGTTTTCATCTTACTGCCATGCTAGTGCTGGGAGCTGGTCTGGAAGAAGCAGATCAACACAAACAGCAAGTGCAAAGCTTAGTGGCAGGTGCCTTGTTCTCACTGCTTGGGTTCTGTATACAAATGGATTTTTTACTCAACAGTAGCATAATCATGTTCCTCCCAAGTCCTTCTCCTGCCTTTTATCCATGCTTGCTGCTGTTGTGGCCTTGGTTAAGTCACAGTTTTTTTTGCAGACAGATCCTCATCTGATGTAAGTAGGCATGAGTGTAGGAAGGCCAGCGCTCTGCCAGGTTGTAACAGCCAGGACCAGGACCTGTGTGTCTGTTCTCATCCCATTTTGAAAATTGTGGTATTAGCACTTACCTACCTCACAAAGATGCTGTAAGGATTAATGCTTATACAGCACTCAGAAGATGTAAAGTGCTATATGTCTCAAATATTAATGTACTGTAGTGATAAAAAATACTTCTAGGCATCTGCAGAAGCATGGAATGTGTTACTGCCTTTTTGATTTGCATTAGGCTGAAAGCTAATGAAACATATTTATTCATACTGTCAAACAGGATAGGCTCAGCTACACTTGAACTCTGTGGAGGTTTTAGCTTAAAAGTCTGAACTCTAATCTCAGTTTTGCAAATGGATTTTAGTTTATCTAAAAGCCTCAACCAAATTCTTAGATGTGAATTGTGCATCCAGATTTTGCAATCCAGTCTCAACCCTATCTGTTAGCTAGAATGAGTCTAATCCAGCCAAAACACAGTGCTCTTACAGACTGCAATGGCTGTTGAAAAGACTGGAACAGAAAACGAAGTCACTCTGTTTAACGTTCAACCTGCAGAAGGTCAGCTAGGTTTCAGGATACAACTTAAAAAGGGATGTTTAATACTGTGATTCTAAGTTTACTGGCTTTAATATCAGCAGAGAGGGAAGGCCTTGATAGAATCAATAAGGTCGACACATCCTCCTTGAATTATTTCCTTTTAACCTGAAACAAAGTAGTAGCAGGTTCTATAGTGAAGGAAGCACTTGTGCCATCAATCCGAGGGCCCAGAACAAAAAGACATCTAAAAATACAGCTCTAAACCATCACCATGTACTCAATGACTATAAAAATGCCACAGTTCACTGGATTCAGATCTGGACTACATCTAGAAATGACTTGGTTCTGGTAGCACTAGTTGCTGTATAACACAAATGGAAGTGAGATGTTACCCAGGAATGTGAACTGTGTACATGTGAAATGGACCATAATTTTGAAGCAGCTGCAGTAAAATCTTATCTTAATATGAACTCAGAAGCAAACACAATGCAAATTTTCATTGTTTCTTTACAGCATATGATGGATTTTAGTTTTCTTAGTTTGGAGGAAATGTTCTTAATGTTATTTTATTTTTGCTCTTATTGTAAAAAATAAAAATATATGACTCTAGATAGATCACAAATTAAAGAAGGTGGCCAGTTGGCAGGAATGCCAAAATTTCTGTGGCTTGTACTGTTTTTTTGTGGTGACACTATGCTGCTGTAGGATGAGCCACTGGAGTGGTATGAGGCTCAAAAAGAAGGCTGAAGCATAAGGCCCACTGCGGACTCCCACAGTCAATCTCATGTCAGAGGGATGCAGGGACCAAGCTGCCAAGATTGCAGTGGGAGCAACGACTGGTCCCACGTGGGGACAGACAACGTCAGGAAATAGAAGAAATCTTTTCCTGACAGCCAAAAATCAAGAAATCAAATCCAGCCCATTGCATGAGAGCACCAAGTCAGTACAAGCACATGGGCTTAGACATCACTCTTGTAGGCTTCTGCTGGACCAAATCTCATTCCCAATTCAGCAGGGACATCTTGTTCCAGGCCTACTGCGTGGGCAGGGCCAGGCCAGCAGGAACTATTAAAGAAGAATACATTTGAAAACAAAGGAACCAACCCAATCAACCAATAACAACAACAACAAAAACAACAACAAACAAACCAGAAACCAAAACAAGAACACAGATGCCATTGGGTAAGCAGTAGTTCTGCCTTGCTGAGACCACAGGAGTGACTGGTCTGTCCTGAATACTAAGTCCATGTCTTGTACAATGTAAGCCTCTTACTCCGGCCCCTCTCCCTGTATTCCAGACAGAGTGTGCTGAAAGATGTGACCGAAGCAGCTGCTCTCCCCAAGGAGTCAGCATTTTGCCATGTGTGAAAGTCTCCAGCACTTACTTTCTTTACCATGATTGTAAAGGTCACCACAAGCAGTACAGCTACTTGATCTGGGATCTTTTCTTAACATATTTTTATGCTGATTTTACTGTTTTGATTCTTTGTTTGGAATGTATTTTTTTTTTTCTCATTTCTTCTGTGTGTAACAGCAATTAAAAATATTAATTTACTGGGTATATTTATTGTCCAGATGTAACAGCTCTTTGCTCATGTTCTGTTTCTGTGACAGCAGCCCACTGAAGCTCTGTAGCGGGCAGTGCTGTGCCGCTTCTGTCCCTCGGTGGCGTGGCTCTGCCCTGAAGCTACCCAGAGCTGCACTGAAGCAGAAGGGCGCCGTCGCAGCCAGATATAGTATTCCCATCTGAATACTATGAAACACATCTGCAGGCACCCCATAGAGCACATCCAGCACAAATGAATGAGGCAGCACTGTGCTGATGGCAACTGGCTGGTGTTACAGCACGTCCCAAGTGTCCTGGGGTGCAGAGCCCCGAAGGACACTGGCTCCTTGCTGCAACAGCCAGTCCCCCTTACAATGGTCATTTGTCCACACTTCCAGGGAGAAGGCAGCTTGCTGCAAATGATTATCTGAGAAGTTTGCTCACCAAGGTTATCCAGAAGTCCCACACAAATGGACAATTCTCTTTTTTCTCCTCTCCTAAGTAGAAATTTCCAGGGGAGAAAAATAGGTTAATATGGACATCTTTCTCTGATTGAGATTCTGCCAATCTGCCCATTTCCTCAGCTGTGTTTGATGCAGTGGCACAGATATTTGGTTTCATTAATCCTGAACCAGGCCATCTGTCATCAGTGGAACAGGTTTCAAGGATCTATAGCATAGAAATGCAGAGCAAGCGCCCCCAGTCCATTAAATGGATCTGCTCGCAGGCTTAACATAGATTCTTCCACTGTCCCCTTTTCAGTGCAGTGATTCCCGATGTGAGAATGAATCATATTAGGCAGAACCACTACCAAGTTTCAAAGCAGCCCAAAGGGAAGCGAGGGAAATCAGGTGTTTCTTTGCTACTTCTCTGTCTCTTACAATTCATTTCAAAACCTTAGAAGCATCATGGGGGAAGCATTCTGTAACCACACACTTTCTTCGTTGTTGCAGGTGGAACAAAGGTGACAAAGTATTCTTGGACTAAGCATGTGAGTGTGGCTGGTCACATTAAGCTTTTATACCCGAAAAAATCCAGGAAAAAATCACTATAAACTAAAAGAACCAACTAATATATATATATATATATAAATTTATCTGACTATGTCAATCCTTCAGTGGTTTAGACACGTTCTAATTCTTTAGTCCTACCCACTAGCAATGAGGTTACTGGACCTTTCTGGATCTCGGGTTTGCTTTATGCAGCCAGCTCTTTCACATGCTGACTTGCAAAGCTGCAGACTGTATTTACTTTTTTGGAATGTTAAGGTCTTAAGTACTTCAGATTTATGAGTTATGGTATGTTTATACACAGCCTGACATAATGAAGCTTTCATCATCACAGAGGTCCTGCTGAGCTATCTGGGGACATGGCAAATAAGGAGACAGAATCCAGCTCTCCTCCTGAACTCAGAAGCAAAATTCTCATTGACCAGTGAAGCAGACTGATAAGTAGAAGGGAAAACAGCAGTATTTGGCACCTTTTATTACGTTTATTATTGTTAAGATTCAATAGCAGAAATGTATTAGAAATGTCATCTTTCGTGTTTTGTCTGAAACCACTTTAGAGGAAAGAAATATGGAAGCATCAGAATTGGCCCTGCTGATCAGGAGCCCCACTCTCTACCACTTAGTTTAACTGACCTTTAGAGAAGCCAAGCACACCTGCATCTTGAGCCACACAAGCAAAAACAAAGGATGCAGCCACAGCAATGTGTTCTGCATGCTGGACCAAGCAGAGCAGGTTTAGACTTCTGCAAACTTTCTGTCACTGTGTCCAAGAGAGTTTTATCACGTTTCTCTTAAGAAAAGAGAAAGTGAGAAGTGCTGCAATCACCACATCCAATCCTACATTTTGAGTGGAAGTCTCACAAAGCACTAGCAATGTGGCTTCATAGAATTACTTAAAAGCTTTCCTAAACAACTGGTAACAACTTTCAAAAACAACTGATTGCCACTTTCATAGAAAGTGAAACTTCGAGTTCTGGAAAATCTCATTTTCATTCTCATTTCCCTTTGTTCAGTTCAACACTGTTCTGAGAAAGTCACTTTGTCTAATAGACATTGTGACCTTAGCACTGTGCCATAGAAAATGAGATTCACCCCTTCAGAGCTGTAAGATGCTGCTGCTCTGTGCCACAGAGGTGGAGCAATGCACTGTTTTTGCAAATACAGTGAAAGAGGCTAAAACTGAAAATATGACCAAGCAGAAGAATGCAAGCTCTGTAAAGAAAAGAGATGGAAAAGTCTACAGAAGAGAGGAGACAAACAGAGGTTTAGCTCCTGTGGAATCAGCAGAGAAATCAGCAGCAGATTCCAGCACATGTGTTTGGAACCCATTTGCACATCTCTTAGATCATTCCTTTACTCCCTTCAGTTTTGGGCCAACCTGTCTCTACATAAAGATTATTGAAACCCCTAAAAATGCCCTCATGGTCTGAAGGAGCTCCCAGTCTAACACAGTGCTTTCACAGCTGAAGTACCCACAGCAAGTAATGCTGTCCTCCAGCTGAGAGCAGCCAGCCGCAGGCAGTAAGAACCACTCTTCCAGAACGAAAATCAGTAAGAATAGAGTTCTGCTGTTCTGAAATAAACCTACAATTAAGTTAAATTTTAAGTGAAATCCTCCTCTTCTGAAGACAGCTTTTCAGTACACTATTTCTTATTCTGACATCTGCTCTTCCCACCTCACTCAGCTGCACAAACCCGTAGCAGGTCAGAGATTCTCCCAAGGGTCTGCCCAGGTAAGTCAAGGAGAACAAGGAGCAGTCTCAGGAGGTTCTGGAAATAAGACATTAAAGCATCTGATATATCAGCTTCCCCACCACCCACCCCCACCCAAAGGGCCATTTAAAAATCCAAATATAAATTAGCACCTCACCCACACAGTGCTTTTGCAAGCCTTGCTCCACAGCTACCGCTTACAAACAGGTTGCTTTGCATAGCTTTGGAGAGGCGTGTTCCTATTGTAACAGTTTTTTACCACAACAAGATTTGTGTGGGGAGGCAGAAGGTTTGTCCTTTCAAGCAATCAGATCTCTAAAGGTATAGAAAGCTGTTCTGCCCCTCGAATCTGCCTGTCTTTCCTTAGCACCAGTGAACAGCACTGCCAAAGTTCTCTTTGCATCAGCTTGGCTGATAGTGATGCCAGGCCAGGGAGAGATTCCACTGCTTTTGGGAACTAGGAAACTGTCCTCCAGCTGTAGGATGTGGCTTGAAGCTGTGGCTTCAGGGAGGAGTGCATCAGTGAACCTGGGAAGCATAAGACCCAGTAATATGGGAGCATCCTAAAAAAGAGCAAAGAACTGCTTTTGGTGTTATAGGTGCGTAGTGGCTTCAGTGAAAAAAGTGTCATATATATCCTACACAAACAGACAAATGAGTACTTGAAAATCAGAGCAGGAAACACAGCACGCACACATCCTTTTTTCCCTCCACTGACCCACACCGAGCTACTTCCCCACTGGCAGAGAGATGGAACCCTCCAGAGTGGGGCCTCAGCAGTTGCCAGCAGGCAGTCCAGAAGCAGTGATCACAGACAAAAATAACCCTAAAAGATCTTTCCAAATATAGCTCGTCATTATTGGTGCTGTATCAGTTTCATTTCAAGCTGTGTCTGGCAGTGTCTCTCTCTTATTCCCTGTAAAGAATAACAACAGGTCCAGAGGCATGAGGGCCTTTTCTCTAGAAAGGAAAATGGAAGAAAGAGTTTCATGTCAGACAAAAGGATGGAGATTTCTTGCTCTCCAGTGTTTAACCTTGATCCTTGGTTAATCATAAGTTGGGTGAGCATAACAGGGGCTGCTGAAACTCAGAGGATACAGTAGTTTCCAGGCATGGCTGTACTAAGAACAGTCTGCAAGCTGCAAGTTTGAGCATCATGACATGGGGAAACTATGTGTGGTTTGTGCATTACTGTTAGTAAAACATCACCCCACGCACCTGTAAATGCTCAGTTGCATGTGACCAGTCTGAGCTAACTGGAACACTGCTGCTGTGTTACAACCTGACATAAAGTTCACTGGGTGGGAATTTCTGGCATGAAGAAAAGCAGGGAAGCGAAGGGAGGATATCAGTGTCTGATTTTTTAACTTATTTATTTTTTTAACTTTTTGCCTTGGAAATTTTTACTGGTAAAAATGTTGGCAAATGTTGGCAAAATGCTGGCATTTCACAGGATGAGAAGATCAGTGCAGTCTTTAGTATTTGTGAAAAAAGCAAAAAGCTGTCGTTGGAGCTTGGACTGCTTGGAAATGAGTAGGATAAGGCTGGTTAGGGACTGAGGAAAGGCCATATTTGCTTTTGAGTCATCTGGGGGTATTTATGAGACTGCTAGCCCAAACATGCCATTTTAAGGAATCTAATACTGTTTTCAAATAACTGAAGGCAAATCTTAATGATTTCAGAGGAAGACAACGCCAGAGATAGGCTGCTTTTTGGATATGAAGATAAGTTCTTAGAAACACTGTGGTCCATGGACCTTTATCTGCAGAATTGGGCAATTGCTTACTTTATGTGCAGGCAAAAGAGCCAAAACGATCCAAAGAAGTGCACTGCCAGTCACAGTTAGAACATTTGCCTTGAAAAAATAGCAAAACTATACTTAGATACACAAAATCTACTGTTAGTTACACAATCTGAAGGACAGCAGCTGTGGATCTGACTTACTTATGGTCATCTTACAGCTGTAGGTTGTTAGGATCGTAAGCAGGCAGATGCCACCTGTTGCCACAGCTAAACCACAGCTTGAACTTGCACGTGATACTAATATTGCCCTTGTATGGGGTAACTCCTGCATGGGGGTTGTTAGCGGAAGCGCAGTTCACGATGCAGTTGTTGCTACGGTTTGTTGGTGAGGAGCACAATGCTAGTCCTTGCTGGGACACTCCTTCATCTTGAGATCAAAACACCATGCTAAGGAAATAGAGATGCTGTGGACCGCTTTATACCACACTGTCTGTTGCACATAGATATGCAATCATACACACACATGTAGCCAGCACCGTCAGGACAGGGAGTCTTCTGCGTAAGTGCAAATCCAAAGAGCTTGGACATGACAGTTCATGCCCTGCGTCTTCTTTCCCCACTCAGGGAGGAAGAATGAACAATACACTACATTACCCTCAGCGTTGTAAACAAATACAAAATGAAAAACAAGAGAAGGAAGACTCAAAAACCTCAGTCTCCCATCAAGCCGATATGCAATGGTAGGCAAGCAATTAATTTTTGTGCTTCTCGGTCTGTAAATAAGGTATCAGGTTTTTGCTCCATAGGGATATATTGATGCTTTCTCTTGTTAATGCCATTAAGTTGTAAAGTGCTTTGGGATATTTGGCTCCCACGGTGCTTTAGAAATGCATGATTAAATTACACCCAATTATAAACCAAACCAGGTGATCTTGGAAAGGAAGGGATATTGCTCTGAGGCATTAATAGTCAACAGAACGCTCTAGGGGGAATCATGGGGATCTGCATATGCAATTTAATTTCCATTGTCCATTGTACATCTATTTTCAGCCTGTATCTAAACACATTTTCTGAAGTCTTTATTATCTTCTTTTGCATTAGAATGAGGCCCCATTAGGTAAGTTCCCTGGATCCTAAATATAGCACCGTAGGGTAAAATTCTCCTAGTAGACCCCATTCTTGGGAAACAACTCTATTTCTTCCTTATTCCTCAGAGATTTTTCTACCATGTCTGAAGCTTCTGCAAATAAAACCAACGGCTTGTCATTTAGAATGAAGAATAGATCAGTTCACATCTGCTTGTGTCCTGCTGTCCTGCCTGAAGACAAGCAGGTTGTTACCAAGGGAATGTACCCTAAGACACAATCTCCATTCACTACCCTTTATGCTTGGTTACATACGCAGAAGTTTCCTAAGTTGTTCAGGCCTAGAACAAGACCCAGGCATACAGCACTTCTGCACAAGAAAATGACTACAACCACCAAACTGGATATGTTCCTTCACAGGAGTGCATATAACAGAAGAAACATACCTATGGTTTAGTGACATGGATCAAGAAAGCCTGATCATTAAATAAAAATAAGCACTCTGAAACCCAATTACTTATTTTAGTGTATTACTTATTCTATTACTTTAATGTAATTCCCACTGCTCTTGATGGAATTAGAAGACCAGTAAAAGCATGTGGATAGCTTCTGAAGAAATATATGCATAGCCTGGTAATATATATTAATATATAGTTTCCTTGTTTTATATTTCTGTTTTAATAATAAACAAAATATATGCATTAATAAGCCAGACTGAAAAATTGGGCTTGGATCTCACAAATCCAAGTAACTCTATTCTGCTTTCCCCCAGCCCAGGCAGAAAGATCATTTATTGTTTTGATGTCATGAACTGGGGCCTGTTCAGTTTTGCCTGGGACTACTGCTGATGAGATATCCTTATTACTGATAAGGCCTGAGCAGAGAACAACTGAGCAAAGGGAAACACATTTACCTGACACAGTACCCGTGAGAGTGCTAAAAGCACACCTCATGTACTTCCAGGGACTTCTATTGTTTCTTGCCCAACAAGACTGTCATGCAATCTCCTAAACATGACAGATTGGTTTTTCTGAATGAATCCTTCTCATTTAGGAAACAAATCCCAGTTGGATGGGAAATACACTACCAGACAATAATTTGTAAAGCCAGTAGTCTGTTTCATCAAGACATGATAAGCTATGAGCTTCGGACAGGCTCTACTATCTTAAATTTTAATCAACATCTGTAGAACCTACTACACAATGTCCTACACGTGCATATTGTCGAAGGCAGCTTGGAGCTGAGAAAATTACTATCAAATAGATGGAACAGCAAAAAAGGAATTCCTGTGCTCACTGCCTAGGTGGGGAGCTGAGGTGGAGAACAAGTTAGTGATATGCTCAAAGCCAAAGAGGAAGCCTGACCTTACTCTGCAGTCTAGTGTACAAAAGCACCCTTTTTCCTCAGCACTAACATGAATTTTTATGCTTACCTTTGTCTTTGGAGATGTACCACAGCTTCTTTGAATCCAGAGGGTCAATGTCCCCAGTGTTACTGTGGGCAATGACTCAGAAAAAGTATTTCCTTCCTGGGAGCAGGCCTGTGATGGTGTACTTATTGCTGTAGACTTTTCTGTGGCTGTGTGAACTGTGTGGCAGTACTGATATCATTTTTCAGGATATCATAATGTGTCTGCTAGTTCTCTTCTTCATCCTGGCTGTAATTCTATTTTAGTATCACAGTTTCTTGGGACTTTCTCAAGCCAGCTGAGATTAGTGATTGATCAGAGGAAATCTAAGAATTATTTTGCAGATTAAGTATTGATTTCTCCTGTTTGGAACCATCCCTGTGTTCTTTTCTGGGGCAAAATTATTTCACTTCAGCTCCTCCCTTCCAGAGTCTTTCTGTGTTTAATTAAAGCACTTTCTCCTTGATTTCTTCTGGCTTGAGGAACCTGATAGCAGCTTGCCGTATATAATTCCTTCCTGATGAAAAAATATGGTTGCTAGTTTTAAAAAGCACTCTGAAGAGGCAATGTATAAAATACAATGCAAAGATCTCTAAACTTCTCACCCCCAGCAGATCATTACAGTAATGAAAATTTCTCTAAGGAGCAAGCTAGTTTGTATGGACAAAGATGTATGAATGCACTGTGCTGTTCCAGCACAAACCACCATGTGGCTCTTCAGCCTCACAGTCAGGTCAAACCTATGAAGGATAGAACAAAAACAAGACAGAAAGAGAAAAAAATTAAAAATTAAAATAATGAGAGACTGCATTGGAAAAAGAAGTCATTCTTCAGTCTGCTGAGTCAAGCGTGAAGAAGTGAACAATGGAGACTGAAGGAAGAAACTTTCTACAACTAGTGTTGAAGTTGGTTAAGAGGAGCAATGCCAGCTATTTTCCTAATACCCATGCCACATGAAAAAAGCAATAATACCTCAGCAATCAACAGCTTAGTGACGAGCACCTGTTCACCAATTTCAGGTGAGAAAGGGCAAACATGGGAACATTTGATAATAGTTCATGTAAAAAGTGAATAAGAGAGGCAGATCTAATGCCTTATTAGATGATGCCCATCCTCTTTGCCACAAACAATTTTCTATGTCTGTTTCTAGTACGACTTCTACTTTTCATTACAGTGCTGCACATTGCCATTCTATACCAGAGAAGTTTATCTGGAGCCTGCATTGGCTCTTGGATTTTTTGGTGTTCCTGTGTTTGGAAATATGGTATCAAAGCACAGATTGGTTATGTAGTTCCAAAGTGAAGACTGAGAGTAGAAACAGCGATGTTTATTATTGGTCACTGTGTCATCTTCTGAGATTTCCCTCAGTCAAGCCTGAACATCCGTCTACTCTGCAGAAATCAGTGCTACATAACATGACTTACTGCTGCTTAGGGCAGTCAGCATCATGCTTTGTCATCTGAGAGCATCTTAGGAATAAAAAGTCTAATTTCACAATTCATCATCAAGAACTCATAAATCCTAAACAATGATGATTTAAGTAATTTCCTACCTTGAATAATGAGCTGGATAGGGATTTCTTAGTATGACATAATACTTTAATTCTCAAGACCTGATTAGTATCTTTGAAGCATGACCTCAGACAATATTATTTAAACTTTGGCTTGCTGTCACCTGATTGCTCATCTCATTCAAACCAGCCACCTGAAAGAACTGTAATTCTGTCTCAGTACCACTGTATTTGAAACAAGCATTTCATAATTATGACAGTTTATTTGCTATAATACTTACCCACCTCACCCATACTCAGACTACAGCATCCTTGATGGAAATCAGAAAATATTCCAACCTAGACTTGTGTAACGAAATACCTGAGAAACATCAGTGGTGGAAGTAACAGTTATGATTGCACCTAAGATACCTGTTCAGGGAACAACTCAGGACTAGCCAAAAGGATGGCAGAATCCTTTAATTTGACTAAAGAACTGCACAGCTTGTGCTGGCCTCTATTTTCTCCCAGCACCTCTGAAAACACAGCAAGAAGAAGTAGAGCTCTGATACTAAACATTCCTTTGTGCAACATGAACTTGATCACCCTTTAAAAAAATTATGTATATTTAAGAAGAAAGGATCAGTAAGAGATGGGAATTCCAGCTAGATGGATATTGCAAGTCTTACCTGTAACTCCATTGCTTTTCCCACACCGGCTTCACTCGCAGCTTGGAAGGATATGTCTGTCCTGCAAGCCTCCTGCAGTGTTAAGTGGTACTAAAGACAGGGATCAGTACTGTCTTTCTGTCAAGGGTCCATCCTTGGTGTTCTCTGCTTATATCCTCTAGTATGTATCCTGATGGCACAGCTTCCTTGTTTGGTTCCTGCCAGGCTGAGAAAATGCTGGAGCTGGAAAAGTCCACCAGATGGAGGACTGTCAGGACTTCTGCAGGCTCTGTGACAGAAGGACTGTGACATAGTACTTTACTGGCAGGTCTATGTTTGAATATGTGGAGATAGAACTGTTCTTTTTTCAAGATGTCAAATCTGCAAGGTTTTAGAAAAAAAGGAACCTTGATAAACACAGCAAATTCTGTCCACTGAGACAGTGCAGTTTCTAAAATAAACGTAAACCCATATAAACCCTGTCCTGAGGCAGGCCATTTAAGTGTGAAGTCCTCACAATGTTTGCAAAGGGCCCAACTGAAATCATTGTGGAAAGGGCATCTTCTGTGAGCACTGACCACCACTCTTTTCCATGAGAGCTTGGGAGAGGTATCTATGCATCAAAATTCTATGCATCACTTCTGTCTCTTTCTAACTGACAGATGGGTGTGTGTAAACACATTTCCTGTAAGCTGTCCTGTATGGTTTTGAGAGCTGTATGTCTATTCTTTTATTAAAAATCCCTCTTACAGTTTTGAGTCAAATGGTTTGGCACTATCTGGACTGCTTGGACAAATGAATTGACTGGCTTTCAAAATTCTGTTCATGTTCTTCAAATTTATGTGCCAAAGATTATAGTACTCAAATTAACAGTCACTTTTGAAAATGCAGATCGTGCTTTTTGCTCATTAGTCTACCTTGTAGCTCATTTACCTCGTAGTTGTCGAGTTAGATTGCCATACTAAATAAAAAGAGTGAAGGATATGATATTAAAAATTATCTGCATGTTTTGAGTCAAATGAATAGTCCAAATTCCTGTTCTGCTTTGACAATCTCAGACAAAATGCATTAAAAAATAAACAAAAATAACTAAGACCATCCTCCTAGCCCAAGTCAATTTGCAGCCCAAGTGCAGTCCAAGTGCAGCATGCTGTGCCAACCTTCATGCTAATGGCTTTTACAGAATACTCTTATGAGCATAAAGGGTCACAAGGAATATGGTGCATTTGGGTAGAACATATTCTCCTAGGCTTAATGCGGAATAATGCGAGTAGTCAAATAGGAGAAGAATCATGGCTTCAGGCTTTAAACTGTTTTTGTGTTGTCTTCTGATGTAAAGGAACCAGAACGCTTTTCCTTTTGAGTAACTATTTAACCTCAAGGCTCTTTGAGCATAGAATTCTCTTTCTTTTTTCTTTCTTTCCTTTTCTTTTTCTTTTGTTGCTGTTGTTATATTAGCTTTTACATTTCAGGAGTTGTTTATTTTCCCCCCTAAATTATGTGCACCGACAGAGGACCACTCTCATACTGATAGTTTAACTAGTGATAGTTAAAGCCATTTATTGGTGGCCTCTGACAAACTTCTGTTTTTCAAGTGCTTTAGTTACACAGTCAAATAAAGTAAGAATTCTACATAACAAAGTTAAATTTGCCCAGTTCAGCATCTGTGAAGCACCACAGTTCTTTAGAGTTTGTGATTTCAATCAGTCCAAAATTAGGCACAAACTTTTCCTACTACAAATCCGGTCTTAAGGGAGAAAAAGAACAAATCCCACAACTTTTAAAAAAGGTGATGGGCAACTGATGAAAGCAGCATAGTGATGTTAGAAATATCACCAAAAAATATTTTCTTTGTCGTATATTAGGCAAACTGTACGTAAACATCAAGTGTTCAAGTTGTCTCCACCTTAGAGCATCTCTATCATGTTGATCTGTTTGATTTTTGCATACACACAGCTGCTCCTGGTGAGAATTCCTTCTTATATTCTTATCTTAATAGTTACACATTTTAAGTGAATCACACTTTCAAGCACTTGTAATTACGCTTACAGTGAGTAGTATTAAGGCCTTCATTAATTAAACTGCAAACACAATGCAATTCTTACTCTGAGTCAGGATGAAGTTTGCCACACTGCTTCAGAATTCGGTCATAAATGCATAGATCTTGTCATAGCACACATGTTCAGGAAAACTGGACATTAAATAGTTGAAGATAGACACTGATGGGATCCTTTGCAACAAGTGATTAAAGCTGTGCTGGGAAATCCAGGCTCTGCATGGCTGAACATGCATTGTATCATTTGCTTCAGGTACCTGGAAAGACAAATGTTGTAATTACACAACTCTAATTACTCCTAATAGTGAATCTACCTGGCTACTAGTTTTCTAAATTGCTTTTGGACTGACATGAACCAAGAGGTATTGTCAGCTCACAGACACCTGGAGAACAGCATAAACTTAGGGGTTAAGTGAGCCCCTTAATTAAATCTAGATTTCACATTTCCAGTAGTCCACTTTCACATCTTTCACTAAGGTCCAGAAGAAGGAAGCAGAATTCCTTTGAATGTAATATGAAGAAGAGGCATAATTTGCCACTACAATGCTTATCACTAAATTATGAATTATATCTTGGTGTAATCTACATTCTGGGGAAAACTATCTTCATTACTTCGCCCCCACTGACTTTAGCAGGACTTCCCATTTAAGTAAGAAATTCAGCAGAGTGGCCAATCCTCTCACAGTCCAGCCTTCGAGAAAGGTTAAACCTCTGTTCCATTTAAAAAAGCAAAAGTTTCAGGGAACTGAATAATTTTCTGTAAAAACTGCCTCCTTCACATACCACGAGTAATGTTGGTATTTCAAAGGGGATATTTTTGGATAGTGTGATGGATTGTAACTTAATTAGCATGGAAATGCAACATGTTGACTGAGACAGAGGAAAGAATCCAAGAGCTAAAATATTAGCAGAAAAGGAAAAGCAAAAGTCTTGTTAGTCAAATGCTGCTGCTGACAGGAACATTCCCATGTGTTATGCAAGCTGTGCTAAGCATTGATCATATGGTTGCTATCTGATGGATACAATACAATCAGTCACTTGCTTAATTCATTTCTGGTCTAAGTCAGGAAAAGGCAGTCAAATTAAGTAGGGGGAAATACAAAACACGAGTGCTTGAAATTAGACAACCAAATCCATGGGTGACTTTCTGACATGCTGGGTGTTCTGCTGTGCTACTGTTGCATGTGGGCGTCCAGATGTCTCTGAGGGTTGAAAAGCGGATCTCACTTTGAACAGCACGTCAAAATATACATCTTGCTAGATGCCATTTCCTTGATCAATCAATAGTATTCAGCTTTTTATTCAAAGCTTATTTTGCTTTTAATGTGGCTGTATAAAACATACAAATAATCCTGATCCGACTTTGGAAGGGATCTTTGTAGCCTAGGACACAAAGATTGTTACCTTCTTTTTCCTTCTTTCTGTGACATAGCCTAGCTCTGGGGAACCTCCAATATGGACTGAGGAGTTTCTGGTGATGGTGACAGCTTCTTTCCTGACATTTAGTCCTTAAGGCTGAGACACCTGTTCAAGAGACTCCACACAGAGAAAAAAAATCAGTTTAGCACAGTACAAACAGAATTCATGGATTTCCAATTGTGTGCATGTATGTGTGCATACGTACACATATACCTACAGCAAGAAGTCAAGGATAACTTGCATGTTTACTTGATTCATGCTCCAGTGTGTTGTTGTTTTTTTTCTTTTTTACAGCTTCTTACTTTGCCAGCCACTTCCCTTTATCACTTCAAAGGTTGAAACATTTAAATGCTTGCATTTATTCCAAAAATGAGCTCTTTATGCAGTATGCTACAGAGCTGCACAGAAACACTTTCCTTAAATCCATAAGAAGTTTGGATAAAAATGGAAAATTGCAACACTTTAGGTGAGAACTGACATATATTGCTTCAGTTTGGAAATTTTACTTCTGACATGCTTCAACAGGGCAGACCCACTGTCTACACTGTCTTCTGTGATACACTTTGATCCTGGGAAAAAGAGAGCTACAAATGGCAGGATGCACAGCTTCTCTAGGGATCCCAGTATACAATAGAAAACAAGCACAGGAGGTACCCAAACTGTAAGTCCCAGAACATAGTTCAGTAGAGTTTTCTAACTAACTTAGGTTTTGGCTGATATATTTTCTTTCTTGGCTGCAAAACAAAATGTTTTTAAGCATTCCCTTTTAAATTATCTTCTCTCCTCCTCCACAATATTTTCCAGACAAAGACACTTCATTTCTGCCATATTCTACTAAGCTTATGTAACTGACGCTAGAAGAGAGTGTTAGTTAGTCCTCTTTCATGGCCAGTTGAGGGGTTTATGAGTCTGCAAGCACTGGTAGTGAAAGGATTGCTATTTGTTTGGTCCTGGTTTTAGTCCAAGCACAAAACAGTGTCTAAGCTCCGGTCCTTCTCATTTGTCCCTGAAGCATGAGGACAGCGTTCCTTTGGGAACTGGCAAGAAGGAAGAGGACAAAAACGATGGGAAGCAGGACATTGAAACTACATTAAAAACAGCTGGTCTAAGATCTTCACATGCTTACCCAATAGGTCATCTGGCAATAATTTCTGTTCTTCTGTTTCCAGGGGATACTGAAGCCCTCAGAGTCGAATTAGTATGCTTTTCTTTTTTCCACCTTCTCCACACCAAAGTTACTTTCTACCACCCCTACTTTGATCCAAGATATTTTCCCTAGCCATTCTCCTCTTGATGTGAAGCAAGTTACCAGTTTTTCTCCATTGCCTTTGGTTGCTTTCCATTTCATTACAGTGCCTATTCTCTGTGTTTTCCAGGAACTCTGCTTTCCCCTGTGGAGATTTTGGATTGCTTGTAGTGTGAACAGCTGACTAGAATGACAAGGAGGGCCTTTACTTAGAGGGTCATATCCTTCCACAGTGTAAATCAAGGTAGTTCTATTGATTACAGCAAAATTGGACTTGAATCACTCAAGAAACCACGGCAAGGGTTTTTGGGTTTTTTGTTTGTTTGTTTGTTTGTTTGTTTGCTTTTTAAGAGAAATTCTGAATGAGAGTGTTTGCAGCCCAACATGTCTACTAGTGACATGCCTGCTATAAAATGATTAATATGAGGCCCTACCAACAATGCTGAGGTAAAAATCTGAGCCAGTTACTTTCTGAGATTCAGCATTAACAGCTCCATTGTCTTCTCTTGCACAGCGTTTGCTTGTAACACAGTCACTGGTTTTCTCCATCACCTCTTTCTCTGCCATTTAACACCATCTCAGAAACATGACTTCACACAATGCCTATGCCTTAAAAGGCACTTTCAGTATGCTCATTCTTCATAGTTACACTATGTGCAGCTAAAAGCTTCAGTAACAGGAGAATCTGAAAAGAAAACAATTGAAAGCTGCAGCTGCAAATACACCCTACCATTTTTCCTGTGTCTGTTAGTTCCCAAAGGTAGCCCAAAGTTGGGCCCCTTGTAATACTCCTTGATGGCTTTTTTTTCTTTTTTTCTTTTTTTCTTTAATATAAGAATCCCATATTTCATGAAAACTTTCAAGGACATGAAAAATCTTCAGTGTGTTTTGATTCAGGCAATTTAGTTCTGTTTCTTGAACAAGAAACCTGGCTGATTTCCTTCAGTTGTTCAGCTCAGCAGAAAAGGAGGGAGTTCTAAGAAATAGCAATTGCCAAGTGCTCCGCAGTTCTTTAGGTCCTTGAGATTTATTTCCAGGCAGTTTTTAAGTTTTGAGGGCAAAAGAGGAAACCCTTTGTGCTATTCTTTCCTAAGACCACATTTGGATAAGCCGTAATCACAAGAAAGATGATGGAATCAAAGTTTACTGCTTGTAAACAAAACATTCCATAGTTGTTAGAGCTATATGGGAAAATGATAAGGATGTCCTGTGCACAATAAAGAAAAATAACCAAGTTCCTAAATATTTGTGTTTTTCCTTTTGTCAGGTATACGATTACAAAGGACAACCTGCTGAAATAGTCATAAAAATGCAGTCAGTATTTCTGACAGCAGGAAAATCATTCCCTGTACCAAGGCTTTGCTGTGGATGTGTTTTTACTGCACACAGGATCTATAAATCTATATTTGATGCTGCAGCCACAGCATCCTTACTGCTCCGTTTGTCCCACTGTCTTGGCAGCGGTATCCATCCATCTCGCCTTTATTTGGAGAGAGGCTCTTTTCCATGCTGCAGATGATTCTGAAAGTCCATCTGGCGCCATCTGGCTGCCAAGAGCTGAGTAATACACATATTTACATTAGTTATAATTTCAGAAAAGGTGTTTTTCTCGTTGCTCATGACAATGTTTCAAGTAAAGGTTAAGGCCAAAATTCTCCATCACAGATTTATAAACATGGAAACCTGTATTTTTCACTTAAAATCAGTTGGTATGACTGTTCAATTTTCTCCCCTTGGTATGGAGACAATGGAGCAGAAAAGTGTTGCTCACGCAGACAGATAAGCCTAAAAATGGTACAGCCCCAGCTGAAGGGACCTGATGAAGCACAGATTCTGCAAGTGTTAGTGTTAACAATAGTAAGGAGATGGCTTAGATACCTGCAGTGTCGACTCTTGCTTTGTCCCCTGTCCCCTTGGCTGAGCATATGCCTCTCTTCATGCTCCTCTTTTAAACTGTTGATGAGTTTGCTTCCTACTACAGTACCCAGATTCCTTTCATGGCTATAATCTGACAAGAAGGTTGAGGCATAAAACAACACCCATTGCAACAAACACCTTCTCTGACCCTGTCCCTAAACCTCAGAATTTCCTGCTCTAAGATGACCAAGAAATCAAGATTTCCAAGACCTTATCTGGCACAGTGTTCTGTGATTTATGGACAGAATGAATTCCGTGGGCAGTGATCTATGTATTTGCCTAGAAAAGCTGCATGGCATGTAATGAAGGGTATGTATTAGCATGCAAAGAATACATTCACTAATCACTCTGAAAATCTGAGACTGAGTGAGAGAGAAGAGAGGATGGTGAGAAGCCAACCTTTCGGGAATGAATGTGTGTCTACAGGGTGAGAAAATATGTTAACAAATGTGAAATCATATAAGCACCTTCACAGGAGACCAGGAAGGAAAAATTTGAAAAAGTGAAGAATTAAAGTCTAGACTTAGTAGGACTGAGATTGTGGAAGACTGGAAAGGATTAGATCAGTCCTTATCTGATCTGTCCGCCTGTTTCTCCTTAGTCAAAAACCCTTAGGATGAAAGCTATTATCTCTGCATGGTAAACTGCACATCAGGGAAAGAAATGGGGCTAAAGAGAGCCTGTTCTTATATAGCTTTTATCTGTCTTCATGGGTGTATTTCCACTAGAGGGAAAGCAGCTCAAGGAACCCAAAAGCTGAAGCAGAAAAGAAGCCTCTTGCACTATTCTAGATCCGCAGCTGGTCCAAAAGAACTTTCAAACGAGATAAACATTTCTGCAACATTTCTAACATTTCTATCTGAACTTGAACTCTGCATAAGGAAATATGAGTCTATAAAAAAGATACCAGACTGCAATTCCATTGTGTGTAGGATCTGGTAGGAGCCTTTTGAACCTCTGCATGGGAGAGGCAGCTCATCCGTGGCTTTCCAGGTTACCTATAACATGTAAATGGTTTCTTCACTGGAGGAAAGGTCAGAGAATCCTCCCACCCCACACAGTCCCTACACTGCCACATTCACATTCTAGGACTGGTACCCATCCTCCAAGAGTTGGGGTTTCCATGCTCACTGCCAGCCAATCTCAACCTTGGCGATGGACTCCTCATAAGGCTGCATGCCTGGAAAGCCAAGGGATGCCATTGGGAAACTGCTCCTTTCATCTGTCCTGTTTTGGGACAAAATGCTACTAATAGGGTGACTTCCACCCAAATCTGTGCATCAAGTCAAACCAGGGTTTGTGGGATATCATCTGATGCAGAAAACGCAAAGCTATTAGAGACAAACCAGACTCAGAAACAGATGTCAGGGTGGGTAGCAAACTGCCTAAAATCTGCCTGACCTCACAGCTGAACTCCTCTTGGTCCTTGGGATTTCCTTCATACCATCTTACCAACTAAATATTCTGTTGTTCTTGCACCTGCAAAGGACATGCTAATATGATTGTTTCCTTTTTCCAATCACTTTGTTTTAAAATGGTCTTAAATGATATGCTTCTCATGGAAGGCATCTGGGCATTCTCAAAGCTTGTCCACAATAAACAGAAGTTATCACAGATACTAAAACCTACTAAAATCCACTCTGTGAGGAAGAACTTTGAAATTCTTCCCCAGCCCATGTTGAGAGCACAAAGATTTTTGCCAACATTCACCTCCTAGCAGCCTTGTGTCTTTCTAAATAGATAGTTTATAGTATCAATGATGCTACTGCAAAATTAATTAAAAATATAAACACGATATTGAATATTTACTACACTAAGAGTCTCATGTTGTGCCCCTGGTCCTTAGCATTCAAACATCCCATGGGTCACCTTAAAGAACAAGAATTCATTATGACAATCCTGGTTAAAATAAAAACCACTATACTTTACTAGGCTGCTTTAGGTGGTACGAACAAGGACTTAGATGGAAGATTTACTGCTTTATGCTTCTAACTCTACAGCAAAAAGGGACGTCCTTAATTATTATCTTCATAATACCAAAACAAAGCACAGACTAATGGCTTATTCCATATTAAACGATAAATAGACTTCAGATCAGCATTATCTCAAATCAGTTTTGTGGCTGTTATAACAAAGCAACACTACTGCTCTACAATGAAGAACAGTACAAAGGCTGCTAACATTTCTTTTCCTTCCTTGGACCAATCATACATACTTTCCCAGTTACAATGGAGCTGCTGTAGCAGTCGTTAGGTTCACTGTCTCACACAGCAATGCCTATACAAGTTCCTGAGTCACTGGCTCATCAACATTATGATAAGCTCTGCTCTCTTCCCTTCATGATTCCTAGTGCACTTGAAATCTTTCAATCATCCATCAATTCCTCATCTCTTTCAGAGTGACATCTTCCAAAATCAGCACATACTCCAGGCAGGATTTTCCATTCTTCCTTTGGGTATTCTCAGGTTTGCTGATGAATTGAACTGGAATCTCTAAGAAAGGGGAAAGGAGCAGCAAAAAAAAAAAAAGGCACAAATCAGCAAGCACTTTACAAATCAAACAAGGCAGTTTTGTTTTTTCAGGGTACAACGCGGGCTCAAGGCTTAGGGGATTTGCACTTTAGGTCTATGAATTTCGTAGCTCAAATACTGCTGTAACACATTTGATTTACTTACCACCTGAAGAAGCTTACATTGATTTACCTGTGATCAGTGAAGAATGGAGCTTTCTGCTCTGTATCTCCAGTTTCAGCATTGAGTTCTGAAGTCCACAGGACAGGATATCCTAAGTGTGGGCCAATACAATCATCAGATGCAATGACCTCATACTTATTGTCCTGCTTCCACACTTGCCCATTGAACTTCCACATGAAGTTTGGCATTTTCCTTAGCAGGCCCATTTCAAACATCGCAGCTAGCAATGTTTTGTGGTCATTTTCAGTGGTTTTGTTTCTATCAGGTTACAGGTTAACCTGTTAAAATACCGAAAAGACAATTTTTTGTTTTGCTTAGTTTCCAAACTCTGATTTCCTACACTACATAACGAGACTACAGTGAAGTCATTTTGATTTGTTTCTTGAATGATGGCAGAAAGATCAGTTAATTCCTTCAACTTCAGCAGAAATTAAGTTAACTAGTTTGAAATAATCAGTAGAAGTTGCATGCAATCTTACAGTACCAACCACCTAACGACACGCTGCTTTCTGTTCAGTTCTTCTGCCTTAGTTTTGTTTTTTCCCCTCTCCTGACTCTATGTCATTGTAAAGGACATGATATCAGGCAGCTGCTGATGAGATACCTGGAACTATTTGGCATATTCTGGAACTGATTGGGAAGCAGAAAGAAGACTGATATCTTTCTGTGTTATCTGCTAAGAGTGCTGCTGTGCCTGGCAAGGATTGCTATTTGGCTTAAGTAATGCTATTCTACCAAATAATATTTTTTTTAGTAGTTCTAGCACATATAAGTAGTGCACTTAAAGAATGGTACTTCTGGCAAAGCTTATTTTTAAGGGATGGCCTTATTGCAGTAGAAGGTAAGGCAGGTGGGCAGCATCATTTTTATCAAGTGCTGAGGTACAGCTTATCATTCCCATTTTTCCTCTAAAACTGGTCCAAGTTCAGTAGTGACTCACATTCCTGCCACACTGACGTCAGCCTAGCTTATTATGTGTGATAAGCAGGCTTCAAGCTGAGATGTGCTATCTCATAAAAGGTGTTTTCACACGAGTGCTCTGGTAATTGTGGGTTGGTCTATGACTTGAATGTTAGATTTCTGTTTGAGCCTAAAACATCAGTAACATGAATGTTACAAAGACATTTAGAAAAATAAGAAAGCAGATCATACTTTGGCCTACTTTTTGATACAAAAATCTACAAAACTACAAAATCATAGTTTTGACCCTCTTTTATTTTCTCTTCAGATATTGTTTTCATACACAGAACCTCCGTAATTCTGTAACCAACATCACCAGCATCATGACTCTCACAAAAATTCTGTAGGCACCCAGCTCTATTTTTCTTTTTTCTATGTTGGTGATGCACAGTGTATATTTCTTACCCATCTGCTTCAAGGACAGATTGGATGGGGCCCTGGGCAGCCTCTTTTGGAGGGTAGCAACCCTGCCTACAGCACTGGGGTTGGAAATAGAAGATCTCTAAGGTCCCTTCCAACCCAAACCATTCTATGATTACAATTTTTTTAATTTATTTTTATTTTTTTTTACATTTCCTATATTCAGCTTCCTTGCCATCTTTGGTATTCAAAAGCAAACATTTTACCTGCTTTCCAGATATTTCAGAAATTCTGCTGTTAAGTAACTGAAGAATTACATTAGGGACTTCAGAGATTTGGTTCACTATCTGGCACAGCCATGGAATCTGGGATAATTTTCTGGATTTTTCTACCAACTGTTCCTTGGCAGAATAGAAGCATTACTATGTCCTTTATACACCTCATTTGGACTGTAGAATTCCTGGGCAGGGACTAGTCCAACACTGTTTGTCCAAGGCATCCAGTATGCCTTATCCTAAGGAATACTGGATTGCAGACCTTAGGTAGTCTATTAGGGTGCTACATTAACATCATAAATCTGATCTGATATGGATTTCATCTCCAGTGAGAGATCTTCCTAGAGACATTAACTGAAGAGAGGTTCTGAAAACATTTTTTACCTTGTCAAGATTTGACACAATTTCTTCACATTTCTTTGAATATCCAGTTTTGTCCAGCTGCAAAAAAATGTAGATACTTATTCCATCTGGGATGAGTAACTATCTTCCATCACAGTTGTCTTTTTGGATGCATGCACTTTTTTTTTTTTTTTTTTTTTTTTGGACTCTGTCAAGGGTCTTGAGGTACTATGACACTAACTTCAACCTCCACTTCTTCTTTCACCTCTTTCAATTTCCTGAGAAATGAGAGAAGTTCACACTGGCCTTCTCTAAATTCTCCAGATTCTTAGGGATGATCTCCAATGTTTCGTTCTCCTCAACCACCAACTTCTTTACGTTCTTCCTCAGAGCTGGAGGTCCCCTGCACATAGCACTTCACAAGAAATTCATGCTTCTTTTCCAAGTAAATAAGCAACTGTCATGTTATAACATTCAAGATATCTAGACCTCTCTTGGAAGAGGGATTCATGCAGTTCCAAACAAGTTTTCATAGCATCAGAGAACACAGATAGAGATCTCAATGCTCCCCCATCAGATGGTCATTGCTGGGAAAACAGATTACAGAAATCCTTCCCACCACCTTGTCTGCCAGCCCATCTGCTGGGAGTTTGCCAAAGTGCTAACAATACATAAAAGGAGATCAGGCGGGTCAAGCAGGTTCTTCCTTTCATGCACCCATGCTAGCTGGGCCTGATTCCCCATCGTCCAGCAAATACCAGTGATCTCACTCAAGATGATCTGTTCCATCGCCTTTCCTGGCATTGATGTCAGGCTGATGGGTCTGTAGTTTCCCAGATCTTCCTTAGACTCTTCTTGTAGATGGGAATCGCGCTGGCAAGCCTCCAGAGTCACATTAGAAAGTCCTGAATAATATTAGAAATTATTGAGGTTTAGCACTGTTTATTTTTTTATTTTTGCCTGAAAGGCACACAAGGGGCATTAGTGCCCCACTGCAATAAATGCATAACCAAGTAACAAAAATAGCAGTTCTTGCTCTAGTGTTGTTTGCTGCTGATTGGAAACAATGCCCTACAAACATTCAACAGTATTGGCAAGTAGCAGTGCTGCAGTAGGACTACTGCAACCCGGGACATTTTCTTAGCTACTGATAAATATTATAGTGATTAACTTTTTCTTATTTAAAGTTTTATTGTGGAAATAAAAAAATAAAGCAAAAAGTGTTACCAATATTCCTTAGTGATATTGTGAACAACACTCTGGGTCCCTCTACTGGTACTTTCCATGTTTTTTAGGAAAGTTTCCCTCTCCTTTCCATGTTACCTTAGGATTTGGTTTACTAATCATTTCAGCTCTGAATGCCCCTGAAAATTCAGGAAGAAATATTGGAACTGATTAATGAATAAGTGAAGTGGAAAAAGGACCTGTTACTCTGGGCTTATTTTTAATGTTTGTTTCATGGGGATCAGGTTAACCTTGCTTTACTTACTGTACCTAATACAGCCTCACATACATCACAAACATTACTCTGGGAATTAAATTTGTTCTTTAGAAGTACTCTGCAGACTGACAGGAATTATTTGTAATTTTTTTTTTGTGATTCATAATCAAGGCTAATATAATCTTTCTGTTACATCATATAGTTATGGATCTGTCACATATGAACATAATGGAAGCTTATTTACTTAGTCTTTTCAGGTCACAGTCTTTCAGCCCCACATTATCTGTTCACGACTTTCGCTTAAACAGGATCTCCTGACTTTGAATCAGTAAAGACTGCTTTCCAGCTGATAAAATGAACTGTGCCTTTCCCACTGGTCCAGCCCAAATCTCTAGAAACTGTAAGGATGAGTAATAGGGTTTGCTCTTTTTTTTTTTTTTTCAAACCACTTCCTCCATGTGGAAAACATGATGAACCATGTTTACTTGCACATAGTGGGTGAACGTATCTAGGAACACCTGAAAATGCAGTCAGCTATTGTCATACTAGGTAGAGAACTGGTTTTCACCAGAAATAATTGTTACTCACCCTTGGGTGCTGTCAGTGGACAAGGCTTTTCCACAAATTTAAAAATATTTTCTCCAGCAAGCAAGCATCACGAAGGAGCATGTCACCATGCTAAAATGCTCCTGTATGGCACAGACCTCCTAAAAACAACCTCTTTGGTTGGGAACAAATGTGTTAATCAAGTTGAACAGAGAGATGTTGTTTGAAAAATTTATTTACCAGAAACAGGAAAGTAAGGATACAACAAGAAGCCCTGGAATACAACAGATAAATAAGCAATTGCCTGGTCAGTTAAAACCCCTACACATAAAGGATTTTGCAGCAAGTACTGTGCTGACTTTCCACAGGGAGTGCTGATCAATTCCTTATTTTTTTCCAGTCTTTCTGTGAGGCTTTGGGCCAGTAATTTGCTCTCCCTGTGTCCCAGCTGTGTCATCTGCATAATGGAAAAACTAGGCTACCTTGCTTGCATAGTGGTGCTACAAGATGCTTTGATGCTCTGATGTTAAACATTCAAGAAAGGTGTCAAAACCAGATGCATCAAAAGATACATACTAGGACATACTAGTCTATCCTTCTAAATTTTACTAAGCCCTCCTTTGCACTTCATTTAGACAAATCCTCAAATCCCAAACCATTCAGTACACATTTTACACCTAAAGACAACAACTAGCTTGGTATGCATCACTTGAAAAGATTATGCATCTATGCTAACTGGAGAAATTTCTGGAAGCATATGACCCATTTCCAGGAGGGCGTCTGCTACCTACTGCTGTGCCAAGACTAGTAGAGAGTTGGAGTAAAGAGTTAGAGTAGAGAAACTACTCAATTCTAGTCTTTGAGCTGTAGGTGCTAGTCATCTAGAAATAGAGTATCCCTAGTTTTAGAAAGTGTTCCTTGACAAGGCAGATAAAATGAAACTTTGACACAGTTGTGTTCTCACTGAAGGCTCTTGAGACAGAAGGAAGGCAACCCAAAACGCAACCTTCCCCAAAGTTAGGGGCAGTTGAAGTTAGGTAGTTGAAGTTAGGCTTCAACTCTGATAAAGTTTGTAGTTACAAGCTGCAGTCTAGAAGACACAATCAACAAAGAGGACAATGTTAAGACCGTGTGACCACCAGACTTTGCTTTGTTGCCAGGAGAAATTACAGCTTTAGCAAGATAAAAGCTTTGGCATTTACCCAAGGAGATCCTATTCCTTGTCATAATACATACACTTTGGTATTCTTGTGGAGCTGGCCTTTGTCTCTTGGCCTGCGTAAGAGATGAATGTTCTCTGACTCTGACTTTATTTGCAGAAAACAAAGAGTCTCTGTCATAGCCCACGTATCTCATTGTATCTTCTAAAAAAATACAAAGGGATATCACGCATCTCTAGACACTGCTGTCATGCATCTTCTGCTCAAGAATTTTTCTCATAGCAATATGATTTTTGAACCCAGGAGAAAGATCACTCTTACTTTTGCCTGGTCCTGCCCCAAAGGGGTTTTATCCTCTTCTGCTTACTGCCCTCACTTTCGCTGTTCTGTTCTCACTCTTTCTTCTCTTGCATCCAAATGGTCAGTAATGAGGATGACAGGAATGAATGGGGCTGGTTAGGAAAAGATGAGAGATGTTATTCTGTAATCCCAAACATTCTTGTAAGAAGTATATTTTGCCCTCAGCCACTATGAGGCAACTTCTTATCAGCAGCATCAAATGATAAAGTGAGAAGGCACACAGCACGTTCCATTACTCACCTGATCTACTGCCCAGTCCTTTGCCTATTTTTGAATGCATTTGGATTTTCAAATCCTTTAAAACTCATAGTGACATTGTTTAAAAACCACTCACCAAACCACCATTCAAATGGGTCCACCTTTCACCTTCAAATCGAATTCCCTTTACTTGTGTTTCTTTTACTTGATGAAAGCTTTCATCTTTGACCTTAGACTTTCTGAACGTGAAAACTGTACAGTTTAAGATCTAGCAGCTTGCGCCAGCTATATACTAGAAATGACTGATCAGAATTCTTTTTTTCTCTGAAATGCTAGGCTACTACTTTTATTATCCTTCCATCTGACTACTTTATGGCCAGTAAGTGCTCTGTTAGAAAAATAAGCCAGTTTGCATCAGTACAGACCTATCCATTTTGAAGGACAAAAATTACATATCTTGCCTGTGACAGATGGTGAACTAGTGGCAATAAATTGCTTCTCTTCACTGACTGCATTTGATCTCTGTTTAGAACAGACTAGTGCTATGTATTCTGTATTTAGGCTAAATTCAAACAAGTAGGGAGTCTACTACAGAATGCACTAGAGTAATAATCCACTTACACTTAACAAAACACAGGAACTTAGAAAATCAAAGAATGTGAAAATTTAGCCAATTTCCAGAGGCTGACAGAAATAATTCTAAGGGTAAACTCCACACAAAACAATGGCATAATCCCCGGGAATATATCACTTTTACTGATGATATTAGATTACTGGTCAAGAAAAGAAAGAAAAATTTAAAACAAACAAAAATCAAGACAAAAATGTGCAAAGGCTGAAACATTGTCATCTTTTTCAATGAGCTGAAAATACTGCATACAAAAATAATCACATGCTGTGGTTCACAGACTAAAGAGGGATTCCAGCGTGATAGAGGCTCTGTGATCCCTTCTCTAGAAATCTGACTTGTTGCTAACACAAACGCACTTATCAAATCAGAAGACTGTGGAAATGAGATGTAAGGTGAATAAGATATCACGAATGGTGAGTCTAATAAATGTATCAAGGAACCAACTTTCACTTACCCCTTCAATAACATAATTCAGAAACAAGAGCCCAACAAGAGCCCAGCTTAGACACAGAGAAATCTGCGCTGAGAGTTAAACTTTCCACAACAAAACCAAAACAACCGACAACCCAAACCAATTCCACCCACCATTCCAAATAGACTCTAAAGCCAGGCTGTCCCTTTCCATGTTCATTTCACAGTGTTGATGAGTCCTCCCTCACACTTCTGTTCTTAGATCAGCTACTCTGGCACAGAGTGGGCATGTGAATACACATACGTGCATATTGCTGTAGGAGGAAAAACAATGCATATGAATGAGATCTTGCAGTTTGGATTGATAAATCTGGCTACGCTGCCAGACACGGAGCTTAAGAAGAGAAGGAGTGACCGCATCTCTTCATAACCCTGACCTTTGTGATGGCTGACTGTCTGCTCTCTATGTTTCTCCCAAAAGCCTGAAGACCAAGATGATAGTGGGCGTAGTAAAACCAATCCCACTTGGTTTTCCTTCTTTTGACCCAAAAGCAGAGAGACGTTTCTCTTGTTCTGTGATGCCTTACTAATTTTGACTTCAATTCTGACAGCTTTCCTTCCATCCTCTTCAGACACAAATAAGCTAAGCATGCAAAGGAGAAAGATCGGAGCAAAAGGATCTATGCAGGAACGTTTCTCTCTGAATCCTGGAGAAAAGTGTTGCCTTTGTCTTTATAGAGGAAAGCAGATACTGACATACTGATAGATACTGAGTACAAATATCCAACTCAAGCAAAAACTACCATTTCCCAAAGCAGAAATGTCTTTTGCCTAATCCACTGGAGATGTTTTCATCACAAAATTCTGAGATGTATTGAGATCAAAAGGTGGCCAGAAGATGCTAAGCCTCTGGAAGGGTCCCTGGCAACATAGACTCCCTCAAGGGAGTCGAGGGATGCTCCCTCGAAAACACTGGTTATCAACATTTTGGATTAAAAAATATGTACAATGCAGTGAATTATTTACTGTATTCTAAGCCTAAGAAGCAACAGGCAGAGAGAAAGAAGAAATATGAAACAGAAATTGATTACCATGGTCCACTGTAGAGAAAGGAGGGGTAGGAATTACAGTACCTGAATACTTCACCAACTTTATCTTTTAGATAAAACCTTTAGATTTAGATATCCTTTAGATGCTCTGAGACATATTACCAGCTATGGTGCCAATATGACTTATAATTCTGAGTAAATCATTTAGCCTCTCTGTTCAGCTTCATTATGAATGGAATAAATCTTGCCAGCTGAGCCACTGGGAATTACATGGAGGACAAACTTGAGAAGCTCTTCTGTATTAAACTTAACTGCACTCTCTTCAGTGATTTTAGTCTTTAATTCTATGTAAACCTGTATGTCTGCCTATCTCAGAGTACTAACAAAAGGACAAAGCATCACTGATCTGTTAGCATGAGAGGAAGAGGATGACTATATAAACGTCATGGCCAATGACTGACAAACAAGAAATCGGGCTACGCTCTGCCATGTTCAGTAAGTGTGAAAAGCCATATGAAAGAGACAGGGGAGTTGGTTCTAAATAAAATCATCTCAGGTTATTATAAGCTAACACACCTGGAGATAGGAATTCAGTCCTCTGGGAAACAACTGTGTTGCAGGTATTAGTACTGCTATTACAGGTATAAATAGACCAGGGTAGAAAGATGGAGAGGGCAGGTAGAATATTTTAGAAATTATTTATTTTCTTAGAGAGTGTCCAGTAAAAAGAGAAGCCTGATAAGACGCACAGTTTAGCATAGTCTCTATTGTCAACTCAGTTTCAAACCTCCTGAGTAGCAGAAGAGGCAGTTTCACTCATCTCAAGTGCTACTGTAAGGCCAGAGTTCCTTTCTGCTAGTTCTAAACGCTTCTTAAGTCTACCTCTGCCATCAGAAGAGATCAGAAGCTGATATAAGGTCCTTCAGACCTCAAATTCTATTAAAAAAAAAAAAAAAGAGAGAAATATGTTAATTATATTAATTACAATAAGGCTGTAGTAGAAATAGGAGAATTAACTCCAACTGCTAGACAGAATAACACTTTAAGAGACATTTGAATATTTTGATCTTGAGTGAGTAGAGCGCACTTGCCTAGTGCAAGATGGCAAACGTGCAGTCTTTATATGCAGATAAGGTAGGATGCTACTTGCTTTGAACTGATGCAGAGCAGCCTGACTTTACCAGTGACCACACTTTCAAAACATTCCATGTATGCAGAACGGAAGCGGACAGCAGGTTAGATTTCTCTCAGCATATAAATTGTTTACTTCTACTGGAGTCAGTGAACCACCACTGACTAATACATGCTGAAGAACTCTGCATGCACCTCGAAGTCAGTATGTGAGGGACTGTCATACCTTGTTTGCCATAAAACAATTATCTTTTAGAAAGCCTCTTTATACGCAAGGCAACTTATGAAGCCAAGTTCTCTCTTATTTGCACAATCCTATCCTACCATCAACATATTCTTTACTAGATGAACAGCAATTTGATGATAGAACAAGTTACTTTATTAACTGAGTTAATTTTGACACTGTAGGGCACTGAACAGCTGAAAACATTATCAGGAGTTCCACTTATAACACTATTCAAAACATTTCTGGTACTTCTGTTATTTCTAAGGAGTACTTAGATGGAATAGTGTTGCCCTATCAAAGGAATCAGTAGCAATAGAATATAGCTAGCAAGGTTTACATAAAACTAACAGTCATGTTATGCTCAAAAGCTTAAGTTTATTGCTCTATTTAATGACTACTGCCAGTATTTTTAAAAAGATTGCCAGTTCTTCTTGCTAGCTTCTCACTGAAGGAAATATTTTAAATACAGCAATAAAATCAAGTAGTTCAAGATAACACATTTTGCCACATAGTCATGCAAACCCTGCTGATAGGATTTTTACAGGCTCATGGATACAGAATAAACACAAAGGATGTGTACTAAAATACTGGGAAACTTTCCCCACAGCGATGAAGTTGTAGGCATAACATTTTAGGCCCTACCCTGCATCTGTTGATGTCAATGACAAAACCTCAATAGGAGCAGGATCAGCCCTTATTGTTCTGAGAGCTGCTTTACCTTTTCCTGATGAAGAGGCGAAGTAAATCCACAGAATCTTCTGCCCTAACAAAAGCAGTGAGTTTTGGTTATTGTTACAAATAGAGAAGCAAAAATACTTCCAGTAAATGATTGCAGCTTCCATTCACAAATCACTCTGATGTAAAGGGTCCTGTGTATCTCCATTTATCACTGCTCAAAGAACTTCAACACGTGCTTACCTCTAAGCATTGAATACACCAACTGAAGCCTTCACTGCCAGACTAAGGTCTAAAAACAAAAGCATGGGAAGTAGTCTGCATTATTTACTACGGCTTGGGCTAGAGATTACAAAGGGATAACATTATCAAAACTTAGTTTGAGGGGAAATGTATCAAGAAGCAGCCACACATTGCGTGATCATTTTTTCTTAAGCTGCTTATGGAATTTGCGTTTCTAGTCATATTAATTTTAATGGATGCTGGCCATTTGGTCTCCTTTAAAGCTTTGGAACAGGCTTAAATTCAAAATATGGGTGATCTTATTATTACATTTCAAATAAAGATGGATTCAAGTAAAAAGAAATTCCTCACCTCCGATTTCTGGCAAAACTACTGGGATTGTTGTTTTTATGGCCACATAAAAAGACAAAACACTTTCAAAAATCAAATCTGATTTACAGAATCAGATGCCAACATATTGAGAAAAGAAAACTGAAGAATTAATATTATTTCAACTTCTCCTCTATCCACCACAAATTCATCCAAGTTGTCATGATAGCAGGGTAACGTTGCTGGTAAGAACTAGAGGCAAGAATTTGTCTCACATCAGTGAAATACTTTTTTCCCTATAGTTCTGATAACACCAGTGATGGACTGCTTTAAAAAAATAAAACCAAGCAAACGTGATGTGTGAATCCTTATTTCAACATGAATCCACTTGAGTCTTTCAATGCAGAGGCTCAGAGGTTTATGATATACACAGTATTCGGTAATTTTATATGTAAAAACAATCAGAAAGAGGCAAAAAGTTACTTTCAAGCTTAGTCAACATACGGCACATATTTCAGCATGACAATTCAAAAAGTTTCACACTGTATTTTGATATAATAGCAATTATGTTTTAAAAACAGCAAACTGAAGACAGTGCTCTTTTTTCTTTTCCTTTTTTTGATTTTGTAACAAATGAAGCTACTGTTCTTATTTACAAAATAAATAAGCCTTTTTTGGTGAAGATTATGTCCTGTCACATATGTTTAAGACCAGGTGTACTTCAGCTCTTAAATGTCAATGCAAACAAGAGCATAAAAGCAATATCAAAGTAAAATATATCTTTTTGTCCAGCTAAGACAGCCAGGTTACCACGTGTCTCTTATTAGATCTGAAATATATCTGAATGCAGTCAAAAGTTCTCTTGGTTTTAGCCTTTAGGAATATCATGAACACTTATTCTTCTGCTGCTCTAGAAAGCTGTTTTCCGTACAAGCTCATGACATGATGGACAAATTGATACTGTTCACAAGTCTGGATCATTCCTCCCCTGAAAAGGAAAGAAAAAAAAGGGGAGGGAAACAGCAACCGTTTTACACACAAATAACATCCTAGGAAATGGCACAGCTAGTATGAAGCTGGTGTTAAATACAACAGTTCTATTCCAAAGCCTACTGAAACAAACAAGATAGTGTCAATGAACTGCAACCAGCTTGCAGTCTGACCTTGAGCTCTGTTCTGAATGTCTCTGCTAACAAGTAACAGAAGGTAATCAGAATGAGAACAGCAGAGGCACTCAACCAGTAAGGCAACACCACCATTATTTGTTGCATTTGTGTTACTATAGCACCTGTACTCTAAGCACCATTTAACATCATCATAATCACAGAACGGTTTGGGTTGGAGGAGACCTTTAAGATCATCTAATTCCAACCCCCTGCAATAGGCAGGGACACCTTCCACTAAAGCAGGTAGCTCAAAGCCCCATCTAGCCTGGCCTTAAAAGCCTCCAGGGAGAAGTCATCCACAACAATGAGTGATTTCACTAAAATCTCTTGGTGAAAAGCAACTCATATCCCAAAGCCCTAAAAAGACAGGTGTAAAAAAGCGAGCATGAAGAGCTGAAGCAGCTTCTCTAAGTCTTTAAAGCTGCACTACGGCCTGAATGCAAGAGCAAATTCAGGGCTACAGACGGCCACGCCAGGCCAGCTCAGAAAATCTGTGCAACACATAACTCTCCCAGTCTGCAAAGAGGGATCATTCTTCTGCACCATCCAAGGCTGTGCTCTTGAAAGATTACCAGGGAACCAGGTGATGTGCAGTAGGACTGTGGACCAGATATTGAAATCTTGACAAAGGACAACTAGTAACTGAATTAACTGCCATGCACACCTTGACTAGTAAGAGTCTCCAAGCACAGAAGTCTGTTTTGGTTCAGCTTTTACTGTTCTCTTTAAACCTGCAAACCTGAAAAGACCTGCAAGCAGGAGCAGAAAAACAATTTTCTTTTCTGTGTACCATTAGCCCTTGTATTTCTGCAAATAGCATATTAATGAACACAAGTACTACAGCAGGAGACAAACACAAAGAACACCACCTAATTCTGCTAAGAGCAGCACATCAATAGTGATGCAATCTCTTGATTATCTCTTCTGAAGAAAATAAAAACCTGTGACTCACATTCAAAGGTTTATGCAAAATTGTGCCAGCACTAGAGCTGGTACACAGATCTGGGGAATGCAGTGTCAAAAGAAGTCTGAAATGATGACTGGTGTTGAGGACGTGGGAACCCACGGGTGGCCAGCACCAACCAGACTGTATCAGGTTGAGAAAAGGCATGTGTGTACACTGCCTTAGAAATTCCCACCAGAGGAAATGAAAGAACAATTGGGGCCTCTGAGCCAAATGGATAGCAGACTGGCAGCACCTCCTTGGGGACTGCCCTCTTCTATGGAGCTCAGCTTAACAATTGTGTAATGTTGCTAGAAGTAAGATGAGGTAATAAAATAGCCTCTTCCTTCAACCTTTTGCAATTATTTTGTTAAGGGACTGTTTTAAGCAGTGGAGGAAAACAACCAGCAATGGATGGAGATGAAGCCATAGGTTACTCTGGAGGTCCTGTGTTCAGGAGTGCTGAGAAAGCCAGACAAAGTCATAGGAATGCTCACTCATGGGGGTCTGACTGGGATGCAGTTCTCTTTGTAGCACCTCAAATGATGATAGGTTTTAGAGTTGTGATCAAAGCAATGTTGACAATGCACTAATATTGTGACTGTTGCCAAACAGTGCTTGCACAGTGTCAGAACTTTTCTGATTCTCACTCTTCCATCCCACTGAATAGACCAGGGATGTGCGGGAAGTTGAGTGGGAAGATAATCAGGCAGATAATCAGAACTGACCAAAGAGACCATTTAACACCTTGCTCAGCAACAAAACAGAGGAGAGAGTAGAGTTAGATTACTAGCCTTTTTTTTTTTTTTTAGTTTTTAGTTTAATTTTTTATTTTTTACTGGGGGAGTTGCCAGGTATTTCTCTGTTCATGGGAGGAGGTAAGAGACTTTGCATCACTTTCTTTTTTTTTTGTTCTCTTCCTTTATTATCCCACTTTTCCGTTGCCTGTTAGTTTATTTTTTCCTATTCATCAATGACATCACTTTACTCTTTTCATTCTTCTTCAATAAGCAAAGGTGGGAAACACAAACTGCATTTTTAAAGAAACTATTTCTTAGGAAATCCTCTCTATCTGTTCTACTTAATACAAATAGGCAAACTGAGTCATTCCATGTCATGCAAAGCATTTAAATATATTTATGTCAGTCCATGACAAACAAGGAACGTTAAGTTATATCTGGGAATAATTCCCCATGCAATCTATTAACATGAGGTTGCACACTGAAGTTGTAGCAACAGAAGCACTAGCGTGGACACTGAGATCCTTGCTATATGATAGCTTCCTCCCTTTCCCACATATACAGCATAGATGGCAGGTTCTTGTGTCCAGGCTCTTTGCACAGATTTGTAGCAAAGGGAATGTGTGAGGGAATGAAGGGAATGAAACATGACCTTTTTGCCCCTCAAAAGAATCCTAAAAGTGGGTTCTTAGGGCAACATCACTGCTGCTGTAAAGCAGTGAGGTACACTCAATTAAGAATCTGCTCTGGCCTCCATCCAACCTGCTTTTCTCATGTGCTTTCTCTAGCCACCAGATGGGAGAAGATGGATAGGATCCTTCCCATAGCTGCTGGCTCATTTTGTGTAGCATCCAAAGTCACCCAAAGCTTTTGTGACAGTGGATATCAATATGACTTCAAGATCCATTTTTCACCACTTGAAAAAATCACACTTTCCTACAGCAAGGTGGTGATTTGTCTGCTTTCCATCATGAGTATTTCCTCTCGTGTTATTAAATAGCTTTTTCATGTCCCATCTGTCTACTGAGATGTATATGGCAGCAAGAAGCACCTGCAGGCTTCCTTTTGCTCTGTGGCATCCCTTAAGCATAATCTCCCTTATCTAGTATCTACAAATAACTGGCAATTCCTTCTCCTAGAAAAAAAAAAAAGAGTAATTTTAATTTATTTTCTGTACCAAGCATATTTTTAAAGGTGTCTTTGACCACTGTATGGCTGTTTTCCTGTGTAACATTAGTAATGAACACAAGATATGTTAGACCTTGCGAGCTATTTCACTGGACCATGGCCAACAAGCATTCACTTAATCACATTCTAGTGTTTTTTTTTTCCTCAAGAAGTCTTCCCTTGTCAGGTCTGAAATCCACTGAAACAGCCGAATTTCCAAGCCCCTGCAGGTCTCTATCAGAGCCTCAGTAGGGCAGCGAGTGATTTGTTTTCTGCCTCCCACCGAGCACAGTTTCTCATCTGAAATAAAGTTCAGAATGGGTTTGAGGTTGTTTTTGTTTTTTTGTCAGAAAAATATTTGGTATGCTTTTCGTGACATTTCTTCTTCTGACTACATTTATCATTATCGTTAGAAAAGAACACTGAGACATGTTTTGATGGCACTTGAAACCAGTGGGAGAGGAAAAAAAAAATAACATCACTGGTGCAAATTCAGATCTGTTTACTTCATAATCAAACTCGAGGTGGTGTGTTAAGAAATACTTAAGTGGAAGCCACTGAATTTCTGGAGATTTTCACAGCTCCTCTCACATGTCTGCAAACACTCCAACCTAAGTATACTCTTCCCTTTCCCGCAATGTCTCAAGCAGCAATGCCCTGCCAACAGCATCCACAGTTCCAACTATGTGAGGCCAGTTTTCTTTACTCTTCCTGAGAGCAAAGAGCTGTTCTACAGCTCTGAATCAAATGCAACAGCCATTTGAGCCCTATGAACATTGTGCCAACTCCTCTGCTGGTGAAAACGGTCATTTCCTACTGCACTGAAGTCTGCACAGCTATGCAGATTTTGATGCCAACCATGAACCTAGCTCAGTTGCTAAGGATATTTGTTAAGGTTTTCTTCTCTAATAACATGAGCAAGATAAAGCTGCTTAGAACAGAACTACTTCGTTCCAGGAATGTTCTCTCTAAGCCTTTATTGGCCTTTGTTCCTCTCCACTTCCCATTTGTTCCTCCTTAAGCAAAGGGAAAGATTAACATTTTTCTTTTTATTTTTCTGAAAGGAAATGGGTTTTCTTACCTGTCTAACCGTAACTGGCAAGTTGTTCGCAATATGTCAACTATGCCCTCACTCTTCAGCTGCTTACAACAGACACTAGTTGCAATAAAGCAGCCCGTCCTCCCGATGCCTGCACTAAGGGAGGAAAAAGGAGAGAGAGGCAGCAAAGATGTTAGAACGGCTTTGGAATCTTTCTTGTTAAACAAATGCCCTTAAACCAACAGTTAAACCCCATTATCTTTTTCCTGCTTCCAAACTCTGAGGGATGGGTGCTCTTGAATATGAAGCCTTAACTAGGAAAAGGTAATAGTTCCAATGGAACAACATAATTCACACTGTGAGCCACTCACACCAAAAGGCTTCAGCTTTTTGTATTGCACACAGAGAGATAAAAATGTACTATGTACTGTCTCACCTGATGTCATTGAACTTGTCAAAATAAACAGTTAAATAGTATTTCTTGGTTAGATGTGCTTTGAAGGCAACTATTATTTTGAGGGCAACCTTTGCTTTGAGATTCTTAACCCTAACAGCTTCTTGAAAACTACTTTCATTCATGTGTACGGTAAAAAACTCTTGGTTAGATTATTGGAGCTAACAGCAATATGACAAGTACAATTACATTTGCTCTCCAATCTGCAGTCTATTAATTCTCTGAATTAGCAAAGTGAGAGAACAAATTCACCAAAATTCATCTTTTCTGAACATTTCTGTATTTGATTCAGTCTTTGTAAGTGACCAGAATTTATTTCATTCTGAAAGGCACAGTGCTATGAAAGCTGTGAATTCTTATCACCTTATAAAAAACTCAAATTCTGACAGTCCCTCTTATGTGTTAAATAATTATAATTCTCTGTAAGAAATCCTGCTTTCATTTAAATTGTGCTCAGGTCACAACACAAGAACACTGGTAACAAACGTACAAGCAACAATGGAGTCTACAGATGGCTGCTGCTAGCAAACTCTTAATACTGTTTTTCTTCGTGTGTATAGACTTTGAATTCAGTGTTTATACTTGTCAGGGAACCTGCACTAGTATCAGATGCATTTGAATTGTTTTAACTTATATTACAGAATGATTGAGGCAATTCAGTGGAAATCTGCTGGATGAACTTAGTCCTGAATCTCAGCCTTCGAATAACTGTGATGGTGGCATCTACCTGATCTAAAGATTTTGTCCCTTCAACTCTGTGCCTCATGCCCTGATATATTTTTTTGTTTATCAAAATGTCAAACATTTCAGAGTGCCATAATCAAGCAGTACATACCTACTGTATAAAGGTTCCCTTCTATAGATCTCGGTATCTTGCAAGGAAAGGGAACAACACTCATTTTTGTAGAAATCTAACAGCACTGAGACATCACTGTCCCAGGCCACGTTACAGTGGATGAGACAAAGTCATAATTCTTCCAAGACTTCAACATTATCCACAGGACTTCATCTGGACTCCTAGTCTACCGTTAATGAAGATGCTTTTAAGAATTTCTTCACGATCAGACTCATTTTTAACATCACTGAGGGCAAAATCACCATGATTATGGCTCTGCTGAGGATCTCCCACAGCAGCAAAAGGAGCAACTTGCTAGTACTGTGCAGAATCCAAACCTCACCCAATTACTTGCTTGCACACACTACTCTCAATTAGAGGCAACATATTAAATTCCTTCCTGGAGAAAATACCTGCAGCTGAGGATAATCTGAAATGGCACTGGTCCTCAGTTATCACAAAATACTTCATAGCTTCATCACCATATCTGTTTGTGGTTATTTTACATAAAAATGACCTATTTTCCTCATACTGTGATGGATTCATGGGCATGACACTATATAAGAGGAAAAGGCAAATATGCAAATCAAGAGTGCTGTGGTGATCAGACTTTTCACCTGCAGCAAATACCATATTTCTCAAAGGAACTCTTAAAAAATCACAGGTTTTCACAGAATCATGCAATCACAGAATAGCAGGGGTTGAAAGGGATCTCCAGAGATCATCTAGCCCAGCCACCCTGCTAAAAAAGGCTACCTACAGTTACACAGGAAAGCATCCAGATAGGTTCTGAATATCCCCAGAGAAGGAGAGTCCAACAGTCTCTCTGGGCAGCTTGTTCCAGTGCTCTGTCACCCTCAAAGTAAAGTTTTCCTCATGTTCAAATTGAACTTCAAGTGTTTCCATTACTGCCCGTTGCTCCTTGTCCTTCTGGTCACCACCAAAAACTCACCCACTTGACACCCACTCTTTGGATATTTACAAGCATTTGTAAGGTCCCCTCTCAATTTTCTGTTCCCCAGGCTGAACAGTCCTGGGCTTCTCAACCTTTTCTCACAAGGGAAATTATCCAGGCCCCTTATCTTTGTAGCCCCCCACTTGACTCTCTCTAGATGTTCCCTGTCTTTCTTGAACTGGGGAACTCCATTGCAAAAGGAACCATGTTATAAACCAGTTCTTATTTTTCTCTGAACTCTTCCCTATTTGTCAAAAATTGGTTTAAAACACGAGCAGAAAAAGTAGACACAGTACTTTAGTACATATAGAGGAAATGATAACCGTACATTCCTTACTGACTTTCCTTTTCTGGATTGAAAGACTGTATTTGACCTCCTGGGTTCAACATTATACAAAGAGTCCACATAACCAACTGTAACCTCCAAGTCATTTTTTTTTGAGATGCCTTCTTTCCAGGAAACCAGTCCTGAGTAAAACATCCATTTATTTATACTAGACGTATGATCTTGTTATTAGCTGCACTAAAATGCACTTTCTAAGTAATCCAATTCATCAAACAATCAAGACCTGAAAATATCTGATTCCAACACTATTTAGGGCAGCATTATATGATCATTTTATTAATGATTTCTCTGTATTTGCTGATAGGTGGATCTCTGACAACACTGGGCTATGAACCATTCATGCTAGAGTGACTTTAAAAAAAAAGTTTCTGTTGTCTAATAACCTCTTCACCACAGTTTTCAGATAACAGCTATCTGACATTTCCTAGAAAACGTTATGCAGAATTAGATGAAATTCCTTACAGAAACTCCAAAGGCATTTTTGGCAAAATGTACTTTTACTGAAATTATGGAAAATTATCCTGGTAGCATTACTACATTACTTAGCAGACTTTATTTACCTGCAATAACTGTTTTGAGGATTGAGTTGTGGTATTCAAGTAATCACATTTAATCTTCCTAAATGCTAGCAAAACAAGACTTGTTTAAAGCCCTCTTTAAAATATGTATTATTATTTTAAGTTAAATGTTCTCATTTTTCTGCTTGCATGCATCTTCCTACTCAGTTTCACCCATTGTGTGTTTAGTTTTGGTAAAGTAGTGCTTTTAAGATCATTAAATGCATATATTTCTGGTAAAGCAAACAAAATACGGTTGTTGTAACTTATAACTAAACCAACAACAACAACTTCTGTCTACAGGTCGGTCTGTATCTGTGCGCAACAGAAAACTGTTATTAAATTTTAGGAGTTCAAAGAAAATTTAAAGTAGTTGGACCAGATCTCTTGCATGTCTCTGACCAATGGTTCAACAGTGACAGCACCTGTAGCGAGCCACTGTATGCAAAGCAGCATACAATGCTTACTCACCTGCAGTGAACAATCACTGGAGCATTCTTCTCTTCTGCATTCTGCATTGCCTCTTCCACTTCCAGTACTAGTTGTAACAGAGGAGGAGCTTGATCTGGTGTCTTCTGGTCTGGCCAAGATGTGTACCAGTAATGTTTCAGGTTTCTGACTTCTTCTCCTTTCTGCAATGCAGTTAGGACAAACATCACATTTTCAGGACAACATCATTTTTAAAAATTCCAATTTTAAGTCATACTGAAAACTAATCTTTAAGAATGAGATGAGTAAATCTATGCTAAAGGAAACAACAGATGCAAATGACAAGCCACACAGCACAAAAATCTGGACTTCAAAGATTGCATCTACACTTCAGCAAACTGCCTCAAGAAAAAAACAAGCCCCCCCGTCCCCAAAGTACCCTGCTCTTTTAGCGCCAAGAGCTGCGTGCAAAACAGTCTGTTCCCTCTTGACAGATTCATTCAGCAGAGCTGGAGCTGTACTCGTGACATAATTGCTTTCATAATATATTTGACAGGCAGAGGGCCAGAAATCATATCTCTGTCTTTGATAGCTAGCTAGCTAGATGAGGGATAAGAGATGGGAGATTATTTTTCTCTCTTTTCTGACAGACAGACTCTTATCAGTTTCCTGTCACTTACACTCCTCTCTTTGACATGGTGACAGATTCACTGGAAGGCGAGAATTATATCTAGATGCAGTCCGGGGTTTCTGATGAGATACAAATTCTGATTCCCTCCCTGTGTGTTTCAAGCATGGACATGAATATAGCAAATGTGCCTTTTATCTGTTCTGAGTGCCAAGCAGCACTCAGTGCTTCTGATTTTGTGTTCAAAGTGACGTCCTTCTGCCTGATTTCTAAAGGTGCCAACCAGTAACATACAGCTCAGTCACTGTATAAACTGGTTGGCACAGGACTATGCAAAATATCTTCACAAAGTCCAGAAAGTTAGGTGTTAGTTTCCACGACCTTTCCTCAAACACAAGGCCAAATAAGTTTAGGATGGGTGGAGGTGGGAAAAGAAGAGCAAATTTAACACGGATAACTGGGAATAGATTTTGTCATCTAGACTCTAAAGACCCTAGGACTATTAGTCAATGGATGACAAAAGTGCTCCATGACTGCCACCTTCTGTTCTTCTCCTGGGGTGGAGAAACTTTGCATAGCTTCACTGTAAAATGGATTAGGGAAGAAGCGATCTAATTAAATCTTCATTTTCAAATGGATCAACTTTCCCCTTTGTCTTAACACACAAACTGTGACCAGTTTTGTGAGTTATCAGCATTCCAGCAGAATTAAGCTGTATATTGTTCTTGCTGTTGTACTGCATGTTGGAATAATTTCTATTAAAGGTCAGGGCAAATCTGCAACACACTTGTAGCTATTATTTACTTCCTGTTTGTTGGAAAGCATGATTTTCTCCTTGATGCGTGAGCGATAGATCTTCCACAGTCCCAGTCCCAGCATGAGATTTCATATCCTGGCATTCTGCCTATTAGCATGTGGCTGAAGAGACTTGAAAATGTTTGGTAAAAGGAAGATTTTTTCAGTTTGGAAAGAAATTGCATTGTTATATTGAGGTCAGGGGTAGATTTTGTAGATGAAGGATATACAGAGGTTATGTAAATACACTGTTTTTATTAAAACTCATAGGTTGAGATTCTAAAATCTGGCAATTAAAATAGTTGTAAAATAGGACTCTGGTACTTCAGGCTAAGTAGCATCTCAGCACTTAAGTAAATTCCATTCAACCTCTCTATCCACAAGATAACCAAACTGTTTCTGGTAAGTAAAACTACATGAATAATTGGAAAAATACTACACATAGAAAAATAAGCATATAGAATGTTATAGTGAAAAGTCTTTATAAAGGTCATGGACAGTTTTTGTATCTGAGAGTGGTATGATCCCTTAAAACATCTTCAAAGTCAAGTCGGCCAAATTGCTCAAAGATTTTTAAGGGGGATCTGCCACGGTGAACAGCAGGAGTTATTGCCACACTACTGATGTGTTATGCAGGCCAGTAATCCTATCTCTGAGGGAAGCTGAAGAAACAATGGCAACAAGAATCTTTTTATCAGTTCTCAACACCCTCACATCCTGTCAGCAGCACAGAAGTCATTTTAGGTAAAAACAGCTGGTGGATATCTACCAGCATCTTAATGATGCACATCAAGAAATACAGTCAATGTTTCCTAGTGGTCTCCTGCTACAAAAATTATAAAATCTTACGCAAATATAAATTTCCTATTAGTAATCAATAACCTCTTGCCTAAGTCCACAGACCAAAGAGTATACAAGCCTCTGAATTCCACAGAACACCACCAAAGAGTTCAGTGGGTAAATCCACATATGTTGTCTGTATTATGACTTGCAAATGCTGGTAAGAAGCTCTCAGTGGACCAACACATCACTATAAATTACCAGTTACAAATTATAGAATCACAGAACATCCTCAGTTGTAAGGGACACACATGGATCATGGAGTCCAAATCCTAGCTCCACAGAGGACCACCCAAAATCTAAACCCTATGTCTGAGACTGTTGCCCATATGCTTCTTGAACTCTAGTATTGGTGCTGTCATCACTACCCCGGGTAAACTGTTCCAGTGCCCTACCACACTCTAATGAAAAATCTTTCCCAAATCCCCAACCAGACCCTCCCCTGATGCAACTTCATGCTGTTCCTTTGGGTCCTGTTGCTGTTATGAGAGAAGTGATCAGACAATGCAGAAGACACAGGCAGAATGAGCCACCAATTTCTTCCATTGAGTAAAGCCTGTACTACTACAATTGGCCCGGAAGTGTTCAGATTGTATATATGCAGTCTAAATCTTACACTACTTATTGTAGTCTTTGAGGAACTGGGCAGAGCTGCAGTAATTAAAAGTGAGATTTGTACATTAGTATGCTGTGCAGAAGATTTCTATACAGATCTCTATTAACAGTCCTGTTTAGGAGTTTAGATAGCAGAGTTATTTTAAGTACATTTGAGTGATTTACCTTTAGGGTGATGAGCCTTAAACGGTAGTCATCTGCTTGTATGACTTGGTTAACTATGATTTCTATTCCTTCATAGGTGATCTGTTCCTCTGGCCAATATTCTGTGCATTTCTATGTGCAATAAAAAAATAAATCTAATTAATCAGACATCCAGAGAGGCTCATTTTTACCTCTCTGAAATTGGATTCATGCATGCATAGATGAATATGAATGATAGCTGTTTCTATAATAAGTACATGTTTTCAATTTCTATACAGGGAATACATTTATAGTGATTTTTGCTGCATTCATAATAGCTTGATAGCCTGATAAAATGTACAAATCAAATAACTAACCATTTCTTTGAAATATATACACTCTTATATTTAAGCAACTTATAAACATTCTGAAGCTTCACTAGAAAGACCAGAAGCAATTTGCTTATATTTATTATAGCCTATGTTTTTAGATTGATTATTTTCTTAAGATAACAATGATCAGTACAGTACAGACTTGTCACCTATGCTTCTGTGATGTACACAAATTGATAAGAAAATACAAAATACATCTTTCATACTTTTGTTGGAGGGTCATTGCTCTCTCAATATGATCGTGTGCATAAGTGTTGTACAAAAGAACATGATTTGAGAATTCTGCATCAGAGCTAAGTAACCAAAAGGATGCAATAGCTGTGAGATATATTAGACTACTACATTTGATTTTGCTAAAACACAGCCAGAGATGCATCTAGAAAAAAAGTGACAATTAGAGAAGCTGAAACTTTGGTTCATTTGTAAATCTGAATTGTGGCACTGATAATATACACAAATGGATGGGAATCTGTAACTACTTTTACCCTGGAAGGACTGAAACATACTTTTTTTTATATGCTTTCTCTGAGACAATCAATATGCAGAAGGGACAAGCACCTCAACATGGTGTAGGGACTGTTTCATGGACAAGAAATGACATGAACAAAGAAGGGTCTAAGAAAAAGGCTCCCGTGTGATAAAGGAAGAAGAAACTTCTTGTTATCACAGGAGAATGAGAACCTGCTGCTGGACAAACCCAGTTAGAGAGGATGGTTGTAAGCTTCCTTTCCTACATGACAGCATAAAATCTTGAAGGGAGTTAAATCACACATTGCCCTCATCCATCAGAAACAATTCCATTTCAGGAAAAAGACTAACAACAGAAAAGTATCTTGCTACATTACTGAGTCAAAATTTGAGTGGGAGAGACAGTGCTGTTCCATCTGCATAGCACATCAGTTAATAACCTACTGGGAATGTGGCCCACTGTGTTTCTGTAAAATTATTTACGCAGATTGCATTTTCACTTCCTCTCCTTTCAAACTGCAGAATCCATTGTAAAAATTGTCAAGCAGCTATCAATAGCACAGACATTGCTGTGCTTAAAGGAATGGAGTAAGATTGCCCACTCATTTCTGTGGGCTGTCTGTCAGTTCACATTAGACGTGACAGAGGGCTGAGATACAGAACTCCACACATGTACGTTAGCAAAGCCATTGAACAGAGCAGGAACACAAAGCCATAGCAGAACAGAGGTTTTGGTGTTGATTTTTTTGTACTTTTGCAACTTGTTATTATATTAATATGCATTATGGAAAAAAGGAAGTGAATATAGGAGACACTCACGTGTCTTATCCTATATTTATGGTCAAGATTCCTGACACCTTTTAATTTTTGACACTAAAGTTATACACTAAAGTTATCAGAAAAGAATCATCAGCTCTCTTCCTATATAAAGGCTGCAGCAAGCTCCTGTGATGTATAGTGCAACAGTGCTGCATTACACTGCTCCCACAGTGTGGGTAAGAGGAAATTTGTATTCCTGCTATTCAATCTTGCTATGAAAACTATAGTGAAAGAAATTCTTAACAAATATATCATTCAGGAACAAAGTTTCCTCTGACTCCCTCTCTTTTATTTTATTTTTTTTTTCTCTCAAACCTGAAAGCAGTTTTGGTACATTATATCACAACATTTCAACATCTTATTTGCCACAACTTGGCAACTCTGATAAATAAGCAAGTTATTACTTCAGCACTACCTTTTAAGGATGCTTTTTATTTTTAACTTGCAAAGCATGTTAACTCTGTATCAGTCTTGTTCACACCTATTCCCCACTCCCCTAAAAATCATGCTGAAGTGATTTATTCCACACCTGGTGAAGGTTAAAGGTTTTTGCAAATGCACAATGATTGTCACTAGGCTTTCAGCTTGCACTTAAGGCTGTCTGTATGTTTGTATTCTTGGGCTTTTAAGTGTCTGAAGCATCTTCACCAAAGAAAGATGAAGTTTAAATTTCATTTAAACTCCTAATGAGTTTACAGGACCAAGCTTTGACAAACGCTGCTGTTGCAGTTTAGGAAATACCATTTGTATTTCTCCACTACTTTTTACTGCCAGAGGTGAAGATGTAAAGTCCAACACACCCAGAGCCTAGTTTGACATTCTGTGCTGGCAATGAAGGTGGCTGAAGATCAGTCATTTACCTGTGAACTGAAGACCAAACACATAGTTGCTCACACTCTACTATGGGCCAAATATTTTAGTAGATAAGTTAGTAATGAACAGTTGAAAGTCAGTAGCACTTTAAATTGCAAATAAAAATTGTGTTAAGCGTATTACCAGAAATATTGTGACACTTTACTTTCTGCAAGTAAATATAACATTTCTGTATTTTAATTTCTATATTTCAACAGTATTTCTTAGACATGTTTCAGGAAAATGGACTCCACGTCAGCTCTAGTTGTTGATTACTATAAATACCAACTTCCACAAGTCAGGGACAGGTGTATAAGGTGGCTATTAGACACTGAATCATAATAAATGCAAGGAAAAAAAAAACAACACAGACACTGTTGATCGAAGACTAGACCAAACAGAGGTAGATCAGAATCCTTTTTGAGTCCTTTAAAGAAAACTTCAAGTGAGCAAATGGAGTTCAGTTTGGAAAGACTTCAGGACAACTGGGAAAGGAAAAATGGCAAAACCAGCTGTAGGCTAAGTCAGAGACAAAAACAAGACTTTCAGTAAATTAAACTGAAAGAGGAGAAGCCCACATTTTCCCTAGTCCTAAAGAATTTAAATTCTTGTTCTGATTGTAGAGGCCACTGAACTAAGTTCAGTTCACTTATTCGGTTAGCATCTGTGCCAAAATACATCCAGAGTACAGAAAAATATATACTATATGTAATACCATTACCTCATTCATCTCTTCTATATTGGTAATCATGACAATGATGGGAGAACGCTCCTGCCACACCATTCTCCAGAAATCACTGACAGTGTTAACTATCGGTCCCTGAGTAGCAATATATACCTTCTCCTCTCCTCCATAGCCCTGCCAAGAGAACGACAAGAGATTGTTAATATCGTTTAATAGGGATGTCCACTCCCAATCTTGAAGGTTCATTTTTTAAAAGCTGGTTGGAATAAAGACTCTACAAAATCAGTTCTTCCCTTCTCTCCTGCACATACGTACATAGAGGAAAAGCACTATGCTGTCATAGCTTCAGCAATGAAAGTCCAGAGCCTTGAAATAACTCTAGCCACGTCAACACGCTTACTGAGGCTTATCTTCCAGCATGCAGTTCAGATCAACTGACAAGCAGTTTTCATCAAGAAGGGCAGAACTGTATTTTTGTCTGGTATGAACCTGTAAAATTGCACTTAGAGATTTAGTTTTCAGATAACGTAAGCAGGAGAGAGCAATCAGATCAGATAAAATGCCTTTAAAAGTAAGTGGATGCTGCAAATCTGTTTACATTAATATTGGCTGATAGAGGCCAGGCAGACAGATTGCTGAGCTCTTACCCTGATGTAGTTAGCATTGATGTAAGAGCTAAGGGGGTCGTCCTGATCAGCTGAGGTAAGGCACACTCTGCTGTGAGGATCTGAAATGTGTAAACAGATAAGCAATAGTTTATCATTTGCTGACAGAGGAGAAAGAGAGTTACAAGATAATTTTGTACAGAGAGACATTTACACACATTTATGGTCATCAGAACAGGTGTCAGTGACCTTGGAAAAATCCAGTGTTAAACGTTAAAGCAAAACAAGGTGAAGAGTGACTGGGAGTCATTCAACCTTCTCTGATAATTTTACCCACTCTGAAGCCTGTTTCATTCCTCCTGTTGTAGAAGCAGTGATCACCGTGATTCTAGAGCAGTATCAATTCCCTTGTTCAGTACCAATTAGCAAACAGCAACAGTGCACCACCAAGAGAATGTAAAAACAAACAACAGATAACATCTTCATTAAAAATAAAATGGAGCCTGCTCAAAAACCAGGACAAAATAATAAATAAGCAAAAATGGTATGATATTGGGTCAAGCAAAAAGAACCAAGCACGCAGTGGTTTCTACTGTACTATAACACGGTATAAACACTGTCCTCAGACAGATCTGATTCATGTTATCTATTATAAGATATTAGAGTCACAACGTTATGTGATCTACAGAACAAATATATTAACAGATACTGTTTTATAAAACAGAAGTACTGAAACTACTGAGTTCCTCTGAAATACAGTTCCTTCCCAGTTCACCTCCCTAGTACTGGGGAGATAGTGAGACAGGAGATGGTCTGCTTTTTAATGACTACTTCTGAAAGCCCACAAGTTGTGCCTTTAAAAGGCAACACTAGTTGCCAGATGTTTAGATCTTACTGGACTAGGTAGTGAAGACTGTTGTATAAAGTATCTTTGTGTGGGTTTTATGGAACCTGCTCAAGCTCGGGTAATGACTGCATGATTTTCCCCCTTCTAAGAACAGCAATATGTTGTGCAGCACATAGTGGATTCTGTAACAAGGCTCTTCTCTATTTGATCAAAAAGCGCCTGCAAATGCCCTAGAGAAAAGTTATAATTTTCAAGGAAATTACACAGTGCTCTTCCCAGAAGAGGACTGCCTGCTAACAAGCAGCTTCAAACTTATGAAATATCCACATCAACCTTCTTAGCTTGGCATTTTTCCAGAGCTATCCTTCTGTCATCCAAAAGTCACCTACTAACTCTCTCTACTACCAGTTGTGAGATTTGAGAATCTGCAAAAAGAATTTACTATGAAATAAATATAAATTAGATGAATTCCATCTAATTGATACATCAAGACTACTATCATGTCTCTCACTTACTACAATTATCTTGAGGGTTGCAAGAAACATATCATTATCATAAGTGACCGCTCACCTTGTAATGATAACAGCCTAGATTGCTGCTGGATATGTAGCTGGCAAAGGAATCTTAGTTATTTTCAGGTTTTTGTATTAGGGGTTTGAATTTTTGAATCTGGTTTGTTAATCAAGCATGTGCTGTTCCATAGGATAATCAGTTGCTCAAGATCGTTGTGCTGCAGATCGTTCAGCAGTTCCTGCCAGTAGTGCTGCCTGCATCTAGAGCTTGGAGGAACACTAGGTTGGTACACAAGGCAGAGCAGGCTACGTTTGGTACAGGGTACTCAGAAACCAGTCAGTGGATGGTTGAAATATGAAAAGCACTGAACTTCCCCCTCATCATGCCTTAATTCCCCCTCCTGCCTTGTGCATGAACAAATCAGTGGGATCACCAGCGTTTAATTGTGAAGTATAAACAGGATTCTTTTTTAATGTCTGGCACTGGCATATCCCTCAAAATGGAAGTAGTTGGATAAAAGTGAACATGATCAGCCCATTTCACTCCTCAAATACAACAAGCCACCCCCTGATCATAGACAGGAACATAACATTGCACACTGACTGATGGTTATTGAATTCAGGAAAAAAAAATTATGAGCATGGAATGTTTATTAATTCTAGGAGGCACAGTAGAGTAGCAACTAGTTATATGGAGACATCAAAGCAACAGCATTATCTGCCACAATTATCCATAAGGCTGAGATGAAGTTTCCAGCAAATAATTGACTTCTGGAGCGATCATGCTTAAAAATATATGGTAGTATGTTGGCATCTGTTTACATCTCTGGAAGAATCTGTGAAAAATGGTAGTAAATATGCTTTTTGATTTAAAAAACACAATATAGAATATTTAAAGTGGATCCAACGCTCAAAGTACACATTAGATAGCAAATTCAGAATATATAGAGCACTTCAAAATCTAGATATTTGGACATTCATAGTCACCAGTAACTTCTGCAATCTTCCCTTTCCAGCAAAAGCAGCATATTAATTAATTCTTGAATTATTCATCTTAGTCATTAGCACAGAAATTATGAAATATCTATTTGGGTGCTTCATACTTCTGATCTAAGGTGGAGTACAAAGCCATCAGAAGGGTAGCGTACATGGAATCATGGACTGCAGTTGGCTGGAGTTGTAAATCCAGAGTGAAAAAAACAACAACAAAAAAAAACAAAACAAAAAGCCCAACCCACCACCACTTTTTCTGGAACTATTCCCAATCCAGATTCATTGCCTAAAACAACAGGTAAACACACGCCTTTCACTTCTCTGAACTGATCTTCACTAATGTGACACTGAACAATTTGGTCTTTGCAAATAAAGGTAACTGTAGCTAATGGTGGCATTTTCCAACAGCAGTTTACAACAGAAATGAGGCATGACATCTAATTGCATCTTCAGCTAACACACCAGGGAAAATCATGATTCTTAAAAATTTTTGTACCAGAATGATTCTCAGAACTCCTACTCTTGGCTACAAATAAAAATAATGTAAAAGAAAATAAAGAGTTGGATTTTCTTCAATATCTTAATGCCACCAGATCAACTCCTGATACTTCAAAATGCCAAGTGAGAGCATGAGTCTCAGAAAAACATTGCTCAAGAAAATAATGTTGATAGAACATAGTCCTCCTACAGGAGTTTATCAAAGAAACCACTAAGTAGCACTTGAATAAACACGCCAATTTCTTGGACAGAGATTGTAAACAGCATTAAATGATGTAATCCTCACAACTTAAAAACTTAAGTGCTAATGATATTTTGTCAATCTTAGATTGCTCATGCTCTGTATGTCCTTTGAAACTTGATTTACACTTAGAAGACATGTTGCTGCTTCATAAACATGGCTTTTGGACAGTACAGCACACTTGATGTATCCTGGAAGGGAGACTGCAAAACCTTTCAGCACATGGAATAGACCAACACGTTTTACTGTCTTAAAAAAGCAGAAACTTACTTGGAAGAATTGTTTTGTAGCGATTCTTCCGCACCAGGCCTGGAATATCATATTCCTTTGGATCAACAAAGTTCATTGGAATTTCCTGCTCAAAAAAAAACCAACACAGAGTATGTTGTCATTAGACTCACAAGAGGAATTAAAAAAAAACCCATTATGTCCTGTCTGTTAGGGAGGCAAAGTGATGAAGTCAAGTGGGACATATGGTACGGTACTTCTAACAACTTATTACTAAAATATGAGTGATGTTTCCTTTTACTGTCACTGGCTTTCTTTTCTAAAATCCTTAATACAAAAATGCTCATAGTGACTAATTCATTAAGTAATATGCGAGACAGCATTTTGTTAGCTCTTCATATTATTAGAAGCGTATTTTGCAAGCGTAGGCACAGAACTAAGCTAAACGTGGTACGTAAGATACTTTATTCCAAAAGTGATGGACCTCAGACACCACCCTTTCTGACTCATGCTCCTTCCTCTCTGAAGGTGGAAGGAACTCATCTGCTAGTGACACTCACAAGCAACAAAAGATGACACAAACTATGACAGTAAGGTGTACTGACCTGACGCTATGGAGCTAGGCAGGGGTGTATATCTTTTTTTGCTCACTACATTTTACAGCTCCATGAGCAAGGTGTTAAGAGACTACCTGCTGTCTATACTGCCATTCTAAAGGAAACATGAAATTAGAGGGGTTTGTTGTTCTCCAGTGCTCATTTTCTGTACTTATGTGGCCACTGACAGCCAGGGACAAACAAGACTTTCCGTCAGCTGGTGACAGTAGGCATGTGAAAAGACAGGAGTCTCAACAGTCTCAACAGAAAAGTAGATCACAGAGCTTGAACAGTATAGTTGCAGAACATGATTTGAGAGGCCAGTAGTACTGAACATACCGGTGGTGAAGTCTGGGAATTTAGATAAGCAGAGATGTTAAATTCTGAAACTATAGAAGATTATCTGTATTCTGTCTCATATAGTACTGAGCGTACTTGGCCTTAAAGAGAAGCAATTAATGATAAAACATCTGATGGAAATAGTTTCCTCTCAATTTGAGGAGCTGCATGGGAATGAGGTCTTCATGCTTTCCCTTCTTTGTTACTTAGTACTTAAAAAAATCTACCTGAGTCAAGCTCTATGGTCTCTTTTTGGAACTTACTCATTCACCACTTGAATTGTTGTTAAAATCAAAGGAACTTTGCCTGAGTAAGTAAGAACTCCAAATGTTTTAAGAATTTCAGGACTTAGCTGTGCAAATGACAAATTTGACTTCTTTTCCAAAGTGAAACACAGCTACTTGCTTTGTCATGGATCTACACTTTAAAAACCAAGCAGGGTAGACATAGATTGAAAACATACGCCACAGATCTGGTGATAACTGTTCCATATAAACTAGGTTTTTATTTTTATTTACAGAAATGAAGTTCTGATTAAATGGCATTTTTATCTACACAAGGAAAACACACTCAAAAGCTGCCAAAGAACAGAAACATTTCTACTTCTAACATCATTTTCTTTGCTTGAAATCCATAGTGAGATTGGTCAAATTGCACATGGATTTCTTCAGCCATCAAGTCATACACTTACTGAGTATTTCCTCCCTTGAACAAGTAAAACATACTTTACTTTAAAGCAATCAGGAGTTGCCTACCCAAAAGCTGCTTTTCTTCATCTTGCATAACACACTAAGCAAGTTATACACCACAGATATCTGTCAGCCTGTTTTAAAACACCAGTTCAATCTCTCTCATCTCAGAGTCTCAAGAGCAAGTGACATTTGAAGAGTCACAGAGGAGGCAGGCTGAAAGGGGTGCTATACTGCAAAACATTATCTTCCTCCCACTCTACTGAGATTCTGTGCTTAAGAGTATATCTGAGCAGGCAGCATTTGCTGCAGCAGCTCTTGATCCCATGTTCTGAAATACCCCAGCATGCAGACTGCGTCCTGGTTACCTCCCATCTTGTGCAACCCTGCTTAGTAGACATAACACTCCTGGGCTCTGCAGCATCTTTATTCATTTATTTTGTTAGCTACAAACAATGACTCTAATGGAGACTGAAGCAATTAGGGAAGAGACGCAGATGGAATGCAATGATCCAAAAAGCCAGCATGCTCACTACATTGAAATATATCTGGTCTTTATCCTAATTAATTAATTGTAGAAATCGAATTTGCACCTCCTTGCTTTGTCTCTGTAGATGCACTTTTTTTGCCCTCAAATAAGGCTGAGCTCTCTCTCAATGATTCTATGATTCTATGATTCAAGTAGCGTTGGATAGAGTGAAAGAAGGAAACATGCATACTTCAGAATCCTAAGAGCAACCAACAGAGCACTTTACAGCTAGTTAAATACTTGTTTTTCTTCTGCAAAAAAATTACTTTTTAAGACTCTAGCTGACTGACCTAGCCATTCTGTGCTTCAGTCATCTGGAGAATGTTCAGGCTACTTAAAACAAAGCTTCATGTGAAGCATTCAACAGCAGAGAGCATGCATCCGGACTAATTTAATGCCTAAGGTGACTCAAAATTTCAAGAAGCAACATCTATAGCAAACTAGGCTTTTCTTATATAGTGAAAAAGTTTGATTTTGATTTTTCACCAGAAAGTAATATATTGAGGAAAAGAAGGAAGAAGTCTGGTGAAAATAACACTCTGCTGTTGTTTCCAGAATCAATTCTGTAGGTTTTATGTGACAAGATCACTTCAGGCTCTCAGGCATCACCATTTTGATGGATGATGAATTTCAGGCTTTCATTTCACTGATAGAATTGGAATTTCTATATATTAATTGTAGTCCCGCAGAAAACAATTGCAGGGCTCAGGAAAAACACACAATATTCTATTTTTTGGATCCCCCTAGAAGAGTCAGATACTCACAAAGAATTCTGCCTGGAGTATGAATGAATCCAGAGCTTTCTTGTGCAGTTCTTCTTCAGTAAGAATGTTTGACGCTGTCTGGAGATATTCTTGCGCTGACTGTTCGCGTGGTGACATGATATAGCCAAAACCTTGCTCAGAACAGCCTGGGGTACACATATCTAGCGTGAGTGAAACATTGGAACCCCTCCTGCAAAACAGAGCAGTCAGTTTGCTTACCACAGTATGGGCTGACCTATCACTGCCAGTATACATCAGCAATGGATAGAGTTCTGACAAAAGTAACTTTGAAAAACTGGTGACGCTTCTTGCGTAGATAAGAATAGAAGATCATTTTGTACACTGGCATGTGAAGGTCAATACTGTCAAAAGCCCACACTGACAAAGCATCGTCCCTAAAAAGGCAACTATATTTTGTTACCCAAACCGAAGCAACCTGTTAGTCAAAGGCACTGAGAAGACAACTGCAGAAAGTTTTCGTACTTGTGTAAATCGCGCGATATTTTGGAAAAGCTAAAGACAGACTGACAATTTGGACCAAGATTTTCACCTGTGATATATTAGTTTTCTTCAGGCCAGATCCTACTGAATAACCATCTCTTAGTCTCTCAGACAATATCGGCAAGGTAAGATCTTGGAATAAACATTACAGTTCAACATGAATAAATACATGAGATGCTAGACATAACATTGGATAATTATTCAATCTAAAAAGTTTTCTTTCCACAACAGTATTCATGAGAAGGGTAAAAAGGAAGTTCCAGTATTTAAACAATTAAGAGCATCTCTGTTTATAACATGTAGAATTTTTAGTGGCATTTATGCAAGTTAGCTACACAACAAAACAAAAAGGTCAGAATGCCAGCACTGTTTATTGAAAATATGTAAAGCACTTCTGAGCTTCTGTCAATCTCATGTCATAGACAAAGAGAGACACAAATGCCATCAGTGAATCTATTTTCAAACATCTTTAACATAAGAACATCACACAGCACAACGATTACTGGATTTAACGTTCTATACATCCACTCAGTAGACCTATTTTTGATGACTCACTCACCTGGCAAAATCTACTTGGGAGATGTTTGCAGGAGCTGCTCAAAAAACATGTACACACACAAGGATGACCAGCTCACAGAGAAATGGGTAGAAGTTGTTACTTGCATCACAGCCCTTTTCTAGATTCAGGAGTTTTTCCAAAAGAATGTGCAGCCAGCCTCCTGCTAAGATTCACAGTTATGGGTAAATGATTATGGATGAAACATGACCACTAGTGGTAAACACTGAACTTTTCGTGGCCCTTTTCAAAATATTTTGACCTATCCTCCCCTATGCTTTAAACAGCTAACTACATCCCTCCCCAGAAATAACTGCATTTGATAACAAATGCTTTCAGTTCTTTTAAGGTAGCAGAGGCTACACACACAGATACTAGTACTACTTCAGCATAGGAAATGAGACTGTCTCTTCCAGAATAACATCCAGTGCTCTTTGAACTCAGCTAATAACTAATTCCCTTTTTAATGGTGTAGGTGGTTAAGAATGAGATGGAAGAAAGATGGAGAAGCAGGATGGATTAACAAGAAAAAAAAAGAGGGGTAGGTAGATAATTTAACACAACACTACCACAAGGGAAGAGGGACCAATGCTTGATGTAAATGAAATCTGCCTGAGCACAGCCCAAACCTGAAATGTTGTCTGGTTTCACAAGCACCTGTATATGTTGAAAAAAAGTTTGTTTTACATCTTAGTGTACACATTCTACCTACTGAGAGAGCTTCAAGAAACTGCTATCCCACTTCACATCTCTTCTTCCTTGATTTTTAATTGTAATTCAATACTTTAATATTCACTGATTTCCTTGAAAGAGTGAGCATCTTTCTTGAAGAATAGCTGCCACGCAAGAAGAAATGCAAGCATTTTTAAAAAGAGAGGGATGGAAAGATATTAGGAATACTTCAAAGCTCAAATGACTGGTACATTTCAATCTTGCCCATAGTGAAGAACAGCAAAACTGGAATATCATGTTTAAACCAGAAGAATGCAAAAAGTAAGACATTTGAGGAATAAGGATGTAAACAAAAATAAAGTGTGAGAAAAACATTCTAAACTTACACTACAATTAAAAGCCTCTGCTAAAACATTTTCTTAATGTGTCATGTGGACCTTTGGAAACTTATCATATGTTTTTAAATCATTTAAGTTCTGTCTTTTAAATTGTAGACATGAGAATTATGGTTAGCACTCCAATTGAGATGGAAGAACTGAAAATAAAGAAGGGTGATATTTTTTCCTATTTTGGGCCCTGCACTAAAATTATCCATAACATCACCTTTGAAGAATTTCTGTATGAGATTTCTATCCCAAATATCTTCATTCTGCTTCACAAAGACAACTGAAAGCATAACATAGAAACAAAATACAGGCTGCCAGCAATGTAAACTCAGTTCTCCTGTGGTCCCCAGAATAAGAAAGGGTAGGCATGTTAAATCAGTGGCCCTTCTGGAATATGTATGAGCAAAGATGGAGAAATGCAATACAAAACAGTACTGATTCATTCCTGTCTTCCTCTTGTCTGAAAACTGCTCTTCCCCAGTTGTGAATCTCTCTGAGAAACTGTTGCTTTCTGGTTTAAGAAGTGAACATCAGCTCATCCTAAAATTCCATGACTGGGTTAAGTTCAAAGTAATTCATTCACTTTTTGAGTAACTCAATTTATAGACGAATTAGGGCAGATATTTTGTACTATGGTTTGCTTTTGGAGTGAAGACCAAATCTTCAGTACAAGTGGCAGAAAAGAAGAATTAACAAGATCCATCTTCCAGTTGTAAAAGATTTCACTGCTCTGTAGTGGATTTCATGCTATGCAGTTGCCATCTTAGGAAATGGCAAGAGACAGATCAAACAAATGGATCTTACCAAGGAAACAAGTGACACTTCTGCATAAGACCTGTAGAGTGCTATCAGGAAATTGCATGATTTTTGATTAACACACTTAATAGTCAGGAATGGACTGAAAACAGACAGGTAATAAAGCAGCAGCTTAGCTTCAAAACCACATTTGAAAATGACATTCATGAGGGTAATAAAGCTTACTACTAGGCACAGAACTAAGCCAGAAAATCTGGAACCAAGCATTCCCCTGGTTCAGGACATCTACCCTACCTTTCTTGCAAGCCCACGGATTTAACTGTTAGAGTAGCTGGATCTGTCTCCACTTTAATGTCCATTACACAGTCAAAGACTGGGGTCTCTGGTACAGGATCCAAGTCTAGAAAGTCATCCTCATTTTTATCTTCTGTCCACTCTGAGTACGTGAACGAAGGCTGCCGGCTCACAGATTGGCGTCTGTCCTCCTGGAGCGGAAAGGGGGGGTCTGGACGAGCTCTGAGCAGATGCCAAAACTGGAGGAAATAAACATTTAAAAAAACCCTTTCTGGTTGATGCCAGTCCTTGCACACAGCTTAGAGGATGGGTCACAAGGACAGCATCCCAATTCATTATGATGCATCAGAATTGGATAGTATCAAAGAGGACAGGAATGTTCTACGCAGGAATAGCTTTGTAATGTGTTACAAGGATTCAAATCTGCTTTCAGCCACAGAGGTTTCCACAGAGCTGGTCAGGCTCAGGAATACAGCGGAAGCAGAATGTGCTTGTGATCATCACATGGAAGCCAACGTGACACCACTGCCCTTTTGTTCACTTGCTTACCTTTCACAGACTTGTTTACAAAATCAGAATGTACTATAAATTCCTCTCCTCACTTAATGTTCTTTTTCACCTAAAATGCAGATACACTTGATTTAAGGTAAACATAATTTTCCTGAGCTGCGCATCTTTGATAATCTGGCAGTCTAGTCTAAATTCATATATAAGTCCATCATTTTTTGTAGGTCTAAAGTTTGATGCAAGTTGTTTTGAGTCTCAGAACACCAAAATAATTTTTTGGCCATTAGTGAGGCATGTTTTGCAATGTAATTGTCAGATTTAAACATGATATAGTCATATAATAATAAATCCTGAGAAATTCTAGGACAAATGAGGTATTAAAATTTTGTATTATATATTAATTAGAAGCCTCTTCAATGAGGCAAAAACAAAAACAAAAAATCCTTAGTTGAGACAAAGAAGAAAACAATCTTCACACAACTGTCTGTTGTCTACGAGGCTAGTATTTCAGAAATCCTGCTTAGGTACATCACTACATCATTTCCAGTGTTCTGCTAATGACTATTTTACACTTATTCCCTAAACACTGATAAAGAGACATTTTCAAATTGCTGCTCAGCATGACCTGTGAAGAGAAGGAGACCAAGATAATAAGCAGGAAGAGACCAGGTTCATATGCTCTCTGAACAGTTCCTCCTAATGTCACTATCAGAGAGAAGATACTGGGAAAGATGGACCATTGCTCTGACTGCACAGGACGTGTACTGTGTTCCAATGTTATGACTGCAATTTTAAGAGCTGCTACAGAGGTGAAACCACAAGATATGATGGCCACAAGCTGCAGAACGGGAAATTAAGATCAGACATTAAAATAAACTTCTTCCCCAAGCGTGCCACATGGTTAAAGCATAATATCTAGATATCTAGAGAGGTGATACATCTCTTTCCCTAGAGGTTTTCAAAACCCATGTAGAAAAATGTTTGGCTACCTTACAAAGTGTTGGCAGCAGCCCCGTCTCAAAACCAGATGTTGGATTGGCAAACTCAACTCCAGATCTCCCGTCCAACTAACCTGTGATTCTAAGATTTAATTGATTATACTGCATATCAGTCCAACTGCATGCACATTGCATGGCTTCAGCTTCCTGAGTGGCCTGAAAATATTCTACTATAAGGACAGGAGGTGATTATTTTCTACCTGCATTTCCATCCTAACAGAACAGTGTAGAGGGATAAGAAATGTCATATTTAGTTATGGCTCCCTAAAATGAAAGAATTTTCCCCAGCACCATCTAATGCACATCTTTGTGACATCTACACAGGGGAGAAAAGCAGTGCAATCATCCTGCTCCACAGTGGTTGTCAGTTAATTAGGTTAATGGTCATGCCACTAATCTTGTCCTACACCTGGGGTCTTGGCCTATATCTATCTACAAGAGCATTACTCTGGTAAGCATACTGGTGCTCTGCAACAGCTTCTTCTACCACTTCAGTCAACAGATGCTCTGCATAAGGCAGCAATTTTAGATGGTTCCTTTACTGGACCACATGCTTTCTATTCTAAATGAAAACACTTAGCCCATCTGTAGATAGAGAAAATAAAAACTGTCACTGTAATCCACAATTAATCAAGAAATTGAGTAAGGATAAACGTAGTCATGATTCCTCTATGTAAAGCGTGCCAGTAATTTTACAGAAATAGTTGCTTTAAAATCACCCTGAGGATAACATCAATAACTTTCAGTAAACTAGACATTTTATAAAAACTCACTTGAAAAAGTGCATGAAACAGCTTGCACAGTACTGTACTTACCAGAGATCCAACAAGTAGCAGTCCTAGAGAAACTAAGGACAGTAGGATATACGATATCACAACATTCCCAATTCTAGTTAGATCCTGCAAAACAACAGAATTGATACCATAAAGTGCTTTAAGACACAGTGTAACATCTGCATACGTGTTCTTGATATTTACCATTCTTGGATTTTCCATGTAGACTAATCATATCTGTGAAAGCTGCCAACACCACCAACAGAAAAATGCCAGGCTTTCAAGAAGATTCAAATTGAAACCACATCTTAAGGTGGTTTCTACTGTGAGGACTGTTGCAGAACAATGAACATGTCCTCACCTTATATATTCCCAACATTGAGATTCGGAATCACTGCTGAATTTTGCAGCCTGGATCCGTGTTACATTGCCCCAGTCAATTTAATTTTATTCCCTGGCAGAATGCTTTGAACTATGTTTAGTACTGCTTCTGTGTTTATAGGTTCTTACATAAAACCCAGGCACAGAGGACTTTGTCATCAGGTTCATTCACAGCACTTCACTTGCAGTGAAATTCACTCCACAGTTCTGGTCTTATTTAGGCACATCAGAGTTCATCCTTACTCTCAGTACTATGTGTAAAACATGATTTTAATGAACTTTAGTGTGCAAGGAAATTTACTATTTCTGATCTACCAGTAATGAAAATTGAGAAAATTAATAGTTAAGAGGTCTTGTTTATTTAAATGTCAAATTTGTTTGACCTTACTGTTTTCAAGTCTAAATTCATATGGTGAGTAATGCTATAATAAATAATTTTTAAAGATATACATGAACATCTGCATAGAGGCACACTTGGGTGTTCTTGTGGTGCTTGCTACGAATCACTTTCCTCCATGCTGAACTCATAGAACATTCATTTTAAGTCAAAATCTTACAAATCAGTGATTTTATGCAAGAAAAAGCAATTGTTAATGATAGATTGACTGAAAATAAGAAATAAGCAGTGCTCTGTATCGAGCTTTGATTATGCATCATAGTAAATGCAACTGAGAAAGGACAAAGCACTTTTAAATAAAAAGAGCAAGTGACATGCAGCTCAAACACTTAAGGGAATACAGAAAGCAGTCTCCACTGTACTTCAGCCACAAGAGGTACTGAGTAAGATTTCCTATTTGTACTGCATAGCTTCCTTTACAAAGATTACATACAATGAATCTAAACATTCTGAGGGCAATTATATTTCATCTGATTTTTGTCAGTAGCTGCTCACCACTTAATTAATGCTCTGTCCACAATAGCAAAATCTGCACTGGGTATAATTAGCCCAGTAATTAATCAAATGAATCATACTGGTATCTGTGTCATTATGCCATGGTGAGAAGCTAAGCAATTTTACTGAGGTAGCTTTGTAGATGTAATTGTACGTGTACTCCTCATATACCTGAAATATTTTTACACATACAGATATGTTTTAAACTGAATAAAAACAGAATTTAGTGACTGAGCATTTCACAGTTTGCATCCTTTGTGTGGATTCATCCATTTCTTCCAAGAATTTAAGCTTCTATCTCTCCCAATAAAAGGAGTTCCATGCTCTCCCTTCATGCAGATGAAGCATTATAAGGCTGATCTCTCATTGGTTTGTTTCATTTGCAATAATTTGCACAGTAGGAAAAAAATTCCTATGTTTATCTAACATCACAGCCAAAAATCTGGCCCTGTTTTTTGAAGACAAAATATGGATCTATTTTCAGAAAACATTTTCCACTATTTCAGAACACACACACACAATGCACAATCACTACATTATTAGAAACACAGATGTACTACACATTTAGTCCAAAGACATGAGCATCAACTAAGGCTAATGACAACAACCATCTCAACAGAGAGATGAGCAAAGACACTTACCCCTCCTTGATCTGACAAAAACTGTTCAAATGGGGTAAGCAAGTAAAACAGCATGTCAAAGGCATTCTGAGCTGCTGAGATGGTCCCATAAGTGCTGTACCACAGCATCATGCAGAGAAGCTGTGCAATCAATCAGACAAAAACATAATGAGTTCTCCTCATTATACATTTCTTTTCAAGACTGCATAATTAACTAATTTACTTGTCATTGAGCTTATGTTGATCATCATTGTTGCTTTAAGAATTCAGGTATTTTCCAGACTCTAATTTCACAAAAATAGAAAGATGAGTGATAAATGCTCAACCAGCACGATCTAGATGCTTATCAATGAGAACAGAAAGCTTACTCTGATCTACACTAGCAAAATGACTGTACCTCTAAAGAGCAGTGATCCCTCTGACTTCTGAATTTTCAGAATTCCTACTTTTAAATCAAAACTGGAATTCAGTGAACTTTTTATATTATTAAAATGTGTATCTCACACTATGCAAAACTTTCACAAATAGCTTTGTCTAAATACTTATCCCCATAAAAACACACATACTGAAGCATTTCATTTCAATCACTTAAGGTTGCCGTATACTACACAATTAACACAAAATAATAAAAGCAATAATATTATATTTAATGCTCTCACAGAACTCACTTCCTATCTCAAAAGACTTTAAAAAGGATGCACTACTCAGACCATTTTTCAACAAGACTGTTATTTACCCTCATATAGATCAGTTGCAGAAGATTCATCTATTGTGAGATGGTGAAATTTTTAAAAGGGAAGAGAATGGGACAAGAGACTGGGAAACCCAAAGCAGGGGCTGTTAGCAAAGAAAGGGTGAGGCAAGTGGCTGCAGAAATAAGACAACTACAGTTAAATCCACTGTTATGTCCACCATGAATCCTGCAAAGCCAAGAAAGCTTATAAGAAGCGTCCCATCATTTCAAAGCGACAAGAAGCTTCCTTACCAGTATCTGAGAGAGGACAAACAGATACATGCTGTCTCCAGTCATTAATCCATTCCACCAGGCAGCCCAAGCAAGCAATGCAGTTTTCTGGGTGGTTTTCAGCGACTGCTCCTTCCCGTTCAGCTGTTCTTGTTGCTCTTGAGCTTCACCCATTGACTCCATCACAGCTGGATTGTAAAGACCTTCACATGAAAACAACATGTGCAGGGAATGAATAGCACATAACCCTGCAGCCACTGCAAATGCTGCTGGAGCTATTATTTTCCTAAAGACGATGGGTACCTCTCAGTTCTGCATCAGTAAGTGCAGCTCAGGGTTGCGAGCGTCACAATCTATTAGCATAGCTGTATTCACCTGCCTTTGTCAGAAAAAAGCGAGTGTGGGTGGATAAATTATTTTCCTCTTTCTTTCCAGAGGGGCAGATCCTAGGCTTTGTTGTTAATACATTCTCATTTACATTGCTGCACCTTTTTGTTTTCTACTCTTAAAGTAACCATTTATCCTACTTTCTAGTTCCAGTCACATGGTGGCATTTTGTTCCTCCCTGCCTCAGTTTCTTCCTTTCCCATTATTTCTCTTTGCCTAATGTGATTAAAAAATTCTGAGATAGAGACTCATGCTCACATGTGTTTCCGTAGCTCTGGATTTTGGCTAGGTGTCCTATGGCACTAATAAAGGACAAATTATAATAACGTACTTTTTGGATGGATTTGTATCTAGGAGTTATTTGATAACACTGCAGTGCTATTTCATTTAATGGACAAATGCACTGGTGTGGTGAACTCCTCAGCAGCATTATTTTAAACATAATGCGTAGACAATAATTAAGATAATAATTAGATAAAAGATCAGACCCATCTCCGAAGTAAGTACTAGTGATCTACATCATTCCACGTGAGCAAAATCCCAAGGTTGCTCTATCCACAATATTATCCTTAAGCCAAAGCAAGCCATGAGTGCCCAGGTAATGGCAACACTGTTGGCCTTCCTGTGGTTTGTGGAGGTGAGGTTTCTACTGAATGCTTCCTTCAGGTATTTCTCTCAATGTGTCAGAATAGTCATAATGTCAGAAAAGTATTCATAAATGAGGCACAATTCTAATTAGGCAAATGAAACATTCATGGCATCAGTCTGGACATCAGTATGACAAAGATTCAGGGAAATGCACTGTTTAACCTCTAAATCATGACAGCAGACAGGAATATGGGCTTTTAATTTCTAAGAGATTCTTATTCCCACTCTCAGGCTGTTTTCTCTCCCTTCACTGAAATAGACCTTATGACATCCCTGCATAAACGAACAAGGCACTTGGGAAACATTAATGATTTCCTACAATGCTCTCTATTCCCTTAGCTGCCCCAAACCAAAAAGGTCATCAGTGTGTACTACCCAGTACTTTTGCAAGAGATCAGGTTACTTGTTTCTTATATTCAAACTATCTCCACTCAGTTTGTGATGGGGAATAGCCTAAGAAGGCTGTGAGGGGTCTAAGTGGCTCTGGGTAGTTATTTTCAGCACCTTTTTGCAGGTATTTCTCAGGAAGTATGAAAATGCACATCTAGATACACACACTCAGCTATACAAGCTTTACACTGTAGGTATATATGGAATTAACTGATAGACTATTAGCCAGGGAAGACTCAGCACAGCAATCAGCACCAATACCATCTTTTTCATATTAAACATATGCCGATAAAACATGGAAATAGATGAAAGTAAAAAGGTAAAAACAGACGACAATTCCAGCCTGTATTTCTCACAGTGGTAAATTTCTCTTCACTTTCATCTGTACACCTCAAATGCTGGAAGACATGAGCTATGAAGTAGCACTTGTTAATAAAAAGCAGGCAGTTTGTGGAACACAGCTGAAGAGGTCAAGGGAAATCTGTGTCCATCCCTCAGGGTCCAGCCAGTAACAAACAGAGTCTCACGACACCCCCTCCAAGAAACATACAGAGCCCAGATGCAGTCCTTTTTTTCCACAGACACTGACCACCCATCTAACATCCCTGATACCATGACACATAGAGCTAAACTCAATGACTGCCAAGATGACAACATAGCAGCCATGTCTCTAGTCGTGGCTGCCTAAACACCTTCAATGTTGACAAGAACAAAGGGGAAAACCCTTGTTACTATCTGTCAGTTTTTTTCTGGTTTTGCTTGTTTGTGGAATGGTCATGTTCTGTTTGGCAACTAGAAGTTGAAATTTAGCGGGGACAGAAAATTGATGTTAGGAATTATTTTTGCCAACCATGTAGGAAGACATTCACGTGGCTGAGATAAACGTACAGAATTGTCTATCTAAATACTTTATTGTGACTTCGAGTCTCTAACCTTCTGTTTTTACCAAACACGTTTTAAGTCCTACTTTTCCTCCATCAGCATTAAATAATGCACCTCAGTCCATGAGCATGGCTGATAAACCCATTAATTTACTGTTTTTCTAAGCCTCTGTGATGGCTTTTGTTGGATGCACTTTCCAAAAGCTTCACTAAAATATCTGCAAAGCAGAAATAAAATACCTTTTGGAAGACATCCAGAGAACACAGATTCCAAGCTCAGCTTTCAACTTTCTTATAAATTCATAATGTTTCAAAGACTTTTTTTTTAAACAGGCCAAAACCTCATTCACCTTGTTATGCAGGTAAATAGAATTTCTACATTTCGTACCTGTTAGAGCCTGAGATTTTTACAAGGCCACTTCTGCCAAAGTTGGAAACAGAACCCTGACACTAAACGATGATGTTAAGGCCACTTGACCACACGCCTTTTGGAACAAAGACGTCAAAGTTAGGGAGGTTCTGGGTCTGTAATCATGGAGATCTATGCCCCTCCAGAGCCAAGAAGCTTAATTCCCAGAATTCCAGTGTTGTCTAGCAACAGATGGACAATTGTAGGAGTCATGTTCTTATGGCTGCCTAATAGAAGTAATCTATTGTCCTTCATATCATTTCTACTCTGAGGTAGAAATCTGCTCCATGAACCTAAGAGCCAAGGACTCCTGCTATGCTGAAACGTTATTGTTTATCTGCTGCCAGCAGTTTCCTTTCACTAATACAGTAAAAAAAAAAAAATAATAAAAAAAATCAGACACACCAAGTCAAGAACACAAATAATGGAGAAATGTCAGAATCCGTACATATTATGATAAACATACATATTGAGATTATTGTCTTCAGCAAACAAAGAATTAAAACTGGATTCATTCAAGTTCACAAAAAACCCCCAAACATTACGATTCCAGATCACAGAAGATCTTTACAAACATAATGATGCCTACCTAAGATTTTGTACTGATTTAACTATATCAGCTTTAAATTATATTTCAATTATCAAACTTGATATCACAATCCTATATTGCTGTATTATTTTCTCTATAATTTCTTTCACTGCACAGTTTAGGTAACATGAGTGAGATATCAACAAAGGTCAGTGTGAAGGTCTTGAGACAGCTGATAAGAATGACTCCCCATCCAGAAAAAAAACAATTAAGCCTTACTTTGATAGTGATTTGATTGACAGCAAATTGCAACATCCACATGATAGACTTATGAATTTCTACATCATGGAAATATGGATTCAAATTCCACCAATACTTCTCTTTTGACACAGGGCCATATTTGCTAGAAAAATCAACTGGAAGAACCAAAATGTCTCAGACATCTATATCAAGTGTATGGCTTATTAAAGCAACTTAAAATTTTAGAACAGCACCATGAACTTAAACATCACTCCTGATCTTTCAGTCAGACTAAGTGAAGCATCCATCTTGCATTCTTTTCCTAAACACAGCCATCAGTACAAGTTGCCAAAAATAAATCCCAAGATCATGTATCTGGGCTGTACTTCATAATGATTAAGAAATCATTATTTCAGGGCAGACATCACCAAGAAAAATAGGGTCACTTCTTAGTGTGGGTGCTGTCCTACACTAAGGGCAGGAATCTTTGGGCAGGATAGGAATAGGCAGGGAATCAATGAACTGTTGAGTCACATCCCAGATACGCAAACTAGAAGAGAGAAATGGCCTCACCTACATTGCCAGCTCTGTAGTTCCAGCAGTCAGCAAGCTGTAAGCAGCTCAACTGCACTGTCCCACGCATGCATTACGTGTGAGGAGGATCCATGTCCCTCCAAACCTGTCTACATCTTCATGACAGCTGTGTTTGGCAAGAATTCACACTGAACAATGGGTCTGGAGTCGGGAAGCATTGATAACCACGAATGTGCCAGCTATGCCTCATAGTCAGCAAAATTATCAACATTTTATATCGCAGACCTAAATCTACATATAGCCTCTCCACCTTTAAGTATCCACATGCAATAATCCACTGAAATTATTGCCTCAGATTTCCATCCAGCTGCTAGGGAGACCTGCCATCAATTAGAGAATAATAAATGAACACGTTCTACTGAGATGAGCCAGCAAAGATCATTTTCACAGGCACTGAAACGGCATATGCAGGACATAGTCCTGGCTATGCACTTCATATATCCTGTTAAATCTGAAAGTCACGAGACACTGATTGCAGGGAAATCCAGATACTGTCAAGACACTTCTAAGACGAATGAACTGCTTCAGAGTGCACATGAACATGATGTAGCTTGCAGTGGAGTACAATAGAACAACTCATCCACTCACGAAACAGAGCTCTAGGATAGATACCAGTTCAGAGGACATTCTCTGTTTTGCTTGCAACTTGATGTATGAGAAGGATGAAAACAGAATAATAAGCTTCTGGACCAAGAAACAAACATTTCTTTTGCACTACAATAGTACGGGAGAAGGCAGATACGAGAAAGGAGAAGTATTGTACTTACATAGCAGAAAACTTGTGTACTCACATTCCTCTCTCCGCAGGAAATCAGCTGTGAGGTCACTAACCTACAACTCAAACTTTTACTAAACTTCTTTACAACCTGGTAATCTCACACATTAAGTAGATAAACATAATGGCTGATGTCATAACTCTTCATAGATGTATACAATTCACCATATGCAGGAAAGGCTGTTTTTCCTTCACATCCTCTGCATTCTTAAGTCATCTGACAAGTTACTTTAAAAACTACGCTCAAGATCCAGTCAGCTGCGTTGAAAGCAGTGGCAATACTATTTCATATTCCTGTAGTAATATTAAGAATGCATCTCTTTCTACCTCCTCTATTATTGATTTTCTTT